ATACATCGTTACAAAAATTCACAGACAACATCGAGCTTCAATGTACCTTACTTTGCGGAGCTCTCGACTGATGTTGACATTCAAAAGCTGGCCTCGGCACTCCAGTTAGTCTTTAATCGCCACCGAATTTTGCGTTCCAGGTTTACAACTTCGAAGAATAAGACGCTTCGTTCGATCACAAGCGACTCGATCACCGTACCTGTCGTAGGAAAGGTTGACGTCAGAGAGTATATCAACACACCCTTCAATCTCGACAAGGAAAGCCCTATCCGTGCCGTGGTTTCCCCGAATCAGCTCGTCATTTGCGCCTCGCATGTTGTGTGTGACTTGACTTCATTCAATGTGATCTTGCGGGAAACCGCCGCTGTATACTACGGTCAGAAATTGGAGCCCGTTAGTCGCGAGTACTTTGACACCACCGCCTGGAACCAACCTTTTGGCAATGATAAATTGTCCTTTTGGTACACTTATTTGAAGGGCCTTTCTGTCACTGAAGCTCCGGATCCAGATATTTCAATCGAGAATCCACCGTGTCGATCCTACCGCGGAAAGTCTGTGTTCCAGACAATTCCGCCCCAGTTATACAAAAGCCTTCTCGCTATTTCTTCCCTCAAAGGAACCACACTGCATCAATTTGGCTTGGCAGTAGTAGGCATTGTTCTTCAGACTATCTGTGGCCGACTTGATGTACTTCTCGGGTCTCCATACATGAACCGCTCTGACCCAAAGGACATGGAAGTGGTGGGCTTGTTTCTTCAGCCTTTGCCTGTTAGAATACTGCTGCAAAATGCGGATTCTACAACTGAGAATGCCTTTGAAGAAGTTCGATCGTCTTCTCAGTCTGCGCTGGCAAATGCCATTCCCTGGCATTCACTGCTAAATCACCTAGGGCTACAATTCCCAAGCCATCAAAGCCTCTGGCAAAGAGAGCAACAACCCTTATTCGACTGCGTAGTCACTTTTCACGACCAACGTACTTGTGGTAACGTTGAAAATGCCTTCCCCGTCAAGGGAGTGAAGCCAGTCCAAATTTCCGCAGAAGGCTCAAAGTTCTCATGTCTCTTCGAATGGCAGGCCAATGATTGCGGCTTAGGAATTCGATATGAGTACGACACAGATGCTTTGCCCAATACACTCATCAACGTGGTCAAAAGCTTAGTACTTTTCTGTCTAGAGCGCATGCTGGATATAAAGGTTTTGATGCGCGATTTGCGGTCTGAGATTGAAGACTCGTTTGAGGCGGAATGTCAGCGTCAAGGGTTGTTGAGAGCCGATGCGCAGCGATTGGGAAGAGCCTTCCTCATGGGAGTGTAAAATGTATCTTCGTCAACTCCGCCCTCGGCGAATACCTAAGGTCTTTCCATTTCGATGTTCAATATGACGTTTTTCGAATACTTTTTGAAAGTTCAGGCATAGAAGGGATACACTGGACAGATCAAAAACAACGAAATCTTCTGCACCTACTGATGCGACAGTGGGGCGACGAAAATGTTCGTATCCTCAAAGATTTGATGAAATTACTGGATATCAAGACGAAGGATGCTTACGGCCTGGGCATTGAGCATCACGGTGCGATCCATGGGGCGTTCAACAAGCCTCTTACAAACTTTCTCCAAGATAGGGGGCAGTTCGAATTTCAAGCCAAAGATTCCAGCGGCAAAACGCCTCTTGATTATGCAGAAGTAGCGATCAATCGCAAACGCCACCCACATCTTTTTGGGGGTAATCGCTGGAAATTATCTCTGCGGAATTTGAAAGATACATGCAATAAACGTTGATTTGTCTCTTATGGCTCTTTGTGGTAAATTACACTGGGACATATTTTGGAAAAGACGGGTTCATTGTGACAGAAACGTATTGTCCTGACTGACTGTGCTGACTGGATCATGTCACTTCCTGACCCATGTCAAGGATGTGGTGCGGATTTCGGTGCTCATCGATGGAGTAAGGTTATGAGAATAACAGTGTTGGCAATGATTCTCTGCTTGTATTAGGGGCGAAAATGAAGAGCAATACTACCAAGAAAAGACGTCCGCTTGAAAGTATATACATGGGGTTTCAGAGCGAATAGACAACCGCAACGCAGCAATGAGCCATCATTTCCTCAAGATTAGATACGTCTGCTTGATGATTAGCTCGACATGATTGGTCCTACGCTACTCCTTGCTCCACTTTGGAGAAGCATGACCCTACGCCGTCCCTGAAGAGGCATTGTGCTATGCCGTACGCACTAGTTGTTTAAACGCGATTTTGAATCTTTATAAAAGTGAACACTGCTTAATCTCGTATGTTGATTGCCTGGATTGCCTGGATTACCATAGCCGTGATCCGGTATTACTAACGTAATTCCCACATGACCGGGCCACCCCATCTAAAATCGCGTCTTTCTACCTACCAACCTACTTCAACCCCCTACCATGCCACCAATTCGCTCTGAATCTTCACAGAATTCAGGTAATCAAGAAGGCAGGATCTTATTAGCCCTTGATGGTCTTCAAAATGGCCGTATCAAATCTATTCGCGCCGCGGCTAGTCTATACGCGCTACCACGTTCAACACTGCAAGCGCGCGCCGATGGCCGAATTGCACGCGTCGATATGCGTCCGAATCGCTATAAATTGACTATATTAGAAGATGATTCGTTTATTGAATGGATTCTCTCTATGGATTCACGTGGAGCAGCGCCTAGACCGGCTACTGTGCAAGAGATGGCTAATATCCTACTGGCTGCGCGCGGTAGCTACCCTCCACCTACCGTTGGCAAGAACTGGGCATCAACCTTTATAAATAGACGTGAGGAGATTCGCTCACGCTTCTCAAAACGCTATGACTACCGGCGCGAACTAAACGAAGACCCAAAATTATTACGAGAGTGGTTTACGACTGTACAACGGGTTATTGATGAGAACGGTATCCAATCTGAGGATATCTACAACTTTGATAAGACAGGATTCGCAATGGGTCTTACTTTATCGCAGAAGGTGGTTACACGGGCAGAATACTACGGTCGGCGATCGATTCTACAGCCAGGAAATCGCCAGTGGGTTACTACTATTGAAGTAATCTGCGCAGATGGCTATTCGCAGCCGCTATGCGTGATCTTTAGGGGCAAGGTTGCTATTGCGGGTTGGTTTGATAACTTACCAAAAGATTGACGTTTTAAGGTCTCAAAAAATGGCTGGACTACCGATGAGATAGGCTTACGTTGGTTACAAAAGCTATTTATCCCATCAACAAATTCGCGTGTACGAGGGCGGTTTCGACTATTGATTCTTGATGGCCATAGGAGCTATCTTACACCCCAGTTCGACCGAATTTGTGCAGAGAACGATATTATTCCTCTCTGTATGCCTCCGCATTCTTCACATTTACTACAACCACTTGATGTTGGGTGCTTTACAGTACTAAAGCGCGCATATAGTCGCTTTATAAGTGACCTTGCGTGTAGAGGATATAACCGTATCGATAAGTTCGATTTCTTAGATGACTATCAACGCGCACGGCTAGAGATCTTCCACCAACCAGCTATTATTCGGAATAGCTTTACAGCTAGTGGCCTAGTGCCAGTCAATGCAGAAAGAGTGCTTTCGAAGCTTAATATCTCTCTACACACTCCGTCACCACAAAACAGCCGGCCAAACAGCAGATCTAGCCAATTCGCACCAGAAACACCTAAAACGGTCATCCAGCTACTTAAGCAAGCTACAATGCTTAAGGATCTGCTAAAGCAACGGTCAAATAGCCCTCCAAGCCCATCAAAAACTATGCTAGATCAGATCATCAAGGGCCACTGCATAGCGTTACATAACACTGCGCTACTAGCGCAAGAAAACACAAATCTACGCATAGCGAATGAGAAGGTGGTCAAGAAGCATAATCGGTCAACTAGACAGATACCCTGCGAAGAGGGTCTGACTGTTGAAGAGGGCCTACAACAGATTACGCAGCTAGATTTGCTAGCAGAAGCACCTATAGTTGGTTCCCATATGCAGGGTGAATTGCCTATTCAGGCAGATCAACCAGCAAAGAGGGCTCCGACTAGGTGTAGTGGGTGTAGAGAGTTTGGCCACAGGATCAATACATGTAAAAATCGCTATATTTAGTTGAATTAATAGGTGCTGGTTGAGAAAATCGATTTTGAATATCTCTAATGGTGGTAGGTGGCCCGGTCATGCGGGAATTACGTTAATACATTGCGGCTCCCTCTCTTGACTCACAACCCCACTGAACTAATCGCAGCAATGTACACTGCCGCATATGCTCGCCCCTTGAATTCAAAGACGGCCAGATCTCTTAGGTGCATTATCGCCCTTCTCCTTCTTCCCATCCGCTTCAGTGCTAATCCTTCCTATTTTTAGTCTTGACGTCATGATGTGTTCCAATTACAGCTCAATTGCACGGAAAATCGTCAATTATGCGTTCATTGTACATATGCCACCGATAAAAAATGAGTGGAACTGGAAATAGCTCTTGTGAAAGACGACAATCTTTCGGAAAAATTTCGATCTCTGGTCTCGGAAACGGCAGTCCGTATTGCATCGCCAGACTAAACTCCCACCCCAGCTTGACATTGTCATTAATATTGGCGATGAATCTACCACTATTTGCTACTTGAAGCGGTGGCTTGAGAAATGCATCGTCCTTCGCACCTGCTTAAAAGCCTACTTATTAAAAAAAGGAAAAATAAGCTTTTTTTTCATGGCACGCAATGACCAGTGCACTTGCTCTTTGACGAAATTTTGTGCGCTAATATTGCACACCCAGGCTATTGCCACACTGCAGTGTAAGAATCCGCTTGGAAAAATAGAGCAACATTAAGATGAATGCGTTTTCCTTCGTATAGTGAGAGCAAACACAGTATACTCTATAAGTTCGGGATGGTTTAGCTTGAAATAAAAATAAAAAAACTTGAAAGGTAATATATGGTGGAAATTGATCTTATTCAATGTAGACTAGCCGAGCTAAAATCGGCCCCTGAAACGGACGACAGAATTGACAATTTACCTTGCATTTATATATATTCTTCCTCCGCGGATGGGGTCTTCCAAAGATACATCACTTCGCCGCAGCCCGCGCAATCCCAGCTGTACCTCTTGGAGGAGATCAGCACCGAACGAAGCGTATTCTTGAGTCAGGCCAGCAAATTTGTATTCGTCGCTTCGTAGGTACCCTTCAACCGAAGCAGCAGCTAGAAGGCGTCGTACAGCATGGCCACAGGGCAGATTCGACGCTGAGATAATGTGATCGGACTTGAGAAAATAAGTGTTTTGATCATCACCATAGTAGTCGAATGGGGTATCAGCGGAAACGATTATTTCTTTGACGTATTTCGCCATTTCGCCCTCCAGCCTATCTATTTCATACATGTCCGCAAACCTGACAAGCTCCATAGCGGCAGAAACATGCTCCTCGGGGCTCTCAATATTGAATCTGATGATACCCCGGTAAAGCCATTGAAAAAGGGCTTCGAGAGCACGAGTTGAGATGACATCATCCATCTCTTCTAGGTCAAGTGCCTGCTCTTGTGACTCTTTGAAATGACCATTTTTGAACATTTTTGTGAAGACAGATGATTCTGCGCATAGCAAGTCTCTTGAAACTGTGATTTCGGTGTTACCTGTCTTGATTCTAATTTTAATAGTAGGCCCGTGGTAGAGTGGAAGCATCCTAAAGAGTAAAGTCAGAAGCAGTTCCGTTTTTAGGGCTACATGGTACACTTGCTGTTTGACGAAATCTTGTGCGCTAGCTTTGGACGCCTCGGCCATTGCTGCAAAGGAGACGATATAATTGATGGGTAGTATTGCTAGATATGATAGTAGATACTGTCGAAGAGAAAGGGCGGGGCAAGGGAAGATGGAAAAATGGCGGTCTACATCTATTAGGATTAGTCACCTGACCTGAGCTCGAAACCAGCCTAATTGAAGGATTTGCACAAAGTTTACCATATGAGGTATTTCCTGAGGTCCAAGGACCCAGCCCAGTACATAGCCACGAGCGCCCGCATTTATTTTGGCATGTCATCTGAGCTGAACAGATTGACTGCATCAGTCCGTATCAATGTCCGATCCTGACTCTTCTTTTGCGTAGTAATTGCGTTCGGTAGCAAGACGATGAACATCTTCTGCATGCCTGCGAAGATGCATTTCGTGTAGGAGATCCTCGCTACACATATGACACCTCCGATCCTCCAAGTGCTTTCCTCGAAAGTGTCGCAAAGTTGATTTGTATTCGCTATACTTTTGTGTTCGACGATGAATAGACAACCGGGTATCGCCATAACACTGGAAACATCGTCGAGGTCTTTTAGCCTTCCGGATATGGTTTCCAGTCTTCTCCAGAAGCAACTCTTCCTTCGAAATTTCAGGAGGAATGACGAGTGTCTTTGTTGTTTGCACTGCCATCGCTGTGTGCTCTTCGTCAGGCTCATCGCTTGGAGCCGGCCGTTTACGTCGTCCACGCAGTGGCCCGCCTTCAAGGTGACAGCAATATTGCGAGATAACAGCGACAGCAGCATTTCGTCTCTGCCATTCTGCCTCCAGTGAATGGGAAGTCGGCCAAGTCAACAACTTTTCAAGAAGATCAATCTGCTCTGGCAGCATACTGTCTGTTCGCAACACGTTTTTCGCTTCCTCGTTGTCGATAGCCGCCCCGGAGAGCTGTCGCTCAATGTCTATATTCGCCTGTTTCCGATCAAACTCCATTCGAACCTTTTTTCTCAATGCCCTCTCTAGCCGACCAAAAGTGTTGAGCTTTTCGCGTGTTAGTTTGTCACGTCGCAATTGCATCTGTTCACTCGGGTCATAGATGCAGATTTCAGCTTGCTCATTCAATCGCCGGACCACTTCGACATACTCTGGATGTTCACGGATCGACGCTCGTTGCTCAGGAGTCAGGTGTCGAGGCCGTCTGGTATCAATCCACCTGCTCATGCGGGTGATTGCACGCATGAGTGGTTTGTTGGATTGGCGGCCGTTCATTACATTTTGCATGTCCGTGTCAACGTGTCGCGGAAGGTAATGGTTGAGGAATGTGCGAGAATCTGCGTGTTTCATGATCAAATTTTGCTGAGCTTCGCTGACCGCATCACTATTATTCAACATCTTTCCACCTCCATAGCGCATGCGGTGCGCAAACATCGACTGAAGCCAACCATGAATCTCCCCGAGATTCTTCAGTCGAGCAGACATTGTGCCAGTGAGCATAGGTTGATCCCACCGAAGAACCGGGTGCCCGTTGACCACTTCAGTTTTGCAAAATATATGATATTCCTCTACCTCAGGTTTCAAGGGGAGTGGCATCTGCTGGCGACCACCTTCAACAAATAAACTTCGGAGTTTTTCCATAGAGGAAAGGGCCGGGGATTCAAAAGCCTGCAGCCAGAAAAGTATACCAAAGATGAAAACGTGGGGACTGAAGATAAGCGACGGATCGTCAATAATTTCGGGGAACGGAAAGGTGTTACTTAGAAATATCAATCATCAGGCCCTTTCGCATCAAGAAATACTAGTTACTCACATAGCTTCAGACCCGAAGAATTGCTTCGTATGCTCTGACCTGACCTCCGCCAGAAGGACGGGAGGGCCGCCCTGAGGATCCTTTTGTACAGAGAACTGGAGATGCTTGAATTGCAAGGACAGCAGAGCACTCAGTCGATTCACCGTGAATATGCCAATCATGCTGAAAAGACACATCTGGATACGCTCATATCCGAAGTTGAATCGCCTTTCCTGTGTTCGGAGAATGGTCTCATTCAATTCGGTCAAGTCTTGGACGTAGACTGGTTCCTTGCCTCGCTCTTGGTCATCTAGGTCGAACTTGTCGATCAGTTTGCGAATCCCCTGGAATCCTCATTAGCGCTCCCTGACTTTGGTGGGTATGGATAACTGACGGCATTGATCTCTTCTCTATCTTCAGGGCTGAGCTTGGCGCGGGTGATTCTCCAATAGTAACCTTGAAACCCCTTCCAATCTGCTTTAAGGGCGCTCGCTTTATTTGTGCCCTTCAGGTGTCTGCCATCTACACCGTACTTGAGTTTCATGCAGTAGTTGAGGAATCGATGGACATCGTTGGAGGTGACTTGACGAAGAGCCTCCTCCGCATCGCTCCACTTTGGATGCGCATCAGAGCCTCCAGCCTTTACTCCACAGTACCTGGTCATGTTAGCAGGTTGCAAGATGCAAGTCTGAGAGCGTCCGCTTACTTGTGCCAACGTTGCTCGATCCGGGCCCGACGAACCAAGGTTCGGTCGGAACGCCCGTAGTCCAGAGGAACATTTGCGATATCCTCATCTGTGTCATCGTCGGGGTCGTCGCTGAAATCAGGTAACGTATCGGGGCAGACACGGTCCCTTGCCGAGGCTTTGGGAGTGCGTGGAGACTTCTCGGGGCGATCGGGAAGCGAAGGAATTTCTGGCGAAGTCTGGGCTGTCGAGCCGCGAAGTTGACCGTCATCTGATTCTTCGCCGTCGCAGTCTGGCCGGAAAGACACTCCGGAGGTATCGCTTTCATTGCCCATCGACTGGTCAGACATTTCGAGGTCAGAGCCGGCCGAAGAGATAATCAGATGGGTGAGTTGGTAGGCAGAGAAAGGTGGTTTACGCCGAAAGAAGAAGACAATTGATTATGCTGAGAGGGTGGGTTGTTGGGTGAGCGGACCGAGCCCGTCAAAGAGAATTCAAGCTTAACCTGGTCACCTGGATAGTAAAAGAAGACAGTGTTCGACAGCGACCAGGTCAAGAAGAGTTGGCGCTTTTAAAAGCCAGCCAAAGCTGAACTCGATTGTCGCCATTTTTGGCGCCGCAGAGGACAGGGGAGCGCCGCAGCGAGTTGAGGTGGGGAAAGGGTGCTCAACCCGAAAGTAAAAGTGAGTGGAAGCGCATGGAATCTAGAAGCTCCTGTGCTGTCCAGGCACCAGGGGAGAATGGTACGCCGAGGGGGCCAACGCGTGACGCCGTACATTACATGGAACTGGGGAAAGTGCGTGGCCATGGCCAGACGGGTGCGTGTGTGAAGGGCTGGTGCCGAGACCGCCATTTTCGGCGTCGAAGGGGGCCAGTTTCGGCCGCCCCAGCACAAATGCTTTTTGTTGTCGAGTACTTTAAAGAGTAGACTCTTACCCTAATATATAATAAAAATATCTTTACTAGAGAAGTTAGTAATAAAATAGAGTACTATTACTAGTAAATTAATAAGAAGTTAAAGACTTTTTACTATTATTTTACAGATCTAAAGTATTATCTACTCTAGATATCCTAAGATAAATAAGTTTATTATTATATATTAAAACTATAGTAGTAGTTAACTCTATATATCTAATAATATACTAAGAATATACTTACTACTTAAGTAGAATAGGTAGAAGAAATATAAAGTATATAGGAATTTAATAAAGTAAAAGTATAAAAGTATAATCTATTTAATAGTAATTTAAATTTAAGTTTAAAATATCTATAATCTAATAACTTATTTTTAAACTAGTCTAATAATAAAGAATAAGATTAAAAAAGTTCTAAATACTTATACTTAAGAAATTTTTATAGTTCTAGATTAAATCTAAATTAAAATAACTTTAATTTAAATCTGAATTAAAATAACTTTAATTTAAATCTAAATTAAAATAACTTTAATTTAAATCTAAATTAAAATAACTTTAATTTAAATCTAAATCTTCTTTATTTCAGAAATAGACCTTATCTATTTCCTCTATAGAATAAAGGTAATTCTAATTATACTTCTATTATTAGAACTAGTCTATCTAGTTCCTTTAATAAAATATTTTCTAAACCTTATTTTAACTATAGTAAGTTAGATTACTAAATAAGTAAATATTATTTATTACTAAAAGTTCTAGGAGTTAGGATCTAGAAAGTCTGCTTAAGACTCTAGTATTATTATAATAATACTTAATTAAAGAACTTAGGAAAAGGATAGAAGTTAAACTAACTTCTATAGGTTCTAACTCTTAGTCTTAAGTAAGAATAATTACCTACTTCTATATTCTAATCTATATTTAAAATAATATTAAAATATATATAGATATTAATATCTGTATAGAGGTAGACCTTATTAGTTATAAATTTATTTAGAAATATTACTTTAATTAAGCTAAATATAGTACTTCTCTTTTAGAAGTAATAAGTTAATAAGATATTTCTATCTATAGTATATAGACTATTCTAATTACTATATATAACTCTAGAGAAATAAAATAAAAGTTTTTATATTTTTGTATTATAATTAACAGAGATTCTTATCTTTTTAGATCTCTAATACTATTATTAAATATAACTATCTAAGAGATATAAATTATATTAGTATTATAGCAGAAATAATAGTAGTTTAAATATAAAGAGAAGACAATAGAATAGTTAAAATTTTACTAGTTTATAAAAGTATATAGAAACTAAGTCTATATCTTTATAGTTATTAAAGTACCTAAAGAAGTTTAGCTTTCTCTAGAAGATAAAGAGAAATTAGCTAAGAATTAAAAGTAAATCTTTCCTAAATTAATAGTATTTTAGAATATATTTAAAACTTAAAATTCTAAGATTATACTACTATAAAAAGAGACTAATTATTTAATTAAACTTAAAAAAGATATATTACCTCTATATAGTCTAATCTACTCTCTCTTATAAGTAGAACTTATAGAGCTATAGAAATATCTTAATAAAAATCTGATAAATAGTTAAATCCAACCTTCTAAGAACCCTATAGGTACTCCTATCCTATTTATACTAAAAAAAGATAGAGGTCTATATCTCTATATTAACTATTAAGGGTTAAATAAAGTCTCTATTAAAAATTAGTCCTCTCTATTCCTTATCTTAGAGATTCTTAACTATCTTTCTAGTACTAAAATCCTTAGTAAGATTAATATATAAAATATATACTATTAGATTTATATTTAAAAAGAAGAAGAATAGAAAACTATATTCTAAATAAAATATAGCTATTTTAAATATATAGTAATATCTTTTAGACTTACTAATATATCTATAATATTCTAAAGTTATATCTATACTATACTCTATAGTCTCCTTAATACTATTTATATTATATATCTTAATAATATTCTTATCTTCTCAAAGATATATAAAGAATATATAGAATACCTAAATCTTATACTTAAAAGACTATAGAAAGTATAACTATTTATTAAAGTATTAAAATATAGTTTCTATAAATCCTAAGTTAAGTTCCTTAGCTTTATTATTAGTTAAAATAGAATTTTAATAGACCTAGAATAAGTTTAAGCTATTTAAGAATAGGAATAGCTAATATTCTATAGAGATATTTAGATTTTTCTCAGATTCTATAACTTCTATTAGAGATTTATTAAAAAATACTTATTAATTATATTACTACTTATAGAGTTCCTTAAAGAAAGTAAAGATAAAAGGAAATTAGGAAGTATTAAACTAAATAAGAGAGAATTAAAAATATTTTAAGACTTTCTTAATACCTTCTTAATAATATCTCTTCTCTATTACTTTAATCTAAAAGAACCTATCTAACTTAAAACTAATATATTAGATTTTAGAATAGCTAGAATCCTCTTATAACTAGATAACTAGAGAATATAATACCCTATTATATTTTAGTTTAAGAAATTCTTATCTATAGAATAAAACTATATAATACTAGATTAAGAACTATTTATAATTATTTATTTATTTAAATATTAGTATTAATACCTTAAAGAGAATTAGTATTAAATTAAGGTTCTAACTAATTACTATAATTTAAAACTTTTTATAAATTAACTAAAGATTAATAGAAAATAAGTATATTAGTATCTCTTCCTTATCTCTTTTAATTTTATAATATATTACTACTTAGATAAAACAAATCCTATAGATAGATTATCTTATACCTTAGAGAAAGAGAAAACTCTACCTATAGAGAAGATATTAGAGTTAATTTATAAGAGAATTATAACTAAATTATTTATAAAAGTATAGTAGTTTACTATTAGTATAAGACTATCTAGAGAAAAAAGTAGAGAAAAGTAAAGATTAATAAATATAACTATATTAGCCTATAGAAGTCTATTATAATCTCTCTCTCTAACTATAAGTAGTTTAGTTAGTAATCTAGAGTTAGAGCTAAACTAGATTTAAAATAATACTACTACCTCTATAGATTAGAAGAATCTAGAAAAAACTATAGATAAGTCTAGTAAAGTTAATTATTCAGATCTAGAAAATAATAAAGAAGTTTTCCTAAGTTAGAGCTATAATATAACTAAGTTTCTCCTAAATTAGGGCTATAATATAATATATTATAAGATTTTAAGTTACTCTTAATTTATACTCTCTTAAATAGTATTTACTATAGTTATAAATAAAGATCTTTTTACAGATAAATCCCTAAGAGAACTAAAAAAATTAATTAAAGAACTCTAAGATAAGAATAAGATAGTCTAGAAGAAGATTAATATAACTCTAGAAGATATTCTATAAGGAAAGTATTAGAGTATTAACTCTAAGAAACTCCTATACTATAAAGAATATTTATATATCTCTATTATAGAGAATCTAAGATAGAAATTAATTAAACTCTATTATAATAAATAACTTATAGGTTATTTTAGAAGAACTTATATAGAAGAATTAATCAAGAGAAAATTCTATTAGGAATACCTACCTAGAAACATATAAGAATATATCAAAATATACTTAATATACTAGAGAGTTAAAACTCCAAGATATTGACCTTATAACAAACTTTAATCCCTTCTAATTCTCTATTAGTTATTTATAGAGCTAAGTATAGACTTTATAATAGAACTACTAACTATAATCTTTAAAGAATAAGAATATAATATAATTCTAGTAATTATCTACTAACTTACAAAATTCTCTTAATTCCTTTCTATATTAATAATAATATCTATAGAAAATCTTACTAAACTCTTCTTTAATTAAATTAAATTTAAATATAGAAACCTAGAGAGAATTATATCTAATTAAGACCCTATCTTTATAAGTAGATTTTAGTTATAACTCTACTACTATTTAAAAATTAAACTATAATTCTTTATAGTATTCTACTCGACAACAAAAAGCATTTGTGCTAAGGCGGCCGAAACTGGCCCCCTTTGACGCCGAAAATGGCGGTCTCGGCACCAGCCCTTCACACACGCACCCGTCTGACCATGGCCACGCACTTTCCCCCGGTTCCCCGTAACGGGCGGCGACACGCGTTGGCCCCCTTGGCGTACCATCTGCCCGTGCCCCCCCTGGTGCCTGGGCAGCACAGGACCTTCTAGATTCCATGCGCTTCCGCTCACTTTCGGACTGAGCAATCTTTCCCTACCCCAAGCCGCTGCGGCGCTCCCCTGTCCTCTGCGGCGGCGTCAAAAATGGCGACAGTCGATTTCAGCTTTCACTGGCTTTTAAAAGCGCCGACTACTCTCGCCCTGGTCGCTGTCGAACACACTGTCTTCTTTTGCTATTCAGGTGGCCACATCAAACTTAGTTTCTCTTCTACGGCCTTGGTCCGCCCATTCAACGACCCGCCCTCGCAGTTATAATCAATCGTTTTCTTTTTTTGGCGTAAACCGCCTTCTGCCTACCATCTCAACCATCCGATTATGTCTTCGACCGGCTCTGACCTCGAGACGTCTGACCAGTCGATAGGCAATAGAAGCGATACCTCCGGTGCGTCTTTCCGGCCAGACTGCGACGACGAAGAATCAGATGACGGTCAACTTCGCGGCTCGACAGCCCAGACTTCGCCAGAACTTCCCCCGGCTCCCGATCGCCCTGAGAAGTCTTCACGTATTCCCAAACCCTCGGTAAGGGACCGTGTCTGCCCTGATACGTTACCGGATTTCAGCGACGACCCCGACGATAACACAGATGAGGATATTGCAAATGTTCCTCTGGACTACGGGCGTTCCGACCGAACCATGGTCCGTCGAGCCCGGATCGAGCAACGCTGGCACAAGTAAGTGGACGCTCTCAAACTTGTATCTTGTGACCTGCTAACATACCCAGGTACTGTGGAGTAAAGGCTGGAGGCTCTGATGCACTTCCAAAATGGAGCGATGCGGAGGAGGCTCTTCGTCAAGTCACCTCCAACGATGTCCATCGATTCCTCAACTACTGCATGAAACTCAAGTACGGTGTGGGCGGCAGACACCTAAAAGGCACAAATAAAGCGAGCGCCCTCAAAGCAGATTGGAAGGGGTTTCAAGGTTACTATTGGCGAATCACCCGTACCAAGCTCAGCCCTGAGGGTAGAGAAGAGATCAATGCCGTCAGTTATCCATCCATGTCAAACGCAGGGAACGCTAATAGAAATTCTAGGGGATTCGGAAACTGATCGACAAGTTCGAGCTAGATGACCAAGAGCGAGGCAAAGAACCAGTCTACGTCCAAGACTTGACCGAATTGAACGAGACCATTCTCCGAACACAGGAAAGGCGGTTCAATTTCGGATACGAGCGTATCCAGATGTGTCTTTTCAGCATGCTTGGCATATTCACGGTGAACCGATTGAGTGCTCTGCTGTCCTTGCAATTAAAGCATCTCCAGTTCTCTATACAAAAGGATCCTCAGGGTGGCCCTCCCGTGCTTCTGGCTGAGGTCAGGTCGGAGCATACGAAGCGGTTCTTCGGGTCTGAAGCTATGTGAGTATTTACTATTTCTTGATGCCAAAAGGCCTGATGATTGATTCTTCTTAGTAACACTTTTGCGTTCCCCGAAATAATTGACGATCCGTCGCTGATCTTCAGCCCCCACGTTTTCATCTTTGGTATACTTTTCTGGCTGCAGGCTTTTGAATCCCCGGCCCTCTCCTCTATGGGAAAACTCCGAAGTCTATTTGTTGAAGGCGGTCGCCAGCAGATGCCACTCCCCTTGAAACCTGAGGTAGAGGAATATTATATCTTTTGCAAAACTGAAGTGGTCAACGGGCAGCCAGTTCTTCTGTGGGATCAACCTATGCTCAGTGGTACCATGTCTGCTCGACTGAGGAATCTCGGGGAGATTCATGGCTGGCTTCAGTCGATGTTTGCGCACCGCATGCGCTATGGAGGTGGAAAGATGTTGAATAGCAGTGATGCGGTCAGCGAAGCTCAGCAGAATCTGATCATGAAGCACGCAGATTCTCGCACATTCCTTAACCATTACCTTCCGCGACATGTTGACACGGACATGCAAAATGTGATGAACGGCCGCCAACCCAACAAATCCCTCATGCGTGCAATCACCCGCATGAGCAGGTGGATTGATACCAGACGGCCTCGGCACCTGACTCCTGCGCAACGAGCGTCGATCCGTGAACATCCAGAGTATGTCGAAGCGGTCCGGCGATTGAATGAGCAAACTGAAAAATGTACCTATGATTCGAGTGAGCAGATGCAATTAAGACGCGACAAATTTGCACGCGAAAAGCTCAACACCTTTGGCCGGCTAGAGAGGGCATTGAGAAAAAAAAGTTCGAAGCGAGTTTGACCGCAAACAGGCGAACATAGACATTGAGCGACAGCTCTCTGGAGCGGCTATCGACAACGAGGAAGCGAAAAATGTATTACGAACAGACAGTATGCTGCCAGAGCAAATTGATCTTCTAGAAAAGTTGCTGACCTGGCCAACTTGCCATTCGTTGGAGGCAGAGTGGCAGAGACGAAATGCTGCTGTTGCTGCTATCTCACAATATTGTTGTCACCTTGAAGGCGGGCCACTCCGTGGACGACGTAAACGGCCGACCCCAAGTGATGAACCCGACGAAGAGCACACAGTAACTGGAGAGCGAACAACAAAAATAGCCTCGATTTCTCCTGAAATTTCAAAGGAGCAGTTACTTCTGGAGAAAGCGGGAAACTATATCCGGAAGGCCAAAAAACCTCGACGATGCTTTCAATGTTACGGCAATAACCTGCTGTCCGTTCATCATCGAACACACAAGTACAGCGAATACAAATCAACTTTGCGACACTTTCGAGAAAAGCACTTACAGGATCGGAGATGTCATATGTGTAGTGAGGATCTCCTACATGAAATGCATCTTCGTAGACACGCAGAAGATGTTCATCGCCTTGCTACCGAACGCAATTACTACGCAAAAGATGAGTCAGGATCGGACATTGATACGGACTGATGCGTTCAATCTGTTCAGCTCAGATGACATGCCAACATCAATGCAGGCGCTCTTGGCTATGTACTGGGCTGGGTCCTTGGACCTCAGGAAATACCTCATATGGTAAAATTTGTGCAAAATCGGGACATTCAATCAGGCTGGTTTCGAGTTCAGGTCAGGTGACTAATCCTAATAGATGTAGAGTCTAGACCGCCGTTTTTCCATCTTCCCTTGCCCCGCCCTTTCTCTTCAACAGTATCTACTATCATATCTAGCAATACTACCCATCAATTATATCGTCTCCTTTGCAGCAATGGCCGAGGCATCCAAAGCTAGCGCACAAGATTTCGTCAAACAGCAAGTGTACTATGTAGCCCTAAAAACGGAACTGCTTCTGACTTTACTCTTTAGGATGCTTCCACTCTACCACGGGCCTACTAGTAAAATTAGAATCAAGACAGGTAACACCGAAATCACAGTTTCAAGAGACTTGCTATGCGCAGAATCATCTGTCTTCACAAAAATGTTCAAAAATGGTCATTTCAAAGAGTCACAGGAGCAGGTACTTGACCTAGAAGAGATGGATGATGTCATCTCAACTCGTGCTCTCGAAGCCCTTCTTCAATGGCTTTACCGGGGTATCATCAGATTTAATATTGAGAGCCCCAAGGAGCATATTTCTGCCGCTATGGAGCTTGTCAGGTTTGCGGACATGTATGAAATAGATGGGCTGGAGGGCGAAATGGCGAAATACGTCAAAGAAATACTCGTTTCCGCTGATCCCCCATACTATGGTGATGATCAAAACACTTATTTTCTCAAGTCCGATCATATTATCTCAGCGTTGAATCTGCCCTGTGGCCATGCTGTACGACGCCTTCTAGCTGCTACTTCGGTTGAAGGGTACCTACGAAGCGACGAATACAAATTTGCTGGCCTGACTCAAGAATACGCTTCGTTCGGTGCTGATCTCCTCCAAGAGGTACAACTGGCATTGCACGGGCTGCGGCGAAGTGATGTATCTTTGGAAGACCCCATCCACGGAGGAAGAATATCTATAAATGCAAGGTAATTAAATTCCAATTCTGTCGTCCGTTTCAGGGGCCGATTTTTAGCTTGGCTAGTCTAGATTGAATAAGATCATTTTCCACCATATATTACCTACCAAGTTGTTTTTCTCAAGCTAAACTATCCCGAACTTGTAGAGTATACTGTGTTTGCTCTCAATATGCCAAGGAAAACGCATTCGTCTTAATGTTGCTCTATTTTTCCAAGCGGAATGTTACACTAGCACGGAAGCAACATACCCGTGCCACAGTGAAAATTGCGCTTGATATTTATGCTCAATCTTTAGGGTAATCCATCCTTCAGCATGAGCATGTATCCACCGTCCGAGAGTAGATTTCTCGGCCAGCTTACGGAAATTAGCGTGCAGTTACATAAGTCGATCGCATTTTCTGCAGCGACTGCAGTGCTGATTTCGATGATTTCTGAACTAAAAACTATCCTACCGCTGCTTTTCGCCAGTGGATACCCTCAGGCCTTGACGCATATTGACTTCTCCTTGGTCGCAGTCTGCAGCTGAGCTTTCGCTTCAATTTGTGGAATGTCTATACCACTCGATACTGAATCCAAGTTGCTCTGGCTCTCCCAATGAAAGCATTCGAAGAAGTCCGCGCCTTTCGAGGTTCTGACAAATTTTTTTTTTGTGAGAGATATCCTCTGCTAGGTCGTGCTGACCGATGCCACGGCTATAGCGATGCGGTATTTCTCTATTAACTTCTTCTGGCTTGGTAGCCTCGCTGGTGCGACAGAGCACGAAAAACCAACAAGATCTGAAATTTCTCCATAACCCGCGAATAGCGCGGGTTATAACAGTACGCAATTGCGGGGTGGTTATTTTTTTTTGGCTTCGGTGTCTTTCCAATTGCTTCTTCCGGGAAGAAGCGTCTCTGTGCATGCAGCCAATTCACCAATCGTAGCATACTTGTTGTGCCAACATTTGATGATGATGTCGTCAATGAACGGATCACCATCTAACTTCGGAAATTCCATGTTCTGCAGTAACTCCACAACCTTGCGTCCATGCTCTTTGCGATCCTCGGTAAGACGTCGATCTCCGTAAACTTCAAAGCCATAGTTTTGAGGTAGTATAAGGAGCCCAAGGCGAATTGTTCGGTTCGTGGACCTAGAAAACCAGAACTCCCACGCCGTCCTTGATCCTGCTCGCCGCTGTTGAGTAGTCTTCCATAGGGGCCATGCGAGCTTCAAAATCTGACCCAATTTCAGCCGTACAATCAAAATCTGACAATTTTAATCGGTTCCGATCAAGCAAAATGTTTTCGGGTCGTAGGTCGCCATGCGCAAGATTGAGCGATTCTAGAAAAGCAACGGCTTGAGCGAGATCGTTCACCCATTCCTTGCGTAAGGGCAGTGGCTCCAGTTTCTCCACTTGGGTAACGACATCTGTTTCCTGGTCGCGAGTATGGTTATTCTGTATCCTCGAACAGAGGGTTACATCTATCGAGGCGGTTAGCAGACATAATTTTTAAACACCAATAAGGGTCGCACCTCGCATGTACTCGAGGAAGATGCCATTGTCCGCGTAGAAGAAACATTGCACTATGGAAGGGCAGGGCGGATGTTGGGAAAGGATCTCATAGATTTTGAGTTCACTCCGGAATTGTTCTCTCTCAAAGTCGCCAGACCTTGGGACTTTGACCACGATGTGAGGATGGACCTCATAGACAAAGGAGATGCCCCCTTTCCAGACCCAGTGTACTTCAGGGAACTGCTGCCGGATATCCATAATTGTAATAAAATGTAACAGTTCGGAAGAGGGTTTGCAGAGAAACTTGTTGCTGAGCGTATGGGAAAGGTAAGCAGAGAGAAGAAAGGGGCACGTCAAATCAAGTCAGAATCCCTACTCGGTATCCTGCGCGAGGTCTTGTCTGGCATCAAACCTGTTAGCCTTTTGGAGTAAAGACCATCGGTAAGCAAAGCATATATAATTCTTTAAGCAGATAGCTGACAGGGTTCAGATCGAGCAACATATGTTGTGTCACTTCCTCTCAGAGCTGAACGAACGCAAAGAATTAAAGGCTTGCGCCTCGGGCTGTGATGCCATCCAAATGAGGCACCTTCGCTTACTTATCGATCATCTCGAGAACGAATATGCCTCTGTGTCGCAACGTCTTGGTTCGATGCTGCAGCACGGCCAGATTACCTATGGTCTTCTTTGGGCGCTTTTCAAACCAGGTTCCCATGTTTTTGCAACATGTTTTGGTACAAAAGAACCACGGTGTGTCATCTTCGACGCTGGGGAAGAGATCACACAGAACGATGAGACTTGGTTCAACCTTGAATGCCGATTCATTGATTATGACGGAGTCAAATTCGGCGAGGCCGGTATCTTTCTACGCGTGGCAAAGTTCCGAGGGTCGAAGCCGATCGAGAGCCTTGAGGCTTTCCCTCTCCGCCACCATCAAAGTCACGAGCAAGTCCGGAAAGACCTAGTCGGAAGAGGCCATAAGTTTCTGGAATTCGCCGGCTCGCACATTCGGCACTGTAAAGGCAGTGCGTTCTTTATGAGTAAGGGAAAGGTTGTCAAAGTCAAAATCGACAGTCGAGTGACCGTGGACACAGCATTTTTCCATGACATGCAGCCAAATTACTCCCGACCTTCTCTCCGCGATCTAGGGGTGAAAGAAAAAGATGGCATTCAAGTCTTTGATATTGACGCAATGTTCATGGAGGACCGTGAGCGAGAGAAGGAGAGAATGCGAGGAGACGGCGTGGATGCACGGAAGCTGAGCGAAGCCGATTTACTAGTCGCGTGCCCAACAGTTTGCTGTTTCAGTTTCAAGGAGAAAATATTCTGTATGTGACACAACTAAGAAGTCATTGTTTCGAGCTAATGCGATTTTAGTGGAGTGCGCAGTCAGTGCTCTTAGGGACATTGACTGGTTACCTGGATCATTCGATTGTCTTCAGATTCCATCGGACACCAAGACAATGCTCTTGTCGCTGGCGAAAACGCGTCTAGGTCTTATACCCACCGTACCTTTTGACGACGTGATCGATGGTAAAGGCCAAGGGCTCAACGTGCTGCTGAAGTATGTCGGCGAATCACAGAAGCTCTAACTGACTTGTGCTAGTGGTCCGCCAGGCGTCCGCAAGACTTTTACTGTCGAGGCAACGTCGGAGTATTTCAAGCGCCCTCTCTACTCGGTATCAAAACCCCGTTCTGTGCAATGAATGACCTAGCTGACATTCTCAGATATCTGCGGGTGAGCTTGTTGTCGACCATGGGGACTCCCACGCAGTTGAATCACAATTTGAAATCATCTTCAAAATTGCAAAGCATTTCAATGCCATTCTTCTTCTGGACGAAGCGGATGCGTTCATGGCGAGTCGGAACGAGCTCCACGATAGTCACAATCGCCTGGTCACTGTATTCCTCCGAAAGCTTGAGTATTACCAGGGAGTGCTTTTCTTGACCTCAAACCGGGGTATACACTTTGATGAAGCAATACTGAGCCGAACTCATCTGGTATTTGAGTATGAGGATTTAACAAGAGACTTCCGCAGGGATCTCTGGTCCACCTTCTTAGCCAAAGCCCGGACAATGCAAGGACCCGCAGTGGTTGAGGAGGACGACATCCAGCATTTGGAGTCTTTGGCTCTCAATGGACGAGAGGTAAGTTTCCAACTTTTTGCGCAGATATGTAAGTTGCTAACTGCTGGTCAATTAGATCAAAAACATCGCCGCAATTGCACATGCTCTTGCTGAGGCAGATGCAGCGCAGGTCAGCTATAAGTATCTGGAGTTAGCAGCGGAATCGAACAAGAAATTCTCGAAGGAATTTGGCAGGAAGGGCCCTGTTGAAGGAATGTATGTCTAACGGCATAAAATGCAAGCCGCAGCGCGTCATTCCGCTGTCCGTCAGAGGCCCCAAACCTATATAGTGATAATTTCGGTTAGTACACGACAGTCTTGCGTATTAGTATTGAATCATAGTCTGCAATAGTTTCATGATGATCTTGTGACGATGTATCACCCCGATAAGCTCTCTAGTCCGAGAGCCCGGCTCACACAATAGCTCGGAGACGTCGAAGCATATGGATAAGGAGCGCACTTCGCCTCGGGATACATAGTCGACAATAGAAATTTGGGTATCAAGAATAAGATCGTTAATTTAACAGGTACGGTATGAAGAAGATTTCCTGATCACGAAATAGCTAGTATAAGATAGGCTAACGATAGACGGTATCAGGTATTCCATCAAGAACGTAATTGCTAAGGATCTCAATAGCTGACAATCGTGTCGGACTTCGATAGTCAGAAACAGTAAAAGGTTCCGTACGCCCTAGAAAATCACAATGTTGTGGAGTTCGATGATAGACACAGTTGGCACAGGCACCTCGACAGTATGAGGGGAGCCGAATAGTAGTAACGAAGGGAGAATTGGGATATCGTTGGCTCCGGCAGACCTCCCCCGTACACACTCCGACCACGAGTGGCGATCAAAAGACTATCCGTACGATAATCAAGCCCCTGAACAAACTAGAATCAAATTAGCCCGGTCCAAGATCAAAAAGATAACAACCACCAACTTCGGCCATGCTGAACAGATAGGAGGTATCAATTGTATGGTTGAAACCCATAGTATTCAACCATAACTCATACGATTCCTCTCGCCAGTACATACGTTGGCAGGGATAATGGCAGAGCCCACGAAGGGCCTGATTACCAAATGCAGTCAACTGGACACGGACCTGACGTCGGTGGTCATAGGTGACCTGCTCGGCGGTGATGTGAAAAAGCTGAGATTCACCGGGCTGAACATAGGCAGGTTCGTACGGCAGAGCAGGCAAAATTCTTTCGTGGAGGATCGAAGATGACATAGTGGGCGAAATATCAATCGGACGGACCAGAAAAAGAAGAGAATCAAATAATCAAGAGAGGGGAAAGGAGGGGAAAGAGAAAGAACAAAGAAACGAAATCAAGCGGTTAAATGATGGGGGGGGAAAAGCAAACATTCCGAACGGACGAAATCAGATTGGCTTGAAGTCCAAGGAATAAAGTGGGTAAGTGGGGATCCAGATTGACATTCGTACAATAGATTTCTTATTTGATAATTTAGGATGCTCCCACTCTACATACCACGGGCCTACTATCAAAATCTGAGTCAAGACGAGAAATACCAAATCACGATTTCAAGAGACCACCTACGCGCAGAGTCATCTGTCTTCACAAGAACATTTAACAATAGTCGTCTCAAAGAGTCACAGAAGCAGGCACTCGACCTAGAAGAGATAGATGATGCCATCTCAACACGTGCTCTCGAAACTCTTCTTTAACACTGGGCTAAACAACGATAATACGATCTCTATTGTCAGAATATATACTTCTTTTTGCGTCTAATGTCACTCTTTTTTCCTTCTTTATTTTCTTCAGATCTATTCATGCTTACAGAAAGAAACGGTAACGTTTACTATATAACGGATCAAACTCTAGTAGTGAAAACTTCGTGGAACCACTATACTGTATCTAATTTTGTAGAGGGAACACCAGTAATTATGGACGAAGCTATTAGACGCGGCTTCTAGGGCGGTCAACCCTGGACTAGTATTACTGGCTATTCACCTGATGTCTATTGGCGGCTATATTATTTTAGGTGGAGTATTTTAGTGGGAGTACTTTACTTATTAGGGAGATTACTGTCCAGTAGGATAGAATTAAGTGGGACATAGGTAAGTTTATTGGAGAGAGATCACCCAAGTTACCAGAAACCTGAGGTTTTCTGACCTTTAAGCAGTTACTGTACTGTAACTTTAGGCAATGTCAAAAATGCTGTTTGAGAAGTTTCTTCTCGTCCTCCTTAGAATTGTCAACTCGAAGGATCGTAGAAATGGCAGAAAAAAGCGTCACAAGATCAGAACCTACCCATAAAGGATTTGGTGCAAAGTAGGAATGAATATGATGCTTCTGGCCTCCATATTCTCGAATAATTGTGATTTGAACGCTTCTGAGACCGGTTTTCTTCGCAATTCTACCGAGGATCTTCAGTAAGAAGCACTCGTCCATGATCAATGGATGGTCTTGTGAAAGGATTGCTTATAATTCAAGCAAATTCAGCTTACTTGGGATACTGTGTTGTATAAATCCGAAACCTACCCGGCCGGGGACACGGACAGACCGTTGAACGCTCGCCAATATGCGGTCATATGAGGTCCATTTAAACCAAACTTTCGAAGGCCTTTGGAAATCAACCAAACCAAACGATGTGAGTAAGAATTTGAAATAAATACTTACCCTTTGATGCTTCATTATTCACGCTTGTACACGCTTACGATAATCAGGTCATACATTGCCACAGGGGGGACCATAAATAAGCAGTCCATAATAAAATGGTGCAGTATACGCCGAGAAGTGGAAGGAAACCTGATATAAATGAATGGCCCGTAAATAACTGGTCATCCTAGTCTTATAAGTTCATTAGCACCCAGGGTCACAGAGAGTACAGTAGTAATACTTTTCCAAAATGAAATACAGGTTACGATATTTGAAAGCTTTACCATCTCTTCCGCTCTTATTGGCATGTATCTGTTTAGTTTTCATAGGTATCAGCTGTACAAAGAATATCAGTCCCCAGAAGGAAATATATTTTCTACGGGTAAGACTCCCGGATTAAAATGCTCTCCCATGCTAACTTTTGTCTATCGTATTAAAGGCGAAGATAAAGAGTGTCTCTTCTAGCATTGAAAAGGATATCAACAATATCATAAGCGAACGTCAGATTCCGGATGAAATTAACTCGATCGCTGATGAGAGTGCGGAGACCCTAGGGGTGAATAATCCTTTACCCACTGCCACGAGTGGTATAAAAAGTGCTGCAGATAGCGCTATCAATAGCATTTCTACTCTGGCTAGCTCAGTAGAAAATGATGTCGAGGCTATTAAGAATAACGTAGACCGCTCAATTTTTATCGGACTTTTAAGTTACTGCGAGGGAGACTCTGCGGAAAGGAAAAACTGCACACATCCAAAGCCTGGGTATTCTTTTAATATCACTGATACTATTGGTTTGAAAGGTTCCTTGGCGGATAAGCTTCTCCCCGAAGGAATAATCAAAATAGAAAAGGTATACCAGCGGGCTACGCAGGCGATGACGGCTATGTATTTTATTGGGTTCGTCTCCACACCATTATCTCTTATCAGCACCGCTATCCCGATGTATAAGCATAGTGATAAGATAAGTGGGTTGTTGATAAGTGTGAGTTAACTGTATTATATCCAAGGGAATGATCTGATTGGTTTCAGATAGCGATCATTTCGAATATGGCGGGTTCGATAATTGCGACTTCGATCTACATGTCACTCAAAGCAGCTTTGAAGGCAATACCAATGATCGATGTGGAGGCGTATATAGGGAGATCGATGCTAGGGATTACATGGTCTACGTTCGGATTGACTATCGCTTCCGCTATCTTACGGTCAATAGTTCGCAGATATGGGAATTATGGGTACGAGATGTATTAGGGAGAAGATTATTCAAAGAATCAAATTAGACATTAGCATGTGAAGAAAGTCGTATTCAAGAAGCCTAGAAAAGTAGTTTGTATATGGTAAGATGTTACGTACTATATTGTACTACGCAGGCTGTGAGCGTGCCAGTGCTAGGTTGAGATGCTCTTTTCGGCCCATGGGATATAATTGAGTCATATCCATCAACTGATCACAAGACTGACAAAGATATAAGACAATTGTCTCATGACAACCCCAGACATGGGACGATTGTCACAAATCTACATTTGATATATGACTTGATAAGTGATGTGACAACTGTCTTCTCTCAGATACTGATTTGAGAAAGTATTTAAAAGGGAGCTTTTATCCGTCTGCCGACGTCGCTTCTCAATTTCCTTGGAACCAGTAACAGTATGCCCTCTTTCTTCAAAGCTCGCCAAATTGAATTCTTACTGACTATTCGCAAGTTACGATCAAAAATAAGTAGGTGCTCGTTTTGGTATCGCTCATTTTGGTATCTTTCAAATGCCGCCTCTACGCTCTCCTTTTCATCTAATGAAAGTTTGAAGATCATATGCCACCTTCCAGTTTCCCAATGATAAATCTCTCCTAACCTGCCCTTGAATAATTTGTCATCAGTCAACCGAGATGCCATAGATGGGGTCTCCCAGGACTGTTCAGAGTAGGATGAAAGAGGTCGAGATTTGTTGTTTGTTATAATGCTTTCAGGGACAGCTTGTGATCTGAAGTGCTGCATAATCCCTGGGAGAAGTGGCTCAGAGAACCCTGATTGTTCCTGAAGCTGATGTAAAGTTTGCGCTCGTTGCTGATTCTTGTATGACGAGGAGACATCAGACCTTGAATACTGGTTGGGTGAGGCTGGAATATTCCACTCAGAAACATTCTGAAGTGATTTGGCGCTAGATGGTTTGTTTAATGATGTTTCTTGCTCTAGAAGACTATTGATCATATCATCCTCCGCGGCGTTAAGGGGGGACGACCCTTCGTATTGTGTCCTCAACGATGGGTGGGTTTCTTGTATCTGTAGCGAGGCTTTTTGGTTAGGAACGTCATATATTATGCCTTCCTGCGCAGTGTTGAGACGAGAAGGCACTTCATGTAATGTCTTCGATGACGGGAGGTATGTTGCTCTGGGTGGTGAAGCTTCTTCGTCAAGAACATCATTCATCATGGTATCCTCGGCGGCGTTGAGATGAGATACTCTTTCAAGTGCAGGCCTATCTCTGGTATTGGCTGTCACAAACGTCACCGATGGTTGGCAGTCTACTGCGCTCCGTGACAATGCCTCTTGGTCTATGATATCATTCATCATACTATCCACTGCAGCGTCATAGAATCGAGAGGAACCTTCATATCTAGAGCCTATATCCATCACCGCATAGGCTTTGCCATCTGAAGCGAGCATTTCACCTGGTTTATTCCTTCTTCCGGGCTGACCCCGCCCATATCTTTGATTGGCGTTTCTGGGTGTATACCGATCTGCTCTATTATGTGCGCGAGCTGGTAGAGCATCCGCTGCACCTCCGTTGATGTTATCGTCTGCGGGTCGTATGTCGCCTGCACCGTCACCGCGTCGAGTTTGATTACCATTTGAGCCACTTGATAATGGCCCAAAAAAAGCTAGATATATACTCCGCTGCACGAGCAATGCTGTTACATTTGCGGGCATCAGCCAATTCCAATGCATCTTAGTGAGAAACAAAGATCGAGAACAGCTAAGAAATTGGGATTTGACAGGGTGTCCACAGCGATGCTTTCGGTTAGTCTGGAGTTGCTGTCTCTCAGAGATATCATGGCTTTTCGGTGTCGCTGCATTGAAGCACTCTACAACCCGTTCAACCAGTGACTCAAAAATATGCTCATCATACGAGAATTGGCCTTTTTTGCGCGCTTTGAGTAAGGCCTGCTTAGCCATAAGATGGTCTGGTGACCTCTCAAGAAGATCGTGAATTTTGCTGGACTGAAACCCGAGCTTAGATGCCAGTTTTGCCATATTAGCTAGGATATTCTCGTCTACTTCGCTCTGCAGCGAACCCACATATTGGGGTTCCTTCTTGCTGCTCTGGGGTATGTCCGGGTAGTGGCGCATCGCAAAGAGCCATATCTGTCGGTATGCTAAGTCGAATCCATCGGACCCCGCGGGATTTCCTTCGGAATAGGCATTCTCCCCGGTCTCTATATAGAATGATCTGGGTCTCCATTCCCGGTCCATTCTCTGTCGAACAGTGTGACCATTCAGCTCAAAAAGACGATGCACACAATGTGCCCATTTTTCAAAACATTTAAAATCTTCGAAGAATGAGAATAACGACGGAATGCGGTCATCAAAAGAGCGTAATCTGAGCAAAATCTGCTTTCGCTGGACAGGACTAAACTCAGAGAGAACCTGGCCACTTGATACAAGACTATTCAAACTTGAAACCTCCACGGATGGAACCAAAAGTTCAAGATTTCTGACCGTCTCGTAGTTAATCTTAGCTAGATCTGCCATATTGCCTCCGACGAACCCCCGCCAGCAGACATATATATAATTCAAATATCGACATAATTCCTAAAATTACTTTTAGCGGATGCTATTGGGGCAATGAATAACAGACCCCTCACCTCATTGCATTTGATAGCTTGGATACGGTGGAACATACTTATGCGCAATGCTGGGCGTTGTCCCGGCATAAGCATAACGAGATCAAGGGCGTTTCGGAGATCAGAAACATTCAAAAATGATTTCAGACGCATCTGGCTATTCGATGAAAGACGTGCAGTCCATCTCAGCTCAGAATCAGTATCAGCGGCACTACTGGCACATCGTAGTCTGTAATATATATGGCCCTCGCTATACGGTTTCTCGTTGGCATATTCTTCGATAAGTATCTCTTCTAGACCATGGCAGATATCTAAAGGTGGTTGAGTGTTCAATGTAGATAGATTCAACAGAAAAATCCGATTCAGTCTTACCGTTCAAGTAGAGATCAACTGTCCACCACTGTTTCCGTGGTGCTAAATAGCGTTTGCCGGCCAGAATGCGATGTTGACCGTGTAGACCACGTACATGGCGTTCGAATTGCAGCAGGGGAAGCTCTGCTGAGCTTGGATTATTCAGATCATTCCTTACAATGCCCGCTGTATTCAATGCCAGCTCAAACTGGCTCGCTGAAATAGTCACCGGAATACGGTGCTTGGGAGCTTCGTGCTGACAACCCTCTTTTTCAAATATGCCGTAAAGGCGATCCACATTTGCTGGGTCGATTACCCTCGTATCACTAGGATCAAAGTAAATATCATCTAAATTAACCTTCACAGTCCCAAGAAATTTGTGTAGTCTATCAATCTCAGGATCATCATGAAGGCCAGCCCGTTGCCCATCATTATTCATTATGGGATAACTCAATAAGGAGCGTGATGAGATCTTCAGGGGAATCGCTTGTACTTCAGTATGAGAAAGTGGTGCATATCTGTTGAACGTTATTCAAAGGACAAAAAGTGCTTTTTGGTTAGAAGTATATATAACACAACCGTACTTTACATATGGCCAATTCCCATGGCCTTAAACAAGATGCCAACTAATAATCCGGCAAGTCGTACAACCGAATTTAATATTCTAGAGCTCCAAAATGCGAAGAATAAAGTTGTCAAGGGCAAGATGCCTAGTCATCGAATACGGCCACCGCAAATGGGAATGAGAGGACCACCTAAAGAGTTGGTTCTGAATGATATAGCAGAGTCTAGGGAAAACATTAGAGAGACATTGATAATTAGAAAGCAGGCCCCATGGGATACTTTTCAACCAGTGTATAGATGTGATCTGGCTGGAGAATTCTACGTTGTCACTTCGCGTGCATTTCCTTACCAGCTGGCGGCAGTCCGTGAGATCCACCAACAAGGAATTAGCGATGAGAAGATCTTGGACATTCTCAAGAATGTAAGGCATTCTAACATTCTCGAAGTGCGCGAGTGTTTCCTTTTCGGGAAGAAAATGTACTACCTCCACGACGATGTCTCGATATCTTTAGACAATATCGTCTCGTGCGGTATTCTCCTCAGTGAATTGGAAATAGGTAGCATTATTCATCAGGTATGACCACGCGCAAAAATGATTTTCAGTACTTAATAAAAAGTTAGTTTCTTCAGGGGCTCAGCTACCTAAAGCGGAACCAATACGGTCATTCCTCGATTGGGCTTGAGAAGATATTATTCAATTCAAATGGAGTCCTGAAGATTGGTATGCCGCAGCATTGGGGCTTAGGGTCTAGCTGACTCAGTGACAGGGAGCATAGAGCATATTATCCAGGGGGGGTATGTGGAGTATCGAGAGACCTTGAGACTCGTCGCCACGGAGCTGTCTAAACAGGCCCACGAGAATCCGAGTGTTGATGTTGATGTTGAATATTCGATGGTACAAGGTTTCCTCTGCTCAGTTGAATGCCATTCCTTTGATGAATTATGCAAGGTACGTTGACGATGTTCATCTCAGTCGACTCTTAGTAATCCGATAAGTGTAGGAACCCCTTGTGATGCCTTCTAGATGCAAGCCCGGCTATCTGATAGGGCTCATCTCCTTCGTACAGCGCGCCTCATTTATATATTGTGATTATTCAGTAGATATAAATTGATACCATAAAAAGAGGTTGTACGACTATGGCTGAAAATCGTGTTCAACCAATGATATATTTTGATAAAGCAAGTCATATATTGTCTCCCGAATGTCATCCCGAACTCCGGTCTCAGCAGATACGAGAATCAATAGCGATTGACCTTCTGCTCCGTCCATGCACCTTGCCGCTTCAAGCTTGATTATATTCTTGCAATCTGCCGGACCTCTGTGAATAGACCCGCGAGTACCCAACCTGCTCTCTATTTCTCCCTCTCTCACATAAACGGAAATTGTGATAGACTAGTCAAATTTAGCGTAGAAGGTACCTAGAATTTCTCACTACCTACATATCTCTGAGTTCTATTATCCTCACTGAGAACCTCATTTAAGAATCTCTGGCCCACTAGAAACATCGTATCTATTTGTTCAGCACTGGCCAACAGGGATAACTTTCTAAGGTATCATACCGACTACCTTCACCTGCCAGATGAAATGAACACGCTTGGTCCGCGTAGATGGGTGGGCATGTAATTGCATCAATTTTTTGACATAGCTCATTATCGCCGTTATTCCATGACCGGTGGCAATGATAAGTACACTGTCATACTGCTCGACAGGTTCAACAGTACCAAACGGCCCCAATATCGAAGCGAAAATCTTCACAGGAGCCCTGGAACAAGACCTAATTTTCTTGACGATCTTGAGAGATATCCCTCGCTCTCGCTTCAAGAATAGCAGTAAAGTGTTCTGCTCGCTGGGCGCCCAAGAGACGACCATATAAGGATGTAGCTGCGCAAATGCAAGCAGGCCCACTGTTGGCGCCCAAAGACTGACATATTGACCAGCATCGATTTTCATCTTCTTTGGGAGTGTCAAACTCAGCATAACAGCGTCACTATCTGGCCAGATATTACAGTCCTCCTGTATATCATTTTGACTAGGCCACTGGAGAAAGCAATGCCGTCGGACAGTCCAGATACCACTCCAGTAAAATAATGACCATGTCTGGTATAGGAGGGCACCGAAGAGCACAATGACAGAGAGGCAAATGGCTAGCACCAAAATGGTTCTATCTGCGGGCACATGCATCCATGCAGCATAAAGGAAGAAAACAGCTAAAGCCTGATGTACCCGTAGTAGAAGGTCATATGCCACACGTTGAATCAATGACAGGGTTGAAAGTATCGTTAAAATCAAAGATAGAGACCCCTGCAATGATCTGAGTACTGTATCCGGATACATAGATTGTACGCCAGCTTACCAATATTGCCCAAAAGCTATTATCGATTTTGCCGGATAAAGAACCAGTGGCATTTGGGGCCTCAATTATGACATGTAGGCACATCATGAGTAGAGCCGTAACTGCTAACAGACGATGAAGCTTTCGATATGTGGACAATGACATACCAAGGATATCAGCGAAGAGCATTATATTCGGCGTGAACAGGAAAAGGGTGTTCAGTAGTGCAATTTGACCTGCCATGCGGGAGATGTGATCGATTGATGGCCGAGGAAGTAAGAGGCAGAGAGTATTGATGATAGAGTAGCTTATAGCGAGAAGGGTATCCCAACGTGTCCATGGCCCAACTAATCGGTGACGAGAGAGACAGTAGGGGTAGATAAAATGTCTCACTAAGAAGTCTGGGAGGAGACTGCTCAAGGAAGCCGGACGGAGATATCGTCGGGCAAAAGCCAGTATGATCGCCAAACTCGCCATACAAATAGCAAGAATGAGAGGGTTATCCATGGCCCCACGGTAAGGTACTATACAGTAATCTCATTGAGTTGCTATTTCACAGCGCATGGGATGCCAAAGAGAAATCAGTCGATAAAAGTCGATATTTTTGGTGATGAGCTAGTTGGGTCACTGATCGCCATGTTGAACTACCATACCTGCAAAAATGAATATTGCGTTATGATAGAGTTGCCCGTTGAACATTGATAGATAAATTCGGAGAAGTTTAAGGATAAACACTTGATAATCAAGGTAAAAATGGTCCCAAAATCCAAGATGCTCGTCCATGCCATACGGGGGAGACTTTGGTATGCTAAAACCGGTCATGACGCTCTCATATTTGCTCAGAACCACCAAATCAAAGTACACACATCAATAATCGCTTCTGAAAGCCCATATCTCAACAGGATGTTTGAGCAAAGTGCCCAGTCAGGTGGCAGACGTACTTATTATGTTCATTCTGTGGATGTACACACCGTATTACGGACATTGGAATTGATCTATCTCGGTGCATACTCTTACCACCTGGAGAAGACAGAAATTCCAGGTAAGATCTTTCTTCATCTGACAAGCTACAGCACAGTACTGGATGTATTGTACTAATTCGACATTATAACTGATCCCCCAAAGCTGACAAATGCAGTACAGACTCGGAGAGACTGCTTATCGATGTTTCTGTATATCATTTATGCAAGGCTTGGCAGCTCCCAGTGGACTTCCAAAGCATTGCCTTCTCGCGGTACAAAGAGGCGGTGTTTTCGCAAGGATATGATCCCGGCCAGCTCCTGGACTCTTTGCAGCCCATGCGGACGCCGCTTGTAGATGGAATAAGCCGAGAGGATATCTTTCCTGGAAAGTTGTTGAACGCATTACTATCAAAGGGGGAGTTAGAGGAGGATAGACTAGTTACATTTGCTGTTTATGAGGCTCGCCGAGCTATTTGAGAATTGCTATTGCGGAGGAATCCATTACAGTATGCCAACGCCGACTCTCATCTGAGATTGATCCACGTAGGTTGAACATGTTGGAGCCTATATCAGCCAAGACATTCAAAGATGCTCCATTCTGGAAAAACCCACCTTACAGTAGCTTTTTGGGAGAGTTGCGTCTGTTGTAGGATTCGCGACATAGTCTGTTCCACCTCGGACTCTCGATAAGAAGCACTATACTGGATCAACCAGGTTAATCATATTTCATAATCTTACGACGGAGCTGCGTGTTCAACGATGTCATTAGCTGCAATCCTATGGACGGAGAGATACAGTACTGTACCATGCCATTCCAGGTTCATTGAACAGCAGTCCTCAACTTAGTATTTCCCGCCCAATGAATAATCTACGCTAAAGGCTTGGCAACGGGGTCAGGAAAGAGTTTCTGAATGTGTACTGGTCAACGCAATTTTGAGAATGGCTGTAAGTTTTCGTACAATAGCAAGATACGGCATAATCAGCAGCGACACCAGCTTCCGCCCCGTTGACCACTTTTCGCCCACTGCGAAGGCGCTAGTGCAAAGAAATTATATGACGCTCAATATGACGCTAAATTAGGTGATTCCGATGATACAGTCAGTATTGCCTTTAGCAAAACCCGCGCTAAAACGATAGTCAGTGAGCCCTCATACTGCGAAATAATCATGCATTTGTATCGATAATTGATAACAAACACAGTCAAACAGACTTTGTCCTGTGCTGCGGTAACTTCTCATACGGTCATGTCTTCTAATATAGTATTGAAAAAAATTAATTATAGTAAAGAAAACTCTACAGATATAAAGTCAACATAGTCTGCCCATCAAATTATAGAGAGGGTTAAGGTCCACAAACAAAGAGTCAATGATTCTTCATCTTTTCATTTATATCTATAAATTTTGACTTCCGCCTTGAAGCGCTCTTCAGCATAGCAAAATGTCGCGCCGAAGCGGTCTACCCATCCTTCCATTCTGGAAGCTGCGAATGATCAATGATATGATACTCAGCAAAGAATTGGCTATAGCAAAAATGGCAGAGGCCGCTGAATGTGGCCAGGATTCGATAATACAATTCATGAAATTCCGACAAATAGTCCAAGATGAAATTGATGAGAATTATTCTCTCCCATGTTCTGCAATTCAGGTCAATATTGTACCAGCAGATTCCTCAGCACCCCCGTCAATGTCCATTTCTTCGACATCTACGGTTGTCAATGTTTACGTGACAAGTAATATCGCAGTTTCTGTTCATAGATAGGGAGGTGTTACAGTATATCCCGAAACTGGTGTCACCACCTTCACTCTTTGATTGTTTCTTTAATCTGGATTACTAAACTCCGTAAATCCCATTCGGGAATTAATCCGTGTATCCTTGGCACTGGGTTCTGTATTGTTTCTTACACACTGTACCCACCGTTATGGTGGGGTTGTATTCGCTTGTAACTTTTTACGCCCAACACCTCTTTACCCCACCTCAAAAGATGATCTCTCTGTACACGAAGAGCTCAACCATCATTCTGAGTGGTCACATCGGCATGGCACCAAACTTAGCCCCCTCAAAGCATGAGCTTATCTCTGACATGATCCATAGTGGAGAGCTGTCTGTATCACAGATGGCACGTGCCGCTGGCTGCAACAGGAGAACAATCCTGAGAATATCCTCCAATATAAGAATATTCGGCAGCGTCAAAGCCCCACCAAATAAGGGTGGTCGACCACGAAGCGTCACTCCAATTATGCTAGAAGCTCTATGCGAACACCTGATCGAGAAACCTAACCTTTATCTCCATGAGATGGCAATCTTTCTCTGGGACGAATTCGCTATCCAAGCAGCAACATCAAGTATCAGCCGCGCTCTTGCGTCTAAAGGCTGGTCAAAAAAGACTATCCGAGTTAAGGCTCGAGAACGAAATCAAGACTTACGCGATGAATATTCTTACTTTATCTCAGATTTCCAGTCGTACCATCTTGTCTATGTGGATGAGTCAGGTTGTGATAAACGAATAGGCTTTAGACGAACAGGCTGGTCTCCGTTAGGCACCGCGCCAGTCCAAGTGTCTAAATTCCATCGTGATCAGCGATATCAGATATTACCTGCGTATGCTCAGGACGGTATCGTTTTATCTCGGGTATTCCGAGGCTCGACTGATGCATCTGTCTTTGAGGATTTTATTGAGCAGCTTCTCCAACACTGCGGACGGTGGCCTGAGCCGAAGTCTGTGCTAGTCATGGATAACGCATCCTTCCATCATTCTGACCGGATAGAAGAGATGTGCTCTCAAGCCGGAGTAAAACTAGTGTATTTGCCTCCATACTCGCCAGACTTGAATCCTATTGAGGAGTTCTTTGCCGAGCTAAAAGCCTTCATTCGGCGTAATTGGCAGTACTACGAAGATAATCCCGAGCAAGGATTTGACAACTTTCTCGAATGGTGCATTGATGTGGTTGGTGCGAGGGAGAAAAGTGCAGAGGGACACTTTCGGCACGCAGGTCTGACTGTAGGGGAAGTTTAATAATTCTCCAGTCTCGACCCACCGGTTGGTGGTTTTGGCTCCGCAGCCGGCAGTGGACTTCACAGTATAAGCCCAGTGGATGTTTTGAACAATGGCACTCCTCATAATCAAATTATACAAGTCAAGGGGGAAATGCATGATGACAGTCGGGTATACCAGATGGGTCGATAGCGGCAAACACCAACACATACATGCCGTGTAGGCTAGGAGAGAAGGTCTTATGGTAGCTGAAGTCTCAGCGAATATGGAACTGAAAGTCGAGATCTGATTGAAGTATATGTTGTGATACAGTAAAATTCGAAATCAGCTTTACTGCCAAACTCTTCTCTTCTCCTTCCACAATGCCCCACTTATATCGCGCTATGCCGAATTAGAGCAGACAAAGACCCACCCATTTAGATCCAATGTAGCTTTACGTGACCGTCAAAGATACCGTATTAGGTTGTTTTTTACTAAGCAACCCCGCTTCTTGTCTCCCGTGTGGCAACAAAGTCAAAAGACAGTGCCATCGCCGCAGCCGCAGGGTTTTAGAAATAAAAAGTTCAAACTTCAAGTTTTCTACAGGGCCGCTCGAAATCAGCTTCACCTTTGTTTTCTTTTCTTTTCTTTTCTTTTCTGAACTTTATTCTGAAATACGCTAGTCCCCCTTTGGTTTAGTCTGTTATGGAGTCTTGAAATGCTTTGTAAGGATAAATTACACGAATGCGGGGTTGTAACTTTCTTGAAACACAGATGCGATCGTTACGCTGCGGTTTAACCACAAGGTTCGTCACCTTGATTAGAGCTTTGGTCTTCCGCGGCAACTTCGAGGAAGATGGCGCTACGTTCACGTATTGAACTCCTGAATAATTTAAATGGAAAGACACATCATCTATCAAGGTGATTATAAGGGAATATGGTCAAGGCGGTCGATTTCTTCTGTCTCGAATCAGATCACCTGATAGCGGGGTAGACTGGGGATTGGGAGACCCAAGCGTGGATTTGAGCCTTCTCAAAACTCTTACGCAACGGCCATGGCAACTACTATTTCCTTCGGCGAAAAAAACTTTGGATTTCAGGAAGGAGTAATACACGGGAATGTCGGGAATGTCACTATTGGTAAGTGAAAAATAGATGTGGCTGTAATCTACGGCTAGTAATAGTGATCGGCTTCAGTACAATCCGGTACTAATAATCACTTGACATAGAGTCATCACTGATACCTTCGTCTACGGTTCCATTCGGCCGTGATCTGGATTTCATTGACCGTGTATCGTTACTCGGTCAAATCCACGAGAAGTGCTCCGCACCAGCATCAATAATCGCGCTTACTGGTCTTGGCCGCGTCGGGTGTGTCAATCGTTCTCGGGTCATCAATGGCTCTTGGGTTACCCACTACTAATGTGAAGCAGAAAGTCGCATCTAGCCGTCGAATACTCTTATAGAATACGCGAAATATCACCCGAAACATGGGTCTTTTGGGTTCATGCGAGCAACGCAGCCCACTTTGAGCAAAGCTACCGAGAGATTGCGGACCGAGTCAAGATCCCTAGTCGACAAGATCCTGACGCCAACATATTTCAGCTCGTCTATAACTGGCTCCAGAGTGGGAGATGTGGACAATGGATACTAATTCTCGATAATGTCAATGATCACCTCCACGAATCCCCACCAACAGCGACGCAGCCACTCCTGACCTTCCTCCCTCAAGGGCCTCATGGCTCTATTATAATAACGACGCGGAGCAAACGTCTGGCGTCAACGATTGTCAACGAGAGCAATATTATTCTGGTCGAGCCGATGAATGAGCCGGAGGAGAAGGCAAAAATGACGGCAAACGACACAACTAGCTTGAACCAAGCCCTCGACAATCTCGAGCTTGAAGTCACTGCATCCGAATCTTTGAAGCTGCAGAAGGATGAAATGGCGGGCGAAAGTAAACGTCACGTCTCAGCAAATGATTCTAGCAAGAGCACCCGAGACTGGATGAGACAACAGATGGAAAAGATGAAGAGGGACTCTAGGCTTGATTTCAATCCCAGATGCGCGGACCGAATCGGCCACGGAGGTTTTGGTGAAGTCTTCAAAGAGCCGGGGACCCTCATCGGTGTTGGGAGCCCATGTGTCGCTGTGAAGCGTATTTTCAAACGGCAGACCCCTTCCTTCGCCATCGAGAGAGACAGCATCGTCCGGGAGATCATCATCGCAGCCGAGTTGATGAAGGAGCAGGTGAGTTGCTGAATGTCTCGCACGCACAGCGACCCTTTTAATGATTCTTGTAGAGTGAGCTCTTCGTGGAATTTTTCGGGTGGAGTGAAGATACACATTATGTCTACTTGGCCATGGAATACGTTGAACTAGGTGACCTAGAAGCAAGTCTTGGGTCACCATGGAATGAGGATGATACGAGGCTGGTGATACGGCAACTTCTGGAGGGGCTAGTGAGAATGCATCGTCAACATATTGCTCACCGCGATCTCAGGCCACAGGTGGGTTGAAAACAAGCGCAAAGAGGTATAAGTTATGCTAAACTTAAGGGCAGAATATATTCCTCGTTTCCCGAGAACCACCTCGTGCCAAGATTGGCGATTTTGGCATCTCCAAGCGAGTGCCCGCAGATAGTTCAACAAAATATGATACGAAGTACAGTACTGGGGGATACTGTGCTCCAGAGATCACCAAGAACAAGATGGGGAAATATACGAAAGCGGTGGATCTATGGTCTTTGGGATGCATTATGTACAAGATGGTCGTTGGGGAAAAGCTTTTCCAGGACGATGTGCATGCAGCGTATGAATATGACGATACCGTATGTGGGATAGAGGGTACGATCAGTCGGCAACTGAACCCCGATGGAGTAAGGCTCCTGGAGTCGCTGATTATAGCCGATCCGGTCGAAAGACCCCACGCAGAGGAGGCATTATCGCACGCCTGGTTTCGTTGACAAGTTTCATGTTCCTCTTAACATAAAGTGAGAATTAATTAGATACAGTCGGATGGATGGATGATTTCATTTACGCTGACCCCTCGCTAAGCGATATGCAGCATACAGCAACTATAAATCAATGTACGTACATGTATCGTGTACCACTTCTTAAACGAACTTGGAGCCTCGTTGGGGCCTGCCGTGGCCTCGTGGCCGGTGTTTTAGATAGCTGCCCTCATGGCGCGCGACTTCGGAACCGTTGTGATGCTTCTGCAAAGTCCAAGACAGCCTCCACTGTCTTAGCCCGCGAAGCAGTACCTCGTGTATCTCTCACTTCTTCCCCATGTCCTCCCAGCAGGGTTGCTATGCTGTTGAACGCGCTGCCAACTTTCTCCCGGAGCTCTTGGCGTAGCTGTCTGAGCTCAGGGCAGTCCAGGAGGACGTGAGTCACACTTTCTCGCTGACCGCAGACGCACTTATCGTCGTCTCGAAAGCGAAACGTCTTGGCATATGTTGATAGCCAGCTGTGTCCCGTTCGCAACTGCGTTAGTAAGTACGCCCGGTTACGAGGCAGAGTCCCGTAGAGCCGCCTCGTATACTTGGCCGGTAGTGTCTTATCGATCTTTCGAAGGTGACCGCCGTTCCGAGACTCCTTCCACTCTTTTTCCCACTGAGCGTAGATGCCTTTCCTGACGTACGCCCTCTCACGAGATAGTAAAGGAGAAAATGGGTGGGTTTGGCCCGGTTTGGCAGCCTCTTTGGCCAACCGATCTGCTGCCTCGTTCCCAGGTTCGTTGGAGTGCCCGGGTACCCACTGTAGGCTGATCACAATGCCATGGGTCCTGGTATTCGTGGCTGCCCGGAGGATGGCATGGATGATCTGCTGTCCAGACTTGTTCCCAGGGTTACGTATCGCTTGCAGTGCCGACATACTATCACTGAGGATGGCTGCGAATTTCACTCGACTACCAGTTGACCTCCGACGCTGCAGTCCGATCTTGTTGATGACGTTGATTGCGTATAAGATTCCGATCAGTTCGGCGGCATGTACTGACCATCGGTCCGCAGGGCCGACCTGGATTTGTAGGTTTTCGGTTGTTTCCAATGAGTCGTTAAGCGTTGTGGCTGCGGCGCCGAGATGACCTTGGTGTCCCGAGGCGTCGGAGTAGACGATGACCTCCATCTTGGATCTTGCTACTTTCGCTCGTTCCATTGCGATCTCTCTGTCGGGTTCGATCTCGATCTTCGAGAAGGCTTCGGTTCGCCATGGGGGGAGTGGGGTTGGATCGATCATTTCTAGTTCGTGTAATCTCTCTATGGACATTGTTTTTAGGGCTTCCGCAAGTGGGAACCGGGCGGACGTCCCGATGTTGTTCCGTCTCCTCTGGGCGCGAAGTAGGGTGTTCCATATTGGGTGTTTTCCTGGCAGTGTATGGAGCTTGGTGATCGTGGTTTGGGCGCGGAGGCGCAGACGGAGGTGGGTTGGTAGTATATATGCTTCGACGTCCAGCGTGGACGTAGCCACGGTTCGAAATGCTGAGAGAATCCGGATGATCGCTGTTCGTTGTACCGTACGTAGGTGTCGTAGATGTGTTTTGTCTCGAAGCGGGTCGTGCCAGACTGTTGACGAATTAGATACAGTCGTTCTCGAAATCGGCTTGACCAATACATACTCAATGACTCTCTTCTGGGCCCACCGCCAAGGCTTTAGCGCACACCTGCCATTGAGCCAGCCACATGATTTTGAGGGGCACCGTAAGTTACGCCCTGTACAGTACTGTATATTTCTATGTAAGTTACAACAGTTGAACGAATGAATTCCGACTTTCTGGATAAAATGAAGGGCGCCTAGAAACTTTTCTTCTCGATGAAATTAATATTTACGAAAATTCTCGCCGTTGCGCGAGCGTCAAAAGCAGTCAGTGCAGCCGGTGCCAAAACAGTATAAATTATATTGGAACTTAGAGAAGCAAAAAAGTTTTCCGTAATTGGGCAAGGGATCGCTTTCGGCAGTGCGGCTGGAAAATCTGTCGCTTTCTTCTGGACAAAGTTAAATTGCACTCAAGCTGCCCATTAGATGACATGTATACCAAGGCTCCATCCGCATAGGCATAACGAGATTTTTCCCAGATCGTACATAATGGATTTGATTCTCTGACGAAAAGTCCAGACTCCTCAAAAGCATGAAATGACAGTCGATTCGATGAATCGGGAAAGAATGCATTTTGGATTGTTGGTGGGGAACCTGGGCCAAGCGAGAACAGCCAGCAGGCCCGTGCCCACGGCTTGAAGGGAATACCCTCTGTAATAGAGGGCGCGACAATTTCCGATAGGTTCCAATTAATATAGTCATTTTCGTCTAATTTCCTCTCAAGCAACATTAGTTTCCCATCACGGTTCTGGAAGCCAATGGCTAAGTTATGGTGCTCAGATCTCCAACCAATTGGTCCTGTGTAGCTCCACCAATTTGTTATTGTCAGAGATGTTCCTGGTAATATATTTAGATCTTTCCCATGATCCATGCATACAACTTGTTGCTGTGGACCAACGAGACACAGGTCGCCGTCAGGGTCTTCGAAACAAAGATAACCTTCGGGCTCTGTCGAAACAGCGAGATTTGAGTGGGGCGCGACCTGGAGTTGGAGGTCAACCAAAGTCCCATGATCCCAGGCGCCGGTGCTGGCATCCAACATTTGATTAGCCAAGAGTCCGTCCTCAGTCACATATATGATTGTTAATGGTGAAAAAGAGTCCTCTGCCAAGCAAGAGGAGAGGAGTGTTATGACGTGCACGGACAATCGCGTCAACGAATAGAATATCATCCCGCTGGTCATCATCAGCCATATCAATATATCCGTATTTGATGTATCCCCCTTGATCCTGAAAGACAACGAAAAACTTGTCTTCAGATACAACATAGTCATATTGGTCAATGCCTCGGTGAATTCGAGTTTCCATTGCGGTGATCGCCAACGATGAAAGGCCGATACGGGAATCCTCAGGCAGGACCAGGAGCGGCAAACTCTGTATCTCTGGCCTTAGTAACTGGGTAAACCGTTCTGGAACCCATTCAAAGCCGTTGAATTTCCCCAATACTACTGGGAGTGGTACGAGAAGTTTTTTCTGCTCAAGACTTGTTAGTATCTCTGCTTCGCTGAAACTGCTCCCCACATACATCAATGATTTTCCATCTGGATTTATCTTCTTTCATCGAAAGCAGCCATGCTTCAGGGCTAGATTGATCAACAAAATGAGTCAAGATCCACTCTAACATGACTCTATTTAATTTATAGGTGAACTTACTGCCCGTGTAGAGATGGATCGCCCCCAATCCCGCACCAAAACATTTCTTCGGAAGTACGACTGATCTTCGAATAGTCCTTTTGAAGTATGGCGGTCTCCAAGCCCATTGAGCTCGCTTTGGAGAAGGAATCAATGGAGGAGAAAGCCGCCTTGGCAGCGATTTTTAGGGTGTTTTCTCTCTGGTCTAATGCGTCTCCTTCTAACTTGCTGACGTTCTCGCTATGAAAAAGAAGGCCACCAAAAGTGGCCTGCATTGCAAATCCGTCCCCTTGAAATGTCAAATTATAGCCAACAGACTCAGAAACAAGTTCAATTCTAGCTTACCGTAGTCCTCTAGAAAAGCCACAGCTCGTGTTCTGTCATCTGTGTGCTTAAGCTGCATAAGCCGAGCTTGGCAGTCCGGGGCGATCGCGAGGGACCGTTGGTCAAGATAAAGTATAAACTTGGGATGCTATGTAAGTTAGAATGTTAGCATCGATCCCTGAGAACTTGATATAGCCCACACGTACCCGGTGCGAGATTTGTAGGTTCTTGGTTCGTGATGACTTTTTATGTTGACGCACGGACACTTGACGAGCCTGAAAGTCCAACCTCATGTCCGTGGCGACGGTCTTCCTATGCCCTTTTAGAGACAGATTCGTCGATTGCGATTCATCAACATTACATCAGGACTTCGATCTCATGTTGGGAGATGCCAGTATCAAGAGCATGCTGTTGACTCTCACATTCAATCCTGACAACTTTGATCTCAGTTTTTTCGTCTTGAACATATTCGGGGCCTTGAAATGGGTCGTAGTCGAATTCAAAGGCTAGGAAATTGGATGGGCATTAGAAAGGCTCAGCTAACGCAACTTACAAGTTACATACCTGTATATTGAGCCATCTCTGGAACACCTGCCTTTCGCGAGACGACGATACCTTTCAAGCAGGAGGTGTTGTTCTTTAAAAGGTCGGTCCATTCTTCCTTGGTAGCTGGCACAGCACTGTGAATAGCCGCATCTCGATAGCTGGGAGGATGTAGTACCCCAGAGCGCTCTGTATGAGTGCCTGCGGCCTGGGAAATCATGTCAGCCATTATAGGGTCAAATCTCTGATTATAGCCATATGCATCGGATAAACTGAAGAATGAGACTGCGTGAGGCAATGGGACAGGACACGAGATAGCCAAGGGAGGTTATAGCCAAGCGCCCAACTTCTCATCCCTTGGCGAACCCCGCTTTGACTCACATGACCAATGCGAATTGTGTCGAACTTGCTTTCAACGGTGATTTATTTGAACTTACAATTCTAATAAGGTCTTCATTTGAGAAAAACAGCTGAGATATAGTAAGTGAAGGCCATATTTTGTCAAGGACTACACAAGCCAAGCCTGACTGGAGGAGTTTGATTCTTCACAGCCATTATTAGTATACGAATATCTTCGAACCAGAAAAGCGGGGCAAGCTGACAGAACACTTCACCGCACCATTACTATCTGTGCAATACATTACCGAACTTGACAGAAGAAAAATAAGTATCGATGAATGGAAATGTGAGTACCCCTATGAACTGAATATTCTAAAGGGGAGAAAAGACTAAATCGACTCAACACAGCAAATTCATCGTACCTTCGTCGTTCGCCGAGCACTTGATGGAATTCCGTTCGGGCGAGATATCTTTGCACATTCTGGATTGCTTCTCCTTACCCAGGATGGCAAATTTTTCCTACTTGAAAGACTAGTTGGCGATGTAGAAGTTGGTATGGCCCCTATCACGATGAATGATCTCCTTCGCCAGAGAAGTCTTTTGTGTTCTTCACGTTCTCGAGGCTTACCAAGCCTGTGTAGGCTTCAAAGAAATCGATGTTTTTGCTGATCAGACCCTTGAGAGCCACCAAATAGTCACCATGGAGGGTATGAAATGGACCAAACAGCTACGTGGGGAAGCTGTTAGTAGGGACTGCACGGTTGACGAAGCACGTGCCTTCTTGGAAGCTTATACTCGAGAGATCAGTTATGATCCACGCAAAGAAAATTGTCATTCTGCGCAGGAGCATCTCAGGGTATGGCTTGGTCAGTCTGTCTCTGAGGAACGACCGCTTACAAAACTTACGAGAAACCTCGCGTCCTGGGTTCCAACTTCTATTGCTAAGAGTACATTGCCGAATTGAGAGATTTAGTGGGACCCGATATGTTTTTTTTTTGGCTTCAAGAATTTGAGAAATGCTGGAGAACTCGAGAAACACCATTTGCCTCATTATAGCTTGTAGTAGATCTAGACGTCTTTTGTAACAACTCAGACACAGACAAGTCAGTGTATTTTCTAACCGAACCTAGAGATATAAGAGCCCGATAGTTTGCTGGACCTGATGCGATTACTTCCCCCATTGTAATAGAGCCAAACCACCATTGTCTAGATCTATCGCGCGCAGTGATATAACCACTTCTTTTCATCCTATTCAATCAAGTAGTGAATACAGGCCGGCGGGTCCTCATAGTGTATGTCAAATCTAGCTGATATGGTATTACTAGTAAATATGATATCGAATGATATCAACGGAATGATCAAAATTGATAATTACATGTTGGGCAGCTTCGTAGGGACCTACTATCGGCTTCTATGGAATTCTACAGAATACTCATATAGAGTTGTGTAATGTTACAAATGATACCGTACCGTATCAACGGATTTGCCTGCATCCTGCGGCAAGTCGAATAATCGATTCCGCGCTAAAGCATTGGCGGTGGGGCCAAAAAGACATTGTTAGTGTCCAGTGGTCAAGGCGATTTCGAGAATGACTGTATGGCCTCTATTCCCCCCGAGCAGTTATTATAATTAGTGGTTGCCTTTACACTTACAAATTGGGTAAGTTCGGCTACCCTTGTCCTGATCCTACGAGCAATTACTACTATTAAACATGTTGCTCTTGCGGGAGGGCCTGCTGTCATCTGTCCGCGCCTCTAATGTTCAGTGTATCTACCTATTCCAAGAGGATAGCAGCAGGAGATGTTCCGAACCCACTACGACAGGGCTTTCGCTATGTCGTATAACGGATCCAACACCTCCTGAATGAAGTCCACATCCTTCACTATTGGGTCTGCCTTCACATCAAGGCACCACGCTACCACTTTCTGATATCTGGCGCCAACCCTCGCCTCTAAGCCCATACATTCTTCTATTAACCCCTCTCGCCAGGTTAGGGGATCACTAGACCATTTCGCAGTGATTATCTTCATGGGTTCCCAGCGACCTATCTGGAGTAACACGACGCCGAGGCTATAGATATCATAGTTTTTGACATATCTTTCGCTCTTGGCCCCAAGGAGCCTATCTGGGTGTTGGAAAACCTCAAAGCTCCATGTGCTCCCAGTCGAGACTAGTGGTCTATTCTCACCCAGCCCAGCGCCCTCTAACTTAGTGGCCATGTCACTGGTGCGGATAATATCGAACCCCATTAGGTAAGGGTCCCCGATCGAGAACGGGAACGTGATTTTGCAGTACCTCTCGGCCTTCTCGAGGATAGCGACGCTTAGAGACGTGATATTTTTGTGCACGAAGCCTGCGGCATGGAGGAAGAATACTGCCTCGGCAAGCTTATATGCAACTTTTAGCCGCTGGTCCAGCGGCGCATAGACACGAGGGAATGGCGACCTGTCTAACAGTGTTTCTAGAGCGTTCATGGAGCCGACACGATAGGGCGCAGTTTGAGCGAAGACAAACCGCCGGCCAGGAAAGTCATACATGTAATGGGCAATCTGGAGCAGGCCGATATTCACAGCTGGATTCAGACAGTTGAGAGCCGCGGCGAGCTGGCCCAGGCCGGACACTAGCTGATGAAACTCAGCAGTGTCCGGCTTGGTGTCGGGTGGGAAGTTCCTGGTTGCTAGGATGAACTGCTTATTCCCAACATCTACTGGCTTGAGTGAGGTATAGTTGGCAATTGCCCGTGTGATTTCCTCTGGAGGATTGCTTTCGAGCATATTCTGAAGTTTCTCGTCCCTTGCTTCTTGGGAGAGGGCTAGGAAGTCCTGAAGTTGGATGTTGGCCTGGACAAAAGGCGAAGCAGGTGCATTGTCACGCTCCGAACCCGGTAAAACGTACTTGAACTCAGCGGGTAGGGCAAGCAGTTTAATGTCGAAACGAGTGGACCATTCGTAGAGCTCCGCCTCGAGTTCCTGGAGTTCGCTCCGCCGACTGATCCACAACATCTGATTGCGCCCCCGCTGGAGGAAACCCGACCCTTGGATCTTCGTCATACTTCCAGCCACCTTACCAGCCAACTTTCCTAGGTACCTTGCAGTGTTCTCAAGGAGCTCCTCATCATTGTCGGATAGTTCGTGACTTGGGTTATGGCGCCGCCTCTCCTCGAAATACTCGATGATTTTGTTCACCACGCGGAGGTCCCAGTTAAAGCGATGAAGGAGCGATTCGGCTTCGTCGGAGTAGGCGGAGCTGGTAGAGAGGAATTTGATTATAATGTCAAGGGCCGTGACAACCGTCCCGAATATGTCCATAATGACACCCAACTGCCATCCGATTTGGATGCGGGGGAGCCCTGGAGGTTGATATGATACTGTATGATAAGGAATTTGTGGGGAAAGAAAAAAGGGGATGGCGGTGAGCGTCGGCCAGGCCAGGTCGCCAGAATTGTCCCTGGGCCCTGCCAAGAAAACCATGTTGTAGTTTACAGTATCTATCGATGACTCATTAAATGATGAAATGCAATATAGTACGATATGCGGATGCGTTTAATTAGGTCTCGTTCATAGAGTAGCCACTTGGCGATAGGTTAGTTTCGGAGACGGACCAAGAAGCAATATGGTACTTGCAGGCGAAAGGAAAGCGTGTACAAACGACTTACGGTAATTTATCATGACTCATCGAGGCTACATAGTGTAATGGGGTCTTAGCCTGATAGGGAAAAGCGGGGCCCTATGAGATAAGAAGAAAGAGTAAAGAAGGTAAATCTGATTTCGAATATCACTGTAACTTAACATGGAGCAACTTTTCACAAGGCGAATTTTGGCACCTGACCCCGAAAGTCTTAAATAACTCTCGTAGTCATGTAGCCTATGGCGGACACGCCCAGTACTGTGAACAATGCCCCCACTACAAAACGGACGGCATGCGACGACCCATGATGAAAGCGAGGTCATTATTGCGCATTGTGTATTTGAAGAACCGCCAGTATGGAAATAAGCAAAGATGAATCCTAAGCTTCGGTAGTCGCACAAAGCACTCCTCGATAATGGGTCTTCCCAGCCTTCAGCTTCTTCAAACTCTTCATGATCCCATCAATTGACATTTCGTCCCGATCAATGATCAGACTGATGTCGTGCCTGGCTGCAAACTCCAACATGGACTTGTATGAGGTCAAGTTTGGTAAAGAAGTGATGATATGAAGACCTTTCATCAAGAAATCCAAGTAGGGGATGTCAAGTTTGGCTTCAGGCTCCAACAGTGCCAGGGGTTAAATAGATCCGCCCTTAGCCATAATTGGCATGAATTGCTTCCAGTCAGGCTGTTGGGACGCGGTGATCAATAGGTGGTTGATCTTTCGCGGAACGCTCAACTCGAATTTGCCCTTGGTCACCACGAAGTGCGAGGCACCCAGCTGGATTGCCTGCTCCCTCTTTGACTCCGTTGTACTGAAAACAACAACTTCACAGCCCATTGCCTTAGCAAACTGAATGGCCAGATGCCCCAGTCCACCAATGCCAATGATACCTACTGTATCATTCGGCTTGACAACTCCGTGGAGCGTCAAAGCGGCACAGACAGTGATTCCGCCGCACATAAGTGGAGCAGCAGCATCAGACGGGAGCTTCTCAGGGATAGGAAACACAAAGGCTTCAGATCTGATCGCGCCGGTAGCAAAGCTGCCAGAATCTGTGCAGTCGAAACCATAAATTTTGGCTGTACATGTACAGTACAAATAATATCGCTGTTGAGGCGAAGGGTCAGGGTAAATGAAATCATCCATCCATCCATCCAGCTGTACAAATAGTCTTTATGGTGTCCCTTGCCTTGAATGCAGTGGTGGTGGAGCCGGTGTAAGTATTCTCATTTCAATTCTGAGAGCCCTGATTGCTTGAATATAGTAGTAAGTACGATTTTGGTTACCCTCTATACCGTGAGAGACAAGTTTCACTAACCGGGGTACTCCAGATAAACTCCGAATATATACAGAGCCGCTCGAAATCAGTTTCACCTCTTTATTTCCTTTGACTCTTCTTCAAACTCTACTCTGAAACACGCCAGTCTATTTTGATTGAGCATATCGTAATATTGTGAAACATAATTTCACTTACGGTCACATGATTTATTTTCTTGTATTCGACTTGAAATAAAATACATTACATTAATGTCCCGACGTCTCTGATATATTGACAGGAAAATTGTCTGCCCAAGGGAAATCAGCAAGAGCAAAATAGGTAAGAGCTAGGTGGCCACAAGTCGTTAGGGAAAGAGACAGGAATACAACGTAATGTCTTCCTGACTACCCTCTGTGGATACATCAGGACTAGGGGATTGAGAAGACTGGTTCCTTAGTTAGCTTGATCAATCACGTGATTGCGGGGTTTACCGACCACTTCGCTACGAACGGGTGGCCTTGTTCAAATACAATCATGGCATCTACGATTTCATTTGGCGCATCAAACTCTGGCTTACAAGCTGGGATCATCCATGGCAATGTCACCACATTCTGTAAGTTGCGGCTTAACTCTAATGGGATCGTTACTCATGGGTAGACTGCGGCACGGTTTTGGGTTTGGTCTTCAAATGCTAACCAAACCCAAATCGATTTGGTCTGCGGCTTTCATATCTTTACCAAACCCAAATCGATTCGGTTTGCGGTTCTAAGATCTTTACCAAAACCTAACCGCAAATTTTACGGTTAACCAAAACCGCAATGCGGTTACCTTGCGGTTAACCGCACTAGCATAAAAGATGAAGATCTTACCTATCTAAGCCACCCCACCGTTTTTATACACCTGATAACTAAGCTCAAATAATGCATTCTTACATATGGTTTCGTTATTACTACTGTAATCATTTATTTTTCTTACTTTCTGTTGGAAATAATTTGAAATAGAGCGGTATTCTAAAAGATAAAATATTAGTCTACAAAAAATTCAAGTTCGAAGTTGGATTTTGGATATTGTTGGCGAGATTTACTGTGTGTTGTGATTAGTTTTTGTAATCGAGTATAGTTATCGCAGAAATATATATTTGACTTAGAGAGATTATGCTGCATCTTTAGGTCAGTAGAACATGAAAAGCCTAACTTGACTAATTTTTAAGTATTCTGAATTTTGATCATATGTTGTAAAAGAGCTAGTTTTTTTTACCTATCCCTAATAATTTTTAATCTAGTATTACAATATAAAAGTGTTAAAAAAGTGTGTCCTAAAAGTGCAAAGTTGCAGTGATAAATGGTTATCTTGCGGTCGTGCTGCGGTTACCTTGTGGTTATCCTGTGGTTTTTGCGGTTTTCAGGGGTATTTTGCGGTTATCTTGCGGTTATCTTGCGGTTTTTGCGGTTTTCGGTAATCTTAGTGCGGTTATTGTGAGGGGTCTTTGCGGTTAACCGCAGGATAACCGCATTAGTAGCTCTAATATCCAATTAGAGTATATCTTTGACTCCACTCTATAATTGCTTTTGCAACTCATCAATGTCCTCGGTCGCGTCTGGTGTTTGTGGTCCTCTCGTCGAATCTTGTAAGTTGTTTGTCTCTCATTTACACATATTGGCTCTTAAGACCATAGCCAAAGATGGCCTATACTTCATCAGTCTTCACCGATCAGCATTCTGATACTGACTTTCTCCTACCAGATGACCTACCATCACTCAATACATATTGTCGTACTGCCACCGAGTCAATTACACCATCCATTTGCTCTCAACAACTGCAATTACCGCGAGCGCCCTTATTCCTTACACGTACTGGGCCACATCTTCAGCGATTTTGGATCCTTGTAGAAATGGACCCCGCAACAGGCCAAACTCGGAAGGATTTCACTGAGTGGTGGCTTCAAACAGAGTATGGCACAAGAAAAGACATCGAGACCACCATTCATTGGGACCACAAAAAGAGAGCTTCAGTCTGGGATCACTTTGAGCAAGTAGCTCATGAACGGACAGGAGAGCCTAAAGTTATGTGTAAGCGTTGCCTTACTACACTTACTCATCCAAATATTCGGCGTGGAGGAACATCACCAATGAACACACATCTGAAAGGGAATACCTGTCATCCAAAGCATGGGATTGGCAAGTTACTTGCGAAGCAGGTAAGTATATATACTCTCTTTAAGATACTGCTTTTAGCTAATAACTTATAATTTGTAGTCACAAACTTCAAGAGCAACTTTAACTACTTTCTCTGAAGAAGCGCTTGCCCAGAAAGTCCTTTCTCTTATCCTCGTCGCACGGCTCCCATTCCGTATCCTTGATCGTCCAGAATTCCAGGAATTAGCTGATCTAATTGCTGTTGCTCCCTCACGGGTCAAACTACCCTCGCCCCGGACGATTAGCCGACAACTACACTCGAATATCCAACAAGGACAACAGAGTATAATAGATATGCTCCCAGAGGATAGTAGACTATCTCTATCACTTGATTGCTGGACATCACCTTTCCAGCAGGGCTTTATGGCTATTACTGGTTATTTTCTGGATAACGATTGGGAGTATCGAGAGGCTCTACTTGGCTTTGAACCCTTACAAGGCTCACATACTGGGAGTAACCTAAGCTCAGTAGTTATTGGTATTCTCGAAAAGTATAAAATTGCCGATCGGGTTCTGTCAGTAACAACTGATAATGCTACCAATAACAATACAATGATGCTCAGTATTCAGGATGAGCTCAAAAGTCAGGGTGTTGGAAGTGACGGGCTTGGTAATGGTATATTTCGTGTTCCATGCCTGGCCCATGTGATCCAACTGAGTCTGAATCAACTTCTCGGAAAAATAAAAGCAATGCCATCCAATAATGAGGCAGAGGATGGATGGTCAGATGACCGTGAGCGCCAGGCGCGTTCTCAGCAATCAAAGAGAGAGATTATCCAGACATTGAACAAGGTATGTGATGATTCAGCAAAAAGAGAGAGAGAGAGGATAACAGCTAATAATAGTTATCTGTAGATCCGAAATCTTGCTATCTTTATTAATGCAAGTCCTCAGCGCCGAGCTGCATTTCTTGTAATCCAGTCCCAGGAGCCTCGACTGCTTCCTCTTCAAGATGTACGGACTCGATGGAATTCTACATTTCTGATGCTCGGCCGAGCCAAGCGACTACAGAAGAGCTTTCAAGAATACTGTACAGCACACGGCTATCTCCATTTTCAGCTTGACAAAGAAGAATGGCGTCAGATCGACTACTTACTGTGTATCACTGAGCCATTCTTCAAGTTCACAACTGCTCTCTCAAAAACAAAAGACACCACAATCCATCTTATCTTTGGTGTTTACAATAAGCTTTTCAATCACCTGGAGAACTCCGAGAACCAGCTTCGCCGAAAGAGACTCCCATGGAAGAAATCAATGCTGAGGGCATTGCAGGCGGCAAGGGAAAAGCTTTCTGAGTATTATCAAGCAACTGATAAGGAGTTTTATGGGGATCTTTATGGTATTGCTACCATTCTTGCCCCATCAAAGAAACTTCGATTCTTTACCTCAAAAGATTGGCAAGGGGATATTGATTTTGGTGCAAGATATCGTGGGCGTCTTGAAAAAGAGTTCTGGCGATACAAACGGCGATTTTCAGATCAGGCTGAAGAATCATCCTCTAATGTCCAGCAGAACTCCAGTGATATTAATGAGATTGAGATGCTGTGTGACTCACAGACTTCATTTTATGCAGCAGAAGTACCAGCAGAGGAGGATGATGATGAACTGGCTCGATATCTTGCAAAAGGTAAGTCTAATTGCCTGTCTGCCTATCTCAGATACTAATTTTATCTAGGCCTTATTTCACAACAGCCCCGTTTATTCTGGAAGGAGCATCAAAAAGAGTTCCCAGTGCTGGCTGCTCTAGCCCGGGATATTCTTTCAATTCCTGCGAGTGGCGCAGGTGTTGAGCGTCTTTTTAACTGTGCTCGAGATATTTGTCACTACAGACGGGGCCGCCTTAACGCTGATACTATCAAGGAGTTGATGCTGCAATCGTGTGCTGTAAAATTCGAGGTTGAACAGAGAGAGATTGACTTTACAAAAGAGCTTGTACTAGCGGGTGAGGCAGCGATGATTGAACAAGACAGAGGATCAATAGCCCCTCTTCCAGCATTGGATCCAATTAGCGATATTGAAGAGAAGGAAGGAGAGAAGGAGGAGGAGGAGGAAGAGGAGGAAGATAGACAGGAGCCATCAGGAGAGACACAAAAACGAGCGCGTTCTGGAAGTACTAGCTCGCAGGAGGATCAAATGGAACACGAAGGCACACAGCGAGCGACGCGGATTCGCAAGAAGCCTAAAATGCCAGAGGGGTTCCAACTGGCGCCTTTGTAGCTTAAATACTGTCAGATTATATTTCTTGATTTGTTCTTCTATCCAGTTTCTTTGTTCTGTAGTCTCTGTATTCCGTATATCCTGGAGATGACTCTTCGCCTGAAAATTAGTCAGAGCTCTCATACATGACCAAAACAACAAAATTACCAAAAAAACTGCATAAAAATCTATCTGCCCAGCAGGTCACGAGGCTTAGCATGTTTGTATTGTTTACAAGACCGCGGTTAACCGCAAAACCGCAGCGGTTTTCATTTGAAGACCAAGACCGAACCGCAAAATTTTGCGGTCTTGGGATGAAGACCAAAACCGAACCGCAAAAATTTGCGGTTTTGATATGAAGACCAAAACCGCTGCGGTTTTGGTTAGGTTTTAGGTTAACCGCGGTCTTTGCGGTTAGTGCCGCAGTCTACTCATGGGTGTGACTTCCTCAGTACAATTAGAATCGTCATTGAACCAAGCGTGCCTACGGGATCTGCGAACGACTAGTCCTCACGATGACAAAGGGCGTATTCAGAAAACAAATGGAGGCTTGCTTAAAGACTCATATTGCTGGATTTTAGACAACGAGCAGTTCAAACAATGGCAAGACAACCAAAGCCAGCGTCTCCTCTGGATCAGGGGGGGATCCCGGCAAAGGCAAGACAATGCTTCTGTGCGGTATTATTGACGAATTGACCCAATCCATCGGGGTCAATGCGAATATATCCTTCTTTTTCTGCCAATCTACCGATGTGCGAATCAATAATGCCACGGCTGTCCTCCGTGGCTTGATTTATTCACTAGTTGAGAAGCGGCCATCTCTTCTCTCCCATGTACGGAGCCGCTACGATCAAGCGGGGAAGACACTGTTTGAGGATATAAATGCTTGGAATGCTCTCTCAAAAATCTTCACCGACATATTGAGAGATTCGACCTTACAGAATACTTATTTAGTGATCGATGCCCTCGACGAATGCGCAATAGACCTCCCTTTCCTTCTGGACTTGATTGTCCAAGAATCATGCACCCACTCGCACGTGAAGTGGATTGTTTCGAGCCGCAACTGGCCTGATATTGAAGAGCATCTAGATACTGCAACTCAAATAGCGCCAATCTCATTGGAGTTAAATGAGGTGTCTGTATCTGAGGCTGTGAAGAAGTTCATTCAGCACAAGGTTCAAAAATTGGTTACAGATAAAGGGTATAACGATAAAATTCGTGATATGGTCTACTATCACTTATTATCACACTCGCAAGGCACTTTTCTATGGGTGGCCCTGGTCTGTCAGGATCTTAACAGAACATCGCGGAGACATGTCCTCAAGAAGCTTAAGGATTTACCCCCTGGATTGAATGCTTTATACAGTCGAATGATTGATCAGGTTCGAAAGTCGGAAGATGCTGAGTTATGCAAGCAAATACTGGCTACCATGTCAATAGTGTATCGGCCTATTACTCTTGACGAATTGACCGCCCTGGTGAAAATACCTAATGATGTCTCTGGTGACCACAAAGATTTATTGGAGATTATCGCAATTTGTGGCTCGTTTCTGACTTTGCGTGAAGAGACCATTGTTTTCGTACACCAGTCTGCCAAGGAATTTCTACTTGAAAAGGCGCGAATCGAATTATTCCCAGGAGACAAGGAAGCCGCACATCTTGCAATTTTCGCGCGATCTCTGCAAACGATATTCAAGACACTTCGACGTAACATCCTTGGCGTTGCGAATCTTGGAACTTCGACTAAGGAATTCATACAGCTAAGTCCGAATCCTTTAGCGGCTGTAAAATACGCGTGTGAGTATTGGATTGATCACCTTCAGGAAGGTTGGTCTGGTAAAGTTAAGGATCACAGCCTTAATAATGGAGGATGCGTGGATCGTTTCCTGCGGCAAAATTACCTTCACTGGCTCGAAAGTCTTGGGATTTTGGGTAGCGTGCCACAAGGCATAAAGGCTATGCTGAAGCTGGAGGAGTTACTCCAGGTGAGTCATAATTTCAATTCGAAAAATATTCCGACATCTTACCCGGAACCTCTTTGTAGAAAAGAGGAAAGTCAGAGGCCCTGTTAGACCGAGTTCAAGATGCGTCCCGCTTCATTCGATACTACAGCCAAGGAATCGAAAGTAGCCCCCTTCAAGTATACAGCTCAGGGCTTATCTTTAGCCCAACTCGGTGTATCACGAGGACATGTTATCAGAAAGAGAAATCAGATTGGATTTTGAATAGCCCCGTGATAGGTGAGAGCTGGAGTCTATGTCTTCAAACACTCGAGGGACATAGTAGTTCGGTCACCTCGATTGCCTGGTCTCCAAATGGGAGCCGACTCACATCAGCGTCGGATGACAATACCGTCAAAATCTGGGAGCCGACTACAGGCCAGTGTACATTTACACTTGAAGGGCATGTTAGCCTAGTTATCTCAATTACCTGGTCTCCAGATGGAAGCCGAATCGCATCAGCGTCGCATGATAACACCGCCAGGATCTGGGACCCGGTTACCGGCCAGTGCATATCTATCCTCGAGGGGCATAGTGGCCTGGTCAGATCGATATTTTGGTCCCCAGAAGGAAGCCGAATCGCATCAGCATCGCATGATAACACCGCCTGGATCTGGGACCCGGTTACCGGCCAGTGCATATCTATCCTCGAGGGGCATGGTAGTTCGGTCACCTCGATTGCCTGGTCTCCAAATGGGAGCCGACTCACATCAGCGTCGGATGACAATACCGTCAAAATCTGGGATCCGACAACAGGCCAGTGTATATTTACATTTGAAGGGCATAGTAGCCTAGTTATCTCAATTCCTTGGTCTCCAGATGGAAGCCGACTCGCATTAGCGTCGCATGATAACACCGCCAGGATCTGGGATCCAGTTACCGGCCAGTGTATATCTATCCTCGAGGGGCATAGTCGTGTGGTTAGCTCGATTGTCTGGTCCCCAGAAGGAAGCCGACTCGCATCAGCGTCTTATGATAAAACCGTCAGGATCTGGGATTCAGCTACCGGCCAGTGCACGTCTACGCTCGAGGGACATAGTCGCTCGGTCAGCTTGATTGCCTGGTCCCCAGATGCAAATCGACTCGCATCAGTGTCGTATGATAACACTATCAGGATCTGGGATTCAGCTACCGGCCAGTGCATATATATCCTTGAGGGCCATAGTAGCTTGGTCAGCTCGATTGTCTGGTCCCCAGAAGGAAGCCGACTCGCATCAGCGTCTTATGATAAAACCGTCAGGATCTGGGATTCGGCTTCCAGTCAGTACACATCCACCCTTCAGGAGTATAGCAGTCGGGTCATATCTATTGTTTGGTCCCCAGATGGAAGCCAACTCGCATCAGCGTCGGATGATAATATCGTCAGGACCTGGGATCCAGCCACCGGCCAGTGCACAATTACACTCAAGGGGCATAGTAGTTCGGTCACCTCGATTGTCTGGTCCCCAGAAGGAAGCCGACTCACATCAGCGTCGGGTGATAATACCGTCAAAATCTGGGATCCGACCACAGGCAAGTGCATATTTACACTCGAAGGGCATAGTAGCCTAGTTATCTCAACTACTTGGTCTCCAGATGGAAGCCGACTCGCATCAGCGTCGCATGATAACACCGCCAGGATCTGGGACCCGGCTACCGGCCAGTGTATATCTATCCTCCAGGGACATAGTAACTGGGTTATCTCGATTACCTGGTCTCCAGATAGAAGCCGACTGGCATCAGCGTCACATGATAATACCGCCAGGATCTGGGACCCGACTACCGGCCAGTGCATATCTATCCTCGAGGGCCATAGTAACTGGGTTATCTCGATTGCCTGGTCCCCGGATGGAAGCCGACTGGCATCAGCTTCGGGTGACAATACCGTCAAAATCTGGGACCCGACCACCGGCCAGTGCACGTCTACGCTCGAGGGACATAGTAGCTCGGTCACCTCGATTGCCTGGTCCCCAGATGGAAGCCGACACGCATCAGCGTCGGATGATAACACTGTCAGGATCTGGGATTCGGCTACCGGCCAGTGCACATTCACTTTTAATGTTTGTGCATTCAACTTTAATGATAATTTCCCCCGTCAATCCGTCCAGTTCAATAGAACAATGCCCAACCATCTTCACACAAACGTCGGCACATTCAATCTAGGATCTCCCGACCCTGTTGCGTCTAGCCCCTGTCATTTTACTTTACCAGGGAAATATGGATATGGCTTAGGCGATGGTGCTTCATGGATAACCTATAACGGATTTAACCTGTTGTGGCTGCCTGCGGAGTATCGACCGTCCAAACCCTCCTTATTTGCTATATCTGAAACAACGGTGGCGATTGGCTGCTCATCGGGTCGTGTCATATTCCTCGCACTCTCAGAGTGAAATATTTCTATCGTTTGAGGTTCATCCTATATTTCCTTGTTTTTCCTCTGTATCCTATCCTCACTAGCTACCGAGCCCCATTGAGTAGCATCCTCAGGAAGTAAACGTATTAATGCTGTGATCTCACTGGCAATGCAACGCGATTTGGAGTTCAAATCCTCTCAAATAATTCTCGACCCAAACATAATCAACCCGAGAGACTAAGCGCAAGATTTGCCATTCTGAGGTTGAATATAACCAGCTGTTGCTTAATGTGAGCACTGATCAACACCCGCAGTTTTCGGATCACAAAAGGTATCGCCATATTCCGAGGCCCTGCATTTGTTTGGTTCGTTTCAAGGAGTTTGTTCTAGACAACTCAAAGCCCATACAATAGAATACAATGACTATTTTTATCCATTTATTACAGTTGTACTGGAATACCGCCGAATACCGGGTCAGGGGTAGTCTAACCATATTAGGTATGATGCTATGCAAGGTAAAAGTTCAAGAAAGACATGAAGAAGAAAAAACAGTGAAGCTGATTTCGAGCGGCACTGTACTAGGTAGTGGCGCTAGTTACGGGACGTACTGTATTCGCTATATCTAAGGTACTCAAGTTGAATTACTGTTGATATCGTAGGAAGCGACCTCTGCCCGTTGCTTCACCCAAAGACCAATATCACGCACAAACCGTCGGGCAGCACCTAATTTTACGTCATGCTGGACGAAAAATTCAGGGTTCTGATCCTCATGAAGTTGCGACAGATCAAGGCAATATTCGAGAGTCACCTCACGTGCTCTTTTGATATTATCCCTAAAAGTCTGATTTTGCACTCGTGACAACTGCCACTCGGTATATTCATCCACAGCTAAATCAAGAAGTCCATGAATTACGACGGGCTCAGCATTGCTTGACCCAGCCGGTGCAGCTTCATCGGCACACGAGTGAGGCGTCGGTAATTGGGACGATCCAGTGGAAACGAAATTATTGATGATTGTCGGTGGACTCGATGATCCGGTTTTGGAGTTGTCTCGATCATTTTTCTGTTTTTCACGCCGCTGGTCCTCTTCAGCATATAACTGCTCGCGAAAACTATCGGGAACATCATCATGGTCCTCAAGGACTCCACCTTGCTCCACGAATTTTATCAAGGCCTTGAGATGGTGTGTTTTCAATCTGTGATGTCGTTTCCCCTCCGGATCTTGCCAGCAGTACTGCCCTTCATGGCGACATGGGGGGCCAGGGCATCGCATGATTCGATATATATCCCGCCAAACTGGATCGTGACCGGAGGTCTGCTCAGCATCCATCTGAATATCGCGATTAGAGAGCATCCTTTTAGTAGTCGATGACTTCCCTCTCTTGTCGGTACTAGAAGGAAGAGGTCCGCTGTCATCTATGTAATTAATGGATATCTGAAGCCGAATCTTCTTGCCAAGACGAAACAGATGAGCCCATGCTAGTAGCTGTTTCTCTACTACTTGCCAATCAACAGTCGTACCCTCAAATCGTTTGTCAATATCCCGTTGGGACTTTACCGACAACACCATATTAGTGTCATCCAGTCTCACCCGCCGGGTGCGGGCTACTTTCCGTCGTAAAATATCACTGGCCTCTCTTTGTATATCTTCCCAGTAGGAACTGGGCGGGAGAGTCAAATCTTGTTTTGTATCCTTCACCACCACTCGATTATTCAGTTTAGCTTTCCACTCAATCTGGTAATGAATACAACCAGGTGACTGTTCATCCCATGCATTTTCATAATCACATCTAATCAATGGGTCAACTCCTGCTTGCCCAGGTCGATGTTGGCACGAGGATGAACGCTGGTCAACTAAGTCCTCCTGATCCGGTGAGGGGCAGATTACTGATGGCGTGTATTCGCGGTCCAGGTATCCGGGGGTAGGCGCATAGGAGGGCGTCCGTTCAAGGTGGTAGGTTTCATAATCATCGTTTAAATGAGTGTAAGTCATTCCCCCAAGGCAGAAGATGCCAAAGAGGATCCTGGAAACATCATTTTGTTGTCAGCTTCCATCGAACACGTGTCACGTACATCAATCGAAGAGGGCTGGGGCTAACAAGCTGAATGTTGTGGTCAACGGGTGCATGTGTAGTCTGCAGGTAAGCACTCTAACGCCAGGCGCTAGTTACACTACTAGGTTCTATGTGAGTCTCCGAGTCTGTCAGTGTGACAGGAGTGGCAGAGGAGGAGGTAGCAAGTCAGCTCTCGCTCAAGCGTTTGGTTAGTTTGTTTGCATCAGGTGGATTCCACCTGGTGGAAGCTTCTAGTTGCTGTTGGATCGTGAATACAGTGACAAAACCAAAGCGCCGTATTATAACTTGAGTATAATACGTATGATGTAGTATTCGTAGAATACATGGGAAGATCAATAATCCGAGAATGTTCCTAATATAGACTAGTCCGCTTAGGTAATCGAGATAAAAAAACAGTTTAAGAGTGAAAGTGGTGGCACCAGTTTCGGAACACACTGTATGAATGGAATATTATATAGAATTCTGACGTGCGTTTATGATGTCTGAGATTCAGTCCATGGATATGTACAGTATAACCATCCTCAATGGCCACTCGGACGGCTGCATGGGAAGAGAAGATGACAGGTGACCGGATCCGTGCATCTCTTTGAAGGCTTTGGCAATATACTTGATTTCCCCAGGAGTTACTGTAACTTGACCTGTCCCTCGTAGAAAGTCACCTCTTCGTCGTGAGGGATGTCAGTAAGTTGGAATTCAAGGTCTGACCGAAGCTGCGAACTTTCCAAATTGAAACTCGGGTGGAAACTCCTTTATTAGTTGTGACCACGCGGCGGGAAGCTTTCAAATGAACACGTCGATAACTTCGCAACGCCGACGGGCCTTCGAACAACCGATCTGCCTACAGTACATATTATTAACCAATCCTCACCAGGCTTTGTTCACAATAACTCATCTGCTTTACCGGTTCAATCGCATGTCGATTCGTCAGCCCTTCGTTTGCTATCTGGTGTTGCCGCCAGCGAGGCAGTCAACTACTTCGGACGTTAATATGAGAAGTACTCTTGGTGAATCGCTACTCGGGGAAGAGGTTCACGAAAAGTCTACATCAATAATGGACACGTGAGGGGTCTGGTGTTACAGAGGGATGGGCTATTGCTTTTGGAGGAGATAATATGACGACGACAACAACAACAACAATTACAGTAAATTGCCCTGGTCAGCAATCAGGATTTGGATGTATAAAAAAAGAGACCTGAAAATTACAGTAACATTTTCAAACTTTCTCATACGGCTTGGCGTGCCCTAGCATTAAGGTTCTGACAAGAAAAAAGCGCAGGAGGTACAGTAATCGTAAGCAAACAGCTTTGACGGCACATTGACTGATAATATCTTCGACAACTTAGCAATGCATGGCAGCCAACAAATATGGATGAGGTCATATACGTTCAAAATAAATTTTTGGTGGTAAATTTGGTAAGATATGGGAAATGAACGAGAGAATATTGGCAAAGGCTATTTATTGGTACTATCCGGTGTGATGTGAGTTGGTCGTAATTCGTTCAATTCCATTGTGCTGGGGCAACACTGCCGTTTTGCTTTCAAGCTGAGGGCCCTTAAGTTCTAATAGCGGATTAATAATCCAGCATTTAGTATCTGTCCATAGAATTGACTGGACATAGTTATTAAATCACTCGAGTCCCATTTTCTTTCTCTTCCCGCCAAACGAATTAATTCCCTCACAGCGCCCGAATGATCTAAAACTTATCTAGCTTGTAGATTGCCCAGATCTATTTCATCATCAGAGTAAGGATGCTCCTTCTAAGCTTATTGACAAGCCTTGCCTGTTTCGGAGTTACCGTATCAGCAGTTACCGCCAGGAACGATGATGTGACTGATTCTCATTATTATCAAAACGTCATATATTGGGGGCAGAACGGAGGATCTGCTGTTGAAAACAATGATCTATCAGTTTACTGTGCACCATCCGCCGGTATTGACATAGTAGTATTAGCATTCCTATATGGATTTGGCAATGGTAATACAATTGCCTCGGGTACCATTGGACAGTCATGCTCAATTTCCGCATCTGGTGGTTCTTCTCAATGCGAAAATATAGCAACTGCAATCAAGAAATGCCAGTCAAACGGCGTCAAAGTCATTTTGTCGCTTGGTGGCGCGGTTGGAGCATACTCACTCTCATCTCAGCGGGAGGCTGAAGCTATCGGTCAATATCTTTGGGATGCATATGGCAACGCGGAAAGTGATACGGTCCATCGGCCCTTTGGTACCACGTTTGTTAACGGCTGGGACTTCAATATCGAGGTGTCCGGTGGTAACCAGTACTACCAATATCTTATCAACAAATTGCGCTCTAACTTTGATTCCGACCATTCCAATATTTATTACATTACGGGGGCGCCACAATGTCCTATTCCAGAGCCTAATATGCAACTGGCGATCACAAATACAAAATTCGACTATCTTTGGGTCCAGTTCTACAATAACCCGAGCTGCTCGGTTAATGGGCCCATCAATTTCGATGCCTGGGTAGCGAACGTCGCCGGGACGCCATCTGCCAATGCTAAAATTTTCATCGGTTTACCGGCTGCCCCTTTTGCAGCAACGGGGACCTCCAGCGGAGCTCAATATTATCTACAGCCAGATGCGCTGGCAACCTTAATCTGTGGTCATATCAGTGAGGCCGCGTTTGGTGGAATTATGATGTGGTCCGCCGGATTTTCTGACTCCAATATCGGTAATGGATGTAACTATGCTCAACAAGCCCGAAATATCCTCGATACGGGATCCCCATGCTAGCGGTTCTGAGGCAGCTATTTCAGAAGTGGTGAAACATTCGCTCTCTATCATAACGCGGGTGAGAACAAACCTTGAGGACGAGAGACTTGTGGCCATGTCGCTGGATTAGTAACGGTAAGTAGAAAGCCCTTGTGCAGGAAGCTGTTGATCGTCACGAAAAGACGAAAGGGGAGGAGGTACCATGTGTCTGCTAGTTTCGTGTAAAATACGTGAAATTTTGTAGACAGCGGTCTAGATCAAAGTACTTACAGTACGAGAGGCGACAATAAATTATGGCCTACTCGGGACATTGTAATCACCCATGGCAAATATCGTATAAAATCTAAGTAGCGCAGGATGTAGGGTGGTATCATCAATGTCGATGTCAAAATAGTCTAATGCAAAGCCAAAATGCCCCAGCATCACCATCCTTGCTCTCGTCTGGAGTAGGATTCGCGTAACATTTTAGTTGACACTCCCATGCCTCTGAAGTAAAAATTAAGAGGGACCCTAGCCCAAAAGATTCGTATGCAAGAATATTGAAAGTTTTGAGCGACTGAAGCTTCTAATCGACAAGCATGACACAACGTTGGTCCGATCATTGTAGATAGATGAACCTGGCGATTATACTCATGACAAGATCGAAGAATTAACCTGCTGAAGTCCCATTACACACGGGCAGTTCGATAATATTGTCTACTTGAGAGAAGGTGATCATGTCCGGGGAACAGATTAAGATACCATATATTCAATAAATTATATCCACTAGATGTCTATGATTGTAGAGCAAGGGTCCAGCCCAGTTGTTTCTTGCTATTTGTCGGTGATCCTTGTAAGCATGATCAACATGCCTTATTGATCAGGTCAATCCAAGAAACATATAGCTTTATCTCAAAGACATTACTGAAGTCTTTTATTCCACGGTTTTGATTCAATTTTATGGTTAGGTAGTGCCTTGGGATGGGATTCAGGTTTACATGATGTATCAAATATAATATCGACCATAAATATACCGTAAAAAAGTCAGACTCAATCAAAATTGGAGAATGGAGCAATAATCCTCTATCCCCTCAGCGGTTCTGGGCGACGGTTAGCCTCTGCATGTGGCAGTGTGTAACATATTTCACTCGGTTCAGCCCGTCTCTTCCTCCTCTTTGCTTCTTTCGCGGCTTCATTTTCTTCACGTTTCCTTTTGCCACTGCAATGTCCTCAAACGCCATGATCTTAGCCTTCCCTACTACCGTCGACTTTGTACGCTGTCAACTTTTCTTCTCGTTATTCTGCTCAAACAAGTCGGAGTTCTGACGTAGAAGAAGCGAACGCTCCGCAAATGCTCTTTCCGTCGCATCTAATTTATCTACATCTACTCACACTGCCTAGCCACCGTTACCATAAGGTGGGATTACCCGACAACTTACAATCACCAAGCCCTGAGCATGTGCATATCTGTACCCATGCTGACCTGAAGCATGTTGCGGAGTACCCACACTATTGTGCCACAATAGGATCCAACAAACGCCAATCGACAGATGATAACACCCATGGGAGGTCTGAGGAAAATGTAAAGGCAGGATACCATGCCAGCCAGGCTTGCCATGCCAACTTCGGACCACGGTTGAACCTGGCAGCCAGCTAAAGTACTTGACCAAACATTTAGTATGTGGGCATTATGTACCAAAAGGGTAAAGCTGACTTACAACCAAGCCCCCGAAAAAGAATGCCGCAGTTCTTATTCCAAGGGACGTTGATATTGTTCGATGATTTGCAAAGCTGTCTGGCTTTGTATCAACAATCGACGCCAGTCCGTGGCAGGCACAGGCATAGAAGAAAACAAAGGCACCATTACTGTCATCACCAGTCTCATATACCAGGGCCTTTCCTCCGCCAGAATAATATCCACTTGCCCAAAATAGCCAGAGAATGGCTCCATTTGATATTGAGTCTAAGACTGGTATCTCCTTAAGCCGCATCGGCGGCGAGGAGTATGCCCAAGTGAGAAAGAGAAATGATAAAGTGCATAGTAGCAATCGAGGAGTTTGAATTGCTGCAGGTATGGAACACAAGACGATAAGGATAGTAGTAACCTTAGCAATAAGGAGCACGAAATTATGATTTTTCCGAGGTAATAATGCACCTTCTGACCAAAACTTTGTCTTTCGAGGATTTTGCATATCGGAATCATAGTCGTAAATATCATTAACACCAAAAGTGACTTGCACAAGTAATCAGAGTTAGAAGCAATCAGAGTTAGAAGCATATCCTTTCTTTGTGAGAGTTCCTACCTAAGCACAAAGGTAAAGATAGAGCAATGGCGAATAACATTGCTGGTATTGTCGACGGAACGACATCGGCGTGGATGATGCCCAAAAGGTAGAGAGATGGGGCCACTGGCCACCAAAGAGGGCGACTGGCCATGCATAACACTTTGAGTTTCTCCGAAGGGATCCATGTAGAAGGCTTGGACATATCTCTAAACTCTTAGTACTGTGAGCAAACCTGAAATTTAGATTTTGACAGAAATGTCTGACCTTGTAAATATCGAGGAGACATACACCTCTTATAGACTTGTGCCTTGGCAAATACACTGCTCCCGAGGGCCATCGAGCCAATATTTGGCTACGTTATGTAGCAAGGCCCTTTCCGAAGTACGGCAATACGAAGCTAAGGGCAGTGCAGCTCTGTTAGAGAAAGCAAATTAGCGACAATTCCAGATCGGCTAGACTGCTGATCAATTTTACGAAATCCAACGGAAGTAAGAGTATTATACCGATGACCCATCGCTTATTTGCAGTCATTACAGATACCATTTTGGCAAAATTACAAAACTGGTAGCTTAAGGCAAGCTAGCGCATATCAGATAACGTAATCCACATACGAACGGATCACACAAGCGAGCGGATCAATCCGCTCACCACTACGTTTTTGAGCGGCTCGATAGGCTCTGGTAGAGGTTGCTCAACAGGTTCAACAGCTTGAATTGGCTGCTAAATAACCTGTAACGCTTCTTCAACGGTAAACCCTCCTTCGTGTGGTATTTTTCGATATGATTATGTACGCTTTTGTCGTTTCTTTTATTTGCAGTGCGTAAAATAACATCTTTTAAGAACTTGGATATCTAGGATTTATTCTCCGGGAATCAGGTCTAAGGAGTGCAGGGTCAAAAAGAATTCGAAAACTACTGTACTGTGCTAGAATAATGGGCTAAGGGGGATGACGGATGATCTAACACCGTTTTCCGGAAATACTGTTTAAAGATAGAGTTCATGAAACTCATTATATGATCAGCCAATAGCTTTCAATTGAACAAGTTTAACGCGTTCATGTGGTGCTAATTGACAATGTCGCACACGCTGAGTAACATTTGGATGCTGGCTTGGCGTGTAAAATTGATTACTCATTATTTGGTGGATTGGTAGATCGAATCGGGGGTATATTGAACTGTTCGTATTGTATAAAGCGGGTGGTAAACGCGTGCGGTGCAGGAGTGGTAAGCGGATGATTTGGTGGGCGGTATGTAAAACCGGTCAAATGTGCAGCAATCTCACTCTTCGAGTGATTCTAGCCCCACCACCAAGAATCGCTAGTCCGAACTGGAATTTTCCAAAGGAATGTTATAACCCATTTCGAAATATTAAAGTTTCATTTCAAATTCTCTTAGCATCGATAATTCAATATTCCCTTGAGCTCGAGCAAGCCAAAATGGTCAGTTCCTGCCACCCGCTAACTTCACACTGCAAAAAGTCATTTATGTTGATCCGTGGATCAACCTTGGGTCCCCATCTGGTAGATAATGTTCAGATCTGCCTTCACCGCATTTTACTGAATTCGGATGTGCTTATAGTTCCTACAATATATTTAAACTCATTGTGCTGTCTATATTGTCATAAGAATATAATACAACTCATCGTTATTGAGAAATTAAGTTGTGCTTTATTTATTTTATTATCGTTTGGGGGTGCGCAATTGCCTTACATGCGCAGCTCTCTTACCGAATAGTTACAAAGTTAAGGAACTAGTTGGGAGAAAAAAAACGATTGAATTGCCATCCACTCCATTAGCTAGTTACAGTTACCCCCATGGGATCGTATGTGAGAGAAGCAACTGACTATGAGCCGACAGGTTTCAAGACAACACCCCCAGTAAGAGGGTTCGGGCCACACCACCCATAAAGGTCGCAGCGGCATTGCAACTCGTCAGAACAGCTAAAAAGCCATTATATCAGTTCAGGCTCTCGTCGACATTGGGAGAAAAAAAAATACTGATTAGCAGGCATCTGAAAAATGATATGCCATAGCTTCTCCATCATCCAGCCTATCCCATAATTATCCGACCATTGAGTTTTAGCAACCCAATCTATAAATCGCTCATAATCACTAATGGGCCTGTTGAGAATTATTTCCTTCGCGACAGCAAACTGCCCACAGCACATATGCCCGATATTGTCGGGAGGAGGGCCAGACCTAGTCCCCATAATTTCAGTCCAAATTAGATCAAAATTATCGACCAGATTCTGATTCTCAACATCGGATTGCTGAATAATGTCCTGGCGGAGACTGCTCGGGCACCCGGGTCGGCGTAAACGGCGTAGATTCACGTAGCCGAAGTGTTGGACCGCTTGCATGCGTAAAATAGGGAGCTGATTCAAGGTCTTGGGCCCGGCAACATCGTTATGCCAATGTTCTTCGCGGCCGTGAATAAATATGGTGTACTCATGGAGACTGTCATAGTATTGCGTGAGGTAGGAAAGATAAGCACCTGCTTCGTGGCCCCTATTTGTGTATGGAATGAGGAAGCCTTCTTCCGGCTCATCATCCAGCGAATAGATGTATGGGGTACACCTGCTGATGACGGAGAATATCTTGTTAGGATACATGCACTGAATGATGATAGCTGGGAAAAATATTACTATTTTTCACAGTACGAAAAGACCCAGTCAACTGATTCCTCGATTGTTTTTGCGACGACAAGGGCGACATCTTTGGGGTCCGTGTGGTGGGCCAGTCCTGTTTCAAGATGGTAAGCACTTTCGGTTATGGATTTTCACGTCGTTCTCAACATACTGTTGTTGCCATTTCCGTTTAACTTTGTCGGTGATTTCGGGGTTCTGGCCTTCGGTTGCGGCACTGAAAGTTCCTGCAGGTATATGGAGGAGCGATAAGTCAAATAAAAGTCGTATAAAAGAAAGCATGTTATTGCACTCAAAGCAAGAAATAAAATCTTAGCCGTTGTTACGCCAACCATACAATGAGGTATAGGAAATGCGGAAGAGGTGCCTATGCACCACTAGAGTTGATACATCACCTCGCTTACCTGCCTGCATACGCACACAGGCATCCCCTCAAAAGGAGGAGCTGGATCCTCTTAGGAGGTCCAGCGATTAGTCTGAATATCATCATACCCATATGAGGCATATCTCACATTCTTCACTCGTATCTCAATCGTATCAGGACGCCCCCAGGGGATTGTCCTAACAGCCGTCCGAGAGTGATTTGGATAACCCCCATCCCGGTGACATGAAATGCCCTGTGTGATGAAACACCTGCCAGGTACCTGCACATTCGAGCACCGTCACTCCCAATCCACATATTGAATATCGCCTGAGAGCAGCAGAAATAATTATCCTTTGATTCCTTATTTGATCGTGCTATCCAAACAAAAATTCCAAACCGCTTACATGGCGAATTACAGGATGACACGCACGACTAGAAAATCCGCTTTTAACTACTATGACGCCAAGATCATCCAAAAAAACGTCTGGGATAGTTAAGAAAAACAATATTACATCATTTCGGTTACCTAGTTATCTATTGTGATTTCTTATATTATCATAATTATTTTATGTGAGAATGTACCCATCTTAGTGGAATTCTTGGCAGCAGAAAGTTACATAAACCGAAAGTACTGATAAGGTGAATACACGGCAATGAAAGAAGCTAACTTGACGTATGAAAATTACTAGCACCTCCCGAAGGAACAGCCCCACAACCATATCCGCAAGTAGGAGAGGGCCTGTTCTAAGGAAACATAACTCTGGTAAAGGTACTTTGGAACCGAAAGAAACCATGAGGGTATACATTGCTGCAGTTGAAGTCACAAAGTATGGGTATTACATGTATATATGCATGTATACTGTCTCAACACTGAATGCTATAAATACAGGTCTGGGGTTACGAAGTCTCTTCAAGTTTGCCTTGTTGATCGCGGAAGTCTAACGAATATGCGGACTGATCACTGTTTCGGGATATGTACGTCCAAACACATCAACATATCTTTATATTACCCGTCATATATCACTTCCGCCTCTTCATATTTCCTATGGCCAAGATTTAACAATTTAAACATTCCTACAGCACAAAAGTCATACAGTATACTATGATATCGATTTTCCGAAGTTTACTCTATTCTACTCATGTTGGGATACAATAATAGCTGCCCTGAGACAGCTAGCTATTTTGCCAACGTCGCCAAGAAATTTAGTCTCTCAAGATTTCAGTCGACGTCACGGTCATTTTTCTCTCCCAGTGATCGATGATGTCTTTGCGACAATTGAAGCAACGGATGAGGAGTGGAGAATATGTTCTTAGGCAGGATTCCTTGCTGCATGAGGGTACTAGAATCCACAGTCTGTACCCGTCGATATATCGCTTGCACCTCTTCATATTTCCCTTGCTTGGAGATCACATTACCAAGATCATTGATACTGGAAAGTGCGGAGGGATGCTCGCATCCAAGGACCTTCTCTCGTGCTTCCAATGCATGTTGATGCATCGCTTCTGCCGCTTCATATCTCCCTTGATTGTCGAGCACATTGGCAAGATTACTGACATTGTTGAGCATATCGGGATGCTCGCGGCCAAGTACCTCTTCACATCCTTCCAATGCCTGTCGAAGCAGTATTTCTGCTAACGTATATTTCCCTTGACCGAAGTGCATATTGCCAAGGTTATTGATACTGGTGAGCGTGGAGGGATGCTCACATTCAAGCACTTTCTCATTCCCTTCCAACGCCCGTCGATGCATCGCTTCTGCCTCTTTATATTTCCCTTGCCTGGATAGGACATTGCCAAGGATACTGACACTGATGAGTGTGTCAGGATGCTCACGTCCAAGTACCTTCTCACTACCTTCCAATGCTCGTCGATCTATCACTTCTGCTTCTTTATAATTACCTTGACTAGAAAGCACATCACCAAGGCTACCGACACTGGTAAGCGTGTCAGGATGCTCATGTCCAAGCACCTTCTCTCTTGCTTCCAACGCCTGTCGATGCATCGCTTCCGCCTCTTCATATTTCCCTTGCCTGGAAAGCACATCACCAAGGTTACTGACACTGGTTAGCGTGTCAGGATGGTTGTGTCCGAGCACTTTCTCACTACCTTCCAACGCCCGTCGATTCATCACCTCTGCCTCTTTATAATTACCTTGACTAGAAAGCACATCACCAATGTTACTGAGACCAGTGAGCGTGGAGGGATGCTCACGTTCAAGCACTTTCTCATTTCCTTCCAACGCCCGTCGATGCATCGCTTCCGCCTCTTTATATTTCCCTTGCCTGGATAGGACATTGCCAAGGATACTGACACTGATGAGTGTGTCAGGATGCTCACGTCCAAGTACCTTCTCACTACCTTCCAATGCTCGTCGATCCATCACCTCTGCCTCTTTATAATTACCTTGACTAGAAAGCACATCACCAAGGCTACCGACACTGGTAAGCGTGTCAGGATGCTCATGTCCAAGCACCTTCTCTCTTGCTTCCAACGCCCGTCGATGCATCGCTTCTGCCTCTTCATATTTCCCTTGCCTGGAAAGCACATCACCAAGGTTACTGACACTGGTTAGCGTGTCAAGATGCTCGTATCCAAGCAGCTTCTGTCGTGAATCCAATGCCTGTCGATGCATCACTTCCGCCTCTTCGTATTTCCCTCGCCTGGACAACACATCACCAAGGTTACTGACACTGGTGAGCGTGTCAGGATGCTCGCGTCCAAGCACCTTCTCTCGTGCCCCTAGTGCCCATCGATGCATCGATTCTGACTCTTCATAAGCTCCTTGAAGATCTAGAAACCATCCACAGTTAGATAAGAGGGTAGCCGCGTTTAACCGATCTCCATCATCTACAGGATATATAAACTTCAGCACACTTTTGGCATGCGCAATGAGCGATCGACATTGCGTCCAGCTTTCGTAATTGCCATCTGGAAATACCCGTGCCATAATCCCTCGTGATTCGGCCTGCCAGCTGTGAAGCTGCTGGTGCATGCCCAGCCACGCCCGAACCGATAATTGCACTAGGTGATGCATGTCAAACAACCGTTCGTTTATCTCCAGTCGGATTAAAGAATAGCTGAGCAGCGGCGCCAATGCATCGTGAAAGTCCAGGATATCTTGATCGGAGCCGCGCACTAGATCTTCGGGGATTCCCTGCCGATCAAACATACTCATCAACGCCAGGAGATCTGTCGCCGCGGGTCGTTCCTGATGGATTTGCTCAAATGAGAGCTGCCAAGTTGTGATCACCGCATACCGAATGCTGGGATCGCGCCGGAGATCCGTGGAATCCTCATTCTCGAGAAGCCGTGTCTGTCTCGACTCGCTTTCATGGAAAAGTCGAAGGTATGCGGTGACGGTAATTAGAGGAAGACGGTTGGCAATATAGGACCCCGCCTGAGTGATTGCCAGCGGAATGTATTCAAGTGCCTGGACCAGTGCCTTCTCGTCCTCTCCAGACTCTCCAGATTGGGGGGCCGGAATTCTTGCCCGTAAAAGGGCGAGCGACTCTTCCTCGTTCATTGACTGAACGTCGATCACATGACCATCGCTCCCCACCAGATTCCGTGCCGCAAGACCATTTCGGGACGTGACCAGGATTGATCCATGCGCGGCCTGGGGAAGGAACCTCTCCAGTGGCCCTCGTTCAATGGATTCAGTGACATTAAAAAAAATACCATAGTCATCCGCATTATCTAATACCATCAGCCAGTAACCATTTTGTGGATCACGCAACCACTGATACACGAGCTGAAGGATGTTAGTCTTCGGATCGTCCCGTCCCGGAATGCCCGCCACTGTGGCAATCTCCTGGTAGCCCTGTTCCAACCTCTCTGGATTGCTGGCGTGGATCCAAAAAACCCACGTGTCTGGTGTTGATTCTCGTACGCGATAGGAATACTCGATAGCTGTCTGGGTTTTTCTGAATGGAAGTGAGATCAGTCGTTATTCAACGGACTTTTTTATAGGGATAGCTAACCCAACACCGGCCAGTCCTACTAATGCCACCCGCTCATGATGCTGGCCTATCGCCCTATGTTTTTCCTTGATCGCACTGATCTCGGCTTCACGGCCCACAAATGTTGAGTCCCTCTCAAAAGGCACCGTAGAGCATGGCTGAGGCTTCTGACGCGTCTGTGCTGAAAATAGTTCTCATTAGCTCGCAAACAGACGCTGCAAAAAGATACTGGAGCAAGTTACTCACTAAACCGAGCCGCCACCGCCGACGGTGCGTCCTTTGAGAATTGTTGAAGTCTATCGCGCACCGATTGATACCCGGCCGCATCGAGCTTGTCGAATTTCACGATCATTGAGTGATCTGCATGCAGCGGCACCTTGTCTTCTACGTGGTCGGGAAGCTGAAGAAGAGCCGAATCTGCGTCAACCGTTGTTATGAAATCTCCAGTGCGTTTCCAACGTCCGCTTTCCGAGTCCTACAATCGTCAGTATATATCGTAGTCTGTTTGAGATGAAGGCCAACACATACTAATACCAACCGCTTCGTCTGCTCTGTCTCATAGAAGCTGACCACCTTACGGTCCCGGATCAGGTTTCTAAAGTCGGCCAGTTGATGAATTAAGACATCCGATTGGCTGGAAATCTGGCGTAGGAGTTTCTCTCGCGGATGGTGTCCATCGCCGCCCAACATCTGCTGGATATCGTCCATCACTAAGCCTTTATGTGGGATGGCAAAGAGGATCATGCCATACGTGGCTCGATGCAGCGACGTGATCGCTGGGTGGTCTTCTTCCAGTGCTTGGATGGCCCTCACCAGGCACTATAACTTGATGTCAGCATATGATACATAGGACCTCAAATGGGATAGTTGTCTTACGTGAGCCATGATAATACCTCCGAAGCTGTGTGCGATGAATATCAGAGGTCTCTGCTGGAGCTAGTCGAACCATCAGCCCAAACTCGCCATCAATGAACTGGTCGGATAGCATCTCCTACCTCCTTCGTGTTCCGTATTTTCTTGATCTCCTCCATCAGCTCCCGCCCGTAGTCGAGGATCGTACCCACTCCATGACTCGACAGCTTGGAGTTGTACCCGTAGATCATTGTGCGGCACTGCGGCAGATCTTTCGACAGGAAGTCACGGAGCCACATCCGACCGAGATTCCCCCTTCCTTGCCACGATCCGTACGCATGTCCATCGAGTCCGGCGATCGCAATAATACTATATTGTATGATCAGTTGGTATGGATCTTCTAGGTGTAGATAGAGGTGTATATCCTTACTCTGCATCCACAGGCTTATTTTCGTCCAGCGTATAGAGCTGGGTAAATCCAAAGAAGTGGCAGTCAAAGTTGATATCATCGTCACCCATCTCAACCTGCCAGTCTCCGAGCGGGTCGAGGTCACGGAGGAACTGAGGCACCCCACCACGAAACTGCACCAGCGCCCCCCTCTGTGAGACAATTTGGTAGCATGACGGTACGATTGTGATCTCAGTCTTGATGCGCGATGTCTCGTCATCGGCGAGGTTATCGTTGATTGCCTCAAGCAATACAGTCTTGAGATTCTCATCAGGCAGTTCTCTCGACAGGCCCGTCACACGGAAGACGTGCGACTTTTTCTGACTAGCCATCTTGATTTGTTCTAATGGTTGGTGATATATTGGTGAATTAATTAGACCAAAGAGTGGACTGGACGTCCCCTGTTGGAAAGATGGCCACGTCAGCCTGCCGGTGAGGCTGAATCAACCGACACGTGCGGGGTTTACGCATGCACCTACAATCATCACTTCACAGGTACTGCTGTAAAGCAAATGCAACTTCCTCCCAAATCATGTCTTGAAAGAGAGAGTATGCAAGCCACAAAACGTTATCAGTCTGCTATTTTGAAAGGCTTTTCACCTACAAAAGCTAATTACCATAACCTTCACTTCACTTAATGGCTTGGGACATCCTCTGTAAGTTACCCCTTGCCCGGGCATCACATGCGGTAATTTGAAACTAAACCCGCCTCGGTTTAGCTTAAAGCTAGCTGTTTTAGACTTAGCGAGCGCCGAGTGAGATGACCGTGGTCAGTGAGACCACCCCCAGGTCGAAATGAAAAGTTTCCTATTTCTCGGGGGATCCCTTTGACCCTAAAATCCACGTGACCGACGCCCCATTTCAAGGCAGCAGATGCACCAAAAACTAACGTTTAACTTGAATGTCTTCTCCAAAACTCCTGGCGAAAACGGACACATGGTGAAATTTGCACGATGAACGTGCCTGTATTTGCTTCTCCGTTGACCGTCAAGCATCACATTTGCTTTTCCCCATCAACTTCTGCTTAAAATTGTCTAATTTTGCTTAAGTGACCGTTTTCAATTTTATTCTCAGTGTTCAACAATAAAACTGCGGTTTTTTTGGGCAAATTATTCTTACAGCATCGCCATTCTCGACAGACTTGTAGGAAACAACTGTGACTGTTAAACACGCAGCGATTTTTTCAGTCTGGAAAATACGCCAACGGTCGTCAAGAATCCACGAACTTAGTTGTTTAGAGTCTCCAGCCACTGTTCTTTACAGGGCTGTGAAGCTTCATGTGGGGATACAATTCCATCTCCTCAACTCAAGTTTCTAGTTACACATGGCATTCTGATCTCCGCTGTGGATCCTTTCCCCGCAGTAGCCGATGGGCTATCGCAAACTTCCATTCCCTGATCACTCTAAAAAGGAAAAGAAACACCAACATCAGCAATAGAACACCCGTTACGCATCCGATCAAAGTACTGAGCCAGTAGCAACATGCAAATAACAGGGCACTCGAATATCTCCTATCAGAATCGGAGGCTGCGAGGCTGACTTGCATACAGTTCAGGAGAATCGAGAAAAATGCAAATGCAGATATCAAGGGGCCTTGAATGCGAGCGAAGTATGCTCGATACTGATGATTCACACGCTGATATTGGCTTCTACCCAAGAGAACAGGTGCGTAATAGTTCAATCGAGACAATCGGATCTCTCCGTAATGATAGCGTCCCGACACTTCGTTATCCGTGATGTCCTTGAACTGATCAGTGAACTGGCAGAAATGTCGCCAGGTCACATATTTAGGGACCAGACAGAGCGCCGGATCTTGTGCGATTCGTAGATCTGATTCATGCTGGATCAGGTAGAAATACGTTCGCAGATACCCGAGTGCGGCCTTTCTTAAATTCACCGACGCGCCATATTTAGACGGATCGCTCATGAACTTATCCCAGAATACGTAGGACATGATGTACTGGGGAAGGGGCTTAACGTAGATTCTGTCATCAATCCACACGAGATGTAGCCGAGGATCCTCCGTCACGATGATCTGTCGGCCCTTTACTCGCTGTCGATGCAATGGAGAGATATTGCTGCCATCCTGCTTCGACATCCACCAGAGTCTGCCCGCTATCGACTCTAGGTCCTCTGACCAGACTTCCTGGTGAATGAAATCAAACAAACCCTTGGCGTCGCTCATCTTGATCCGGGGATGACCTGGCAGGTAATCGAGCGATGCATCGAGATCACCATTGAGCTGATCGTCTTTGTGGAAGGGGCAAGGCAATGAAGGGGTTTCTGCTTGAGTTGACATTTCTGAAAGTGCCAAATTTTGAATACACTAAAGCTTAAGATGATGCTGAATGCTGAGGAAATATTTAGGAAGATTGTTTTGCTCGACAAAATTTGTCGCTAAAAAGTGGGGTTGACGCTTAGCCTTGTGAGAGCCAGCGGGAGCTCAGCCTCACGCGAACACAATGTTGCCTGGCCTGAGCCTATAAATCTAAAACCGAGCAATAATCACCCATACTCCATGTTTGAATCTCCTGCTCCGCTTTGCGCTTCTCCTCCGATTTCGAAAGCGAATTGTCCCCAGCTTTTGACCTCTTTTTCCGCGCAGAATCTTGCTTTGTCGCCATCATGTCGCGTTTTTTTTGCGCCTCGACAATATCGTCGTAGCTCATCACTTTTGCATGTCCTACAACCGTCAGACCACTGGATTGTCGACAGGTATTTTCATTGTTCTGCTCAAATAGGATCCGGTTCTCCTCCAGCAACAAGGCACGTTCTGCAAAGACCTTTTCGGCCGCGCAGCTCAGTGTCTTCAGACGATGTTTTGACACACTGTCCATACTCTGAGTATCTTGCTCGACCTCTCTCCGAAGCAATGCGAAATGATCAGAGGTGTTTGGGATGCAAGAGAAATCGGAGGACACGGTCGGGTGGTCCAAAGAGACCGCGGTCTGTATCTCGGGCTGGGACGCTTCAAACTCCCGGAGAACGCGAGAGGAATCGAATGGAAAGAGGCCGCTTCTGGACCAGGCCGATCGTATATTGCGGGATGTGAATGCCTCTTTCCGGGCGCGATCATAAAGATAGGTGAAGTGGGGCTTGCCGATGTTACTCACTCCAGCTCGACATGCCTGCTCAACCTGTGCCCTGTATGCCGTTTTCAGAGGACTAAAGACACCCACATCGCACGGCTGTAGTTTGTGAGACGTATGAGAAGGAAGACGACATAGGATAATACGGTTAGCAAAACAGAACTTCATGACCTCTAGAGACTCATGGGTCCCAAAACCATCGCAGATTAAGAGTCGTGGTCGACCGCCCGCACGGTCTCGAGTCTGGGGATCGAACACATGTTCTACCCAGTACAGACTGATTTCTGTGTTTGTATAACCTGTCTTAGAGCAGGCATAATGCCACCCGGGGGTGGGGTGAGTGGTCCACGAACTACGATGGGTGGCGGCTGGCCAGATGATGAGAGGATGTAGAAATCGTCCATCGGCGGAGATACATTCAATCGCCGTGACTAGCGTCCGCTTCACCGTGGTCCCTCGATGCTTCCTCAAATCGTCCTTAGCGACGAGCACTTTGAGGGAGTTGAGAACACTAAGAAGAACCCCCGTCTCGTCCATATTGTACACATTCTCCGGCAGAATGGCCGGATCGGCCAGCTCTCGGCCAATGATGGTAAACCAGTGTCGGACTTTGTCTTCGATCTGCCGGCCATCTCGCTTCCAATCGATCGCTCGCAGCCGTCGCGCTTTCAACCGCGGGTGTCGTTGGTAAAAACCCTGGGGCCAATTCTTTCCCGGAGGTCGGACCTTAAGGCTGGGATCTGTGATTTGGAAGATCGAGGACCGTTGGCGTACGATGATCAGAGCGAGCGATCGTAAAAACTTCACTGGAAGCGGATAGCCGTTGTCTGCCAACCGCAACACATATTCAACCAGGGCTTGCTCCTCTTGCGGGGTAAGATATTGCTGATTGGTGGCTTTATCGGCGATCGAAGGCTTGTTATTGGCCCGCCGCCACAAGGTGGACGCGGGAATCCCGGTCGATCTCGACCGAACGGCGTATGATGTGCGCGCAGGACGCTGATGGGCCGGGGACATCGTGGTCAGTTTTAGTCCAGTATGCGGAGAGGCATTTCTTAGCTATAAGGAAACCATTCAGACCGTAAAATGGCATGAGGATATGAATGCCGCGAATTTCGTGAATTGATTTTAAAACACGCCATATATTCTCAATTGGTACTATTGGTACCTAAAATTTCCTGACTGCCTTTAGATGAGGATCACTTGTACCAACATTTACCAGCGAGACTCAAGGATCCATCACAATCTTGATACAAAATAGCATTCAATCTACATACCGAACTTCACCGTTTTTTTCATAACGGTATCAAGAAAACGCTGAAATCAGCCCGCTCGTGGATTCTTGATGACTGTTAGGGTATTTGGTAGACTCAAATAATTGCGGCGAGTGTGTTGGCCAAATTTGAGCCCGACAAGTCGGTCGGCAATGGTGATTCTGTATCAATAACCAGTCCAAAGTTCTCGTTCTCAAACGTTGAACAGCAAGAAAGGATTGGGATACTGTAATTTGAGCATAGTTGTCGTGTATACAGTTATTATTAAAAATTCATGCATGAATCTCAATATCAACAGCCCTTCAACTACAGCATGAACAAAGGAGTGAAAGTAACTAGGTGTAGTCAGATAGTACGAGCTTTGAACGTTGAACAAGAGAATTTGGATAATGTCAATTTGAGTAAACACTGTTGCATGTAAGTAAAATTGATGGTGCAATCATGATCAAAACCCAACTTTTTGACTATAATTCGCACTGAGGTTAAGAGAAAACAGATCAGGTAAACTTCACCGTTTGCATTTTTCACCAGGAGGACTTGACAAGATCTAATTTAAACGGATGTTTTTGGTGCATCTGCTGTCTCCAAATGGGGGCACCGGTCACGTGCAGTTCAGGGTCAAAGCGATCCCCCGAGGAACAGGATTTTTTTTTCTTTCGCTTGGTCTCACGTAACACCGTCCTCTCACGAGAAGCTAAGTCAAAAACAGCTAGCTTTGAGCTAAACCGAAGGAAGCTTGGTTTAAAATTACTTCACGTGATATCAGGGCAAGGGGTACGGAGGATAGCACAAGCTTAAGTGAAGGTTGCGGTATTAGCTTTTGTAAGAGAATAGCCTTTTGATAACAAGAGACTGATTTTGTATGAGGCTTGAAGATGCTCTCTATAACACCAATGGTTTAGCAGGAAGTTGCCATTCGGTATACAGCAGTATCTACGAAGTGATTGGAGGCCCACGCTCGATACCCCGCACTTGCTGGTGGATTCAGCCTCGCTGGAAGGCTGAGGTGGCCGCCCCGAACCAACGACGCATAGGTCACACATCCAATTTACCATTCTACCATACAGCATGAGTACCAAACTCGATGAATAGCCAGAGAAAGTCACACGTCTTCCGGGTGACGGGCCTGTTAAAGGAACTGCCCGATGGCAACCTCAAGACCGATGAGGATCTCAGAACAGCACTGCAAGAGGCACTCGACGACAACCTCACCGATGAGGAAAGATCGCAGGTCAAAGCTGAGGTTACAATCGTACCTTCATGCTATGAAAGTGACATAGAGAGGGCGGCGCTGGTGCAGTTCCGTGGTAGGATGCCTGAGTTTCTCTCTGAGCTGAGAGTCAACCCGCTCGGAGACTGGCAGGTCGAGATGGGAGACGATGACATCAACTTCGACTGTCACTTCTTTGGATTCACCCAGCTCTACGCGCCAGATGAAAATAAGCCAATGGTTGCAGAGTAAGGACTACTTTAATCCACATCTAGCAGATGAGGCCTAACGGATAACCCCTGATAGTATCATTGCTATTGCAGGACTGGATGGACATGCGTACGGATCATGGCAAGGAAGAGGAAATCTTGGCCGGATGTGGCTCCGCGATTTCCTGTCAAAGGATCTTCCGCAGTGCCGCACGATGATCTACGGGTACAACAGCAAGCTGTCGAGTCACGGAGTCGATACGATTCTCGACTATGGGCGGGAGCTGATGGAGGAGATCAAGAAGATTCGGAACACAAAAGAGGTAAGGGATGATATACAACCTGTCTATGAAGAGCAAAATTGGCTAATTCTTTGAGTAGCTCCAGCAGAGACCTCTGGTATTCATCGCACATAGCTTTGGAGGCATTGTTATGGCTCACGTGAGACCATTCTCCAAACTAGGGTATTATGTATCATATGCTGACATTGACCCATAGTGTCTGGTGCGGGCTATCCAGGCGATGGAGGGAGATCACCCGGCGATCGTATCGCTGTATCCGGCCACTTACGGGATGATCCTCTTTGCCATCCCACATAAAGGACTAGTGATGGATGATATCCAGCAAATGTTGGCCGGCGATGGACATCACCCGCGAGGACAGTTGCTGCAGCAGATCTCTAGTAAATCAGACCTACTGATACATCAACTAGCCGACTTCAAAAATTTGATCCGGGACCGTAAAGTGGTCAGCTTCTATGAGACAGAGCAGACAAGGCGGTTGGTATTGGTATGTTATGTTGGCCTTTTCTGACAAAGGCACTGGCATGTATTGACAATCGCAATAGGACTCGGAAAGCGGACGATGGACACGCACGGGGGGATTTTATGACGACGGTCGGCGCAGACTCGGCGCTTCTCCAGCTTCCCGACCATGTCGAGGACAAGGTGCCACTACATGCAGATCACTCGATGATTGTCAAATTCGACAAGCGGGATGCGCCTGGGTATCGAACGGCGCTGGATAGACTGCGGGATTTCTCAAAGGACGCGCCATCGGTTGTGGCGGCTCGGTTTGGTGGGTGACTTGCTCCAGGGTTTATTTGCAAGCTAATGGACTGTTCTCAGCGCAGACGCGTGCGAGGCCCCAGCCGTGCTCCACGGTGCCTTTCAAGAAGGACCCGATGTTTGTGGGCCGTGAAGCCGTTATCAGTGCGATCAAGGAAAAACATGGGGCGATCGGCCAGCGTCACGAGCGGGCGGCATTGGTCGGATTGGCCGGCGTTGGGTTAGCTATCCCATAAGAAAGCCCGTCGAATGACAACTAATTAATAATCATACCGCCCATTAGAAAAACCCAGACAGCCATCGAGTACTCTTATCGCATACGAGAATCCACACCCGACACGTGGGTTTTTTGGATTCACGCGAGTAGTGCGGCGCGGTTGGAACAGGGCTACCAGCAGATTGCCGCAGTCGCGGAGATTCCGGGACGAGACAATCCGAAGACGAACATCCTCCAGCTCGTGTATCACTGGCTGAGTGATCCACGCAATGGGCGCTGGCTGATGGTGTTAGATAATGCGGATGACGATGGCATCTTCTTCAGTGATAATACATCCGACGAACGAAGGCCACTAGTGAGCTTCCTGCCGCAGGCCGCCCATGCATCAATGCTGATCACATCGCGAAACGGTCTTGCGGCGCGGAATCTGGTGGGGAACGATGGTCATGTGATCGAGGTTCAGCCAATGAGTGAGGAAGAGTCCCTCGCCCTTTTACAGACGAGGATTCCTGGCCCCCAATCTGGAGAGACTGGAGAGGACGAGAAGGCACTGGTCCAGGCACTTGAATATATCCCGCTAGCTATTACACAGGCAGGGTCATATATTACGAACCGATTTTCTCGGGTCACGGTCTCCCGGTACCTTCAGTTATTCCGTGAAAGCGAGTCAAACCAGACACATCTTCTGCAGCATGAGGACGCCAAAGACCTCCGGCGGGACCCCAGTATTCGGCATGCGGTGATTACCACATGGCAGCTATCCTTCGAGCAAATTCATCAGGACCGGCCGGCGGCGACGGATTTACTGGCATTAATGAGCATGTTTGATCGGCAAGGGATCCCGGAAGGCCTCGTCCGTGGGGATGGTGATGGGCTCCAATTTGAAGACGCATTGGCGCCGTTGATCAGTTATTCACTTATTCGGGTTGAACTTAAAAAAGGGTCATTTGATATGCACCGGCTTGTACAGTTATCGGTCCGGACATGGCTAGAGGTTCACCGCGAGCTGGCACAGTGGCAAGAAAAATCGCGAGCTATCATGGCAGAGATATTTCCAGACGGACAGTACGAGAGCTGGACTGAATGTCAGAGGCTGCTTCCGCATGCGAAAGAGGTGATAAAGTCGATATCTACCCAACATGAAGAGGATCGACTGAATACGGCCACCCTATTATCGAATTGTGGTTGGTTTCAAGATCTCCAAGGGTACTACGAAGAAGGGGAAACGATGCATCGACGGGCGCTGGAAGCACGAGAGGATGTGCTTGGACACGAGCATCCTGACACGCTCACCAGTGTCAGTCTCCTTGGCTCAGTGCTCTCCAGCCAAGGGAAATATGAAGAGGCGGAAGTGATGCATCGACGGGCGCTGGAAGCACGAGAGGATGTGCTTGGACACGAGCATCCTGACACGCTCACCAGTGTCAGTTACCTTGGCAATGTGCTCTCCAGCCAAGGGAAATATGAAGAGGCGGAAGTGATGCATCGACGGGCGTTGGAAGCACGAGAGGATGTGCTCGGCCGTGAGCATCCTGACACGCTCACCAGTGTCAGTAACCTTGGCAAGGTGCTCTCTAGGCAAGGGAAATATGAAGAGGCGGAAGCGATGCATCGACGGGCGTTGGAAGGGAGTGAGAAGGTGCTCGGCCGTGAGCATCCCTCCACGCTCACCAGTGTCAGTAACCTTGGCTCAGTGCTCGACAGCCAAGGGAAATATGAAGAGGCGGAAGCGATGCATCGACGGGCATTGGAAGGATATGAAGAGGTGCTTGGACATGAGCATCCTCATACGCTCACCAGTGTCAATAACCTTGGCTCAGTGCTCTCTAGGCAAGGGAAACATGAAGAGGCGGAAGCGATGCATCGACGGGCGTTGGAAGGGAGTGAGAAGGTGCTCGGCCGTGAGCATCCCTCCACGCTCACCAGTGTCAATAACCTTGGCTCAGTGCTCTCTAGGCAAGGGAAATCTGAAGAGGCGGAAGCGATGCATCAACGGGCGTTGGAAGGATATGAACAGGTGCTTGGATGCGAGCATCCCTCCACGCTCACCAGTGTCAGTAACCTTGGCTCAGTGCTTGACAGGCAAGGGAAATATGAAGAGGCGGAAGTGATGCATCGACGGGCGTTGGAAGTACGGGAGAAGGTGCTTGGACGAAAGCATCCTGACACACTCATCAGTGTCAGTAACCTCGGCAATGTGCTCTCCAGCCAAGGGAAATATGAAGAGGCGGAGGCGATGCATCGACGGGCGTTGGAAGTACGAGAGAAGGTGCTTGGACGCGATCATCCTCGTACGCTTACCAGTGTCAGTAACCTCGGCTCAGTGCTTGACAGGCAAGGGAAATATGAAGAGGCGGAAGTGATGCATCGACGGGCGTTGGAAGTACGAGAGAAGGTGCGCGAACATCCTCGTACGCTCTCCAGTGCTACGAAACTCAGCTTAGTCCTTGTCAGCCAAGAGAAACATCAAGAAAGACAAAAGATGTCGCTGGCCACTTGAATGACATGTAAATTGTCTGGAGGCCAACATCCGGAAATGGTCAGTTCTCTCGATACGTTTTGGTCGGCCTGGATCCAGAGGGGAAACACAAAGAGGCGTTATAGCCCTATACCTGTATCCATAGTACTTGCTTTAATCTTTATTTATTTCTTCCCCTACAACATTTTATCACCTCATAGTTAGACGCGGTCCCAAAGCATTTCTACTGGAATTACGTTTCCTGAGAGCTGGCCATTGCCTAGTTGCGGTCAGGTATGTGGGGCGGTTAGTCCATTTAGCAGCGCTAGTATTTTTCGGTACATCAAGTTACATGATTGTTATCTACTCATGTAATCGCTTTATCGGTATTTTTATTATATGTACCTTTCAGCTGCCAAGAATTCCGTCAAATTTGGTATATTCTCAGGCTGCATGATTATGATGATAATCAAAAGTGATATAGGCAACTAGACAGATGGCAGGATACAAGATGGTCTTTCCCGTCTATCTCAGATGTTTTTGTTGACGATCTTGGCGTCCTAGTAGTAAGCAGCGGATTTTCTAGCAGTCTGTGTCGTTCTGTAACGCCCTCTTGAACGGTTGGTAATTTTTATTTGCAAGGAGATATCGAACAATACATCAAATAATTCATGTTCTTGCTGCTCTCAAACAGTATTCAATACGGTGGAATGAAAATGGCGGTGCTAGAAAGTGCAGGTACCTAGTGGGTGTTTCATCACATAGGGCATTTCATGTCACCGGGATGGGGGTCCCCCATCCCGGTGACATGAAATGCCCTGTGTGGTGAAACGTCCGCCAGGTACCTGCACAATCGAGCACCGTCACTCCCAATCCACATCTTGAATGTTGTCTGAAAGCTGTAGCAGCAGTAATCATGGAGTTTTTTATTCCGTAGCTCTTCTCAAACAAGGATTACAAAACGATAGGGTGGTGGATTACGGAACGACACGCACAACTAAAAATTCCGCTGTTCACTACTATCCCGCCAAGATCATCAACAAGAACGCCTGGGATGGATAGGAACACATATTTGGATGGCTTCGCCTACCCGTTTACCTATCTTGATTCACTGTTTCCTCATTATTATGGTACCTTACGACATACCAATTTTGGTGGAAGTCTTGGCAGCAGAAAGGTACATAAAACAAAAATACAGAAAAGGCCAATACACAGGAAAAAAACAAGTGTGTAACTTGATGTATGAAAAGTACTAGCGCCGCTAAACGGAACACCCACACCGAAACCGTTTCCGCAAGTAGGAGATGGTCTGCTTCCAGGAAACATAATTCTAATGGAAGGAGTTCAGGGCCGCATCGGACGATGAGGATATACAGTAATGAAGGAAAAGTGAGGAAGTATAGATATTAGATCTACACTTATGCTGCCTTTACACTACATGGTATAGAGACAGGCCTTGAATGATAGAGCGTCGTCGCGTTTCCTGTGCTGAAGCAGGAAGTCTAAAGAACATCAAGACTGGTCGCAGTTCTGAAATGCTCGCGCCCAAGCACCTTCTCTTGTGCTTCCAACGCCCGTCGATGCATTGCTTCCGCCTCTTCATATTTCCCTTGATTGGAGAGCACGTGACCAAGGTGAGTGACACTGTTGAGCGTGGAGGGATGCTCGCGTCCAAGCATCTTCTCTCGTGCTTCCAACGCCCGTCGATGCATCACTTCCGCCTCTTCATATTTCCCTTGGCTGGAGAGTACTAAGCCAAGGTCACTGACACTGATGAGCGTGTGAGGATGCTCGTGTCCAAGCACCTCCTCCCGTGTTTCCAACGCCCGTCGATGCATCGCTTCCGCCTCTTCATATTTCCCTTGGCTGGAGAGTACTACGCCAAGGTTACCGACACTAGTGAGCGTGTCAGGATGCTCGCGTCCAAGCACTTTCTCTCGTGCTTTCAACGCCCGTCGATGCATCGATCCTGCCTCTTCATATTTCCCTTGTCTTTCAAGCACTAAGCCAAGGTCATTGACAATGCCAAGCGTGTCAGGATGCTCGGGTCCAAGCACCTTCTCACTCCCTTCCAACGCCCGTCGATGCATCGCTTCCGCCTCTTCATATTTTCCTTGGCTGGAGAGTACTAAGCCAAGGTTATCGACACTGATGAGCGTGGAGGGATGCTCGTGTCCAAGCACTTTCTCTCGTGCTTTCAATGCCCGTCGATGCATCGCTTCCGCCTCTTCATATTTCCCTTGGCTGGAGAGTACTAAGCCAAGGTTATCGACACTGGTGAGCGTGGAGGGATGCTCGCGTCCAAGCACCTTCTCTCGTGCTTTCAACGCCCGTCGATGCATCGATCCTGCCTCTTCATGAACTCCTTGAAGATCTAGAAACCACCCACAATTAGATGAGAGGGTGGCGACATTTAATAAATCTTCATCATCTACGTCATATATAGATTTCAGCACACTTTTGGCATGCGCAAGGAGCGATCGACATTGTGTCCAGGTTTCGTACTTGCCATCGGGAAACATCCGTGCCATGATCCCTCGTGATTTGGCCTGCCAGCCGTGGAGCTGCTGGTGCATGCCCAGCCACGCCCGAACCGATAGTTGCACTAGGCGGTGCATGTCAAATAATCGTTCGTTCATTTCCAGTCGGATCAGAGAATAGCTGAGCAGCGGCGCCAATGCATCGTGAAAGTCCAGTTCGTCTGAATCCGAGTCGCGCACCAGATCTTCGGGGATTCCCTGCCGATCAAACATGCTCATCAACGCCAGAAGATCGGTCGCTGCGGTCCGCTCCTGACGGATCTGCTCGAATGATAGCTGCCACGTGGTGATCACCGCATTCCGAATGCTGGGATCGCGCCGGAGATCCGGGGAATCCTCATTCTGGAGAAGCCGCGTCCGCTTCGACTCGCTTTCATGGAAAAGTCGAAGGTATGCGGAGACGGTGACCAGGGGCAACCGGTTGGAAATATAGGCCCCCGCCTGAGTGATTGCCAGTGGGATATATTCCAGGGCCTGGACCAGTGCCTTTTCATCCTCTCCAGACTCTTCACACTCTCCAAATTGGGGGGGCCGGGATCCTTGCCCGTAACAGGGCCAGGGACTCTGCTTCATTCATTGGCTGAACCGTGATCACATGACTCTCGTTCCCCACCAGATTCCGCGCCGCACGACCGTTCCGCGATGTGATCAGGATGGATCCATGCGCGGCCTGCGGCAGGAAGCTCACCAGTGGCCCTCTTTCATTGGATGTATTACCACGGAAAAAGATACTATCGTCATCCGCATTGTCTAACACCATCAGCCAGCGCCCATTGCCTGGATCACACAGCCACCGATACACGAGCTGGAGGATGTTCATCTTCGGATCGTCCAGTCCTGGAATCTCCGCCACTGCGGCAATCTCTTGGTAGCCCTGTTCCAACCGCGCCGCATTGCTGGCATGGATCCAAAACACCCACGTGTCCGGTGTAGATTCTCGCGCGCGGTAGGAATACTCGATGGCTGTCTGGGTTTTTCTGGATGGCCATTTGTCTACATCAGTTATGATTCAACAGCCTTGGCTATAGGGACAGCTCACCCGACGCCGCCCAATCCTACCAATGCCACCCGGTCATGACGCTGGCCAATCGCCCCATGCTTTTCCCTGATCGCGCTGATCACGGTTTCACGGCCCACAAACATCGGGTCCTTCTTAAAAGGCACCGTGGAGCACGGCGCAGGCTTCGGACGCGCCGGTGTTAGGGTGTTCTGTTGGTCTCAACCAACAAGCGACTATTAGTCCTGGATAAATGGGGGGGCTATGTATTGTAAACTCTACCTGAAGGCAGATGGATCACTCCATAATTTATCCCAACCTGGTTCCCCAGATTATTGCTGCCGAACGATATGGAAGACATAGTGCGTTCGTAATGTACATTGCGTTTGTCTGAGACGATCATTGTCAGAGGTTACAGAAAATGGCAGGGCAATCATCCTCAGCCTTGATATCATGTCACCGGGGTCTTTAGATTGGTGAGATGCTATGGTTCTATCTTTGGGTAACTCACCGAACCGAGCCGCCACCACTGACGGCGCGTCATTTGAGAACTGGCGCAATTTATCGAGCGCCGTTCGATACCCGGCTGCGTTGCGTGAGTCGAATTTGACCACCATCGAGTGATCTGCATGCAGCGGCACCTTGTCCTCGACATGGTCGGGGAGCTGAAGAAGAGCCGAGTCTGCGCCAACCGTCGTCATAAAATCCCCGGTGCGATTCCATCGTCCGCTTTCCGAGTCCTATGGCGATCGTCAATACATGTCATAGCTTGTTTCTGACCAAGACCAACGCGTACCAATGCCAACCGCCTCGTCTGCTCTGTCTCATAGAAGCTGACCACTTTGCGGTCCCGGATCAGATTTTTAAAGTCGGCCAGTTGATGGATCAGGGTATCCGAGTTGCTAGAAATCTGTCGCAGTAGTTGCTCTCGCGGATGGCTCTGATCCCCTGCGAGCATCTGCTGGATATCGTCCATCACTAATCCTTTATGTGGAATGGCAAAGAGGATCATGCCGTACGTGGCTCGATGCAGCGACGTAATCGCCGGATGGTCTTCCTCCATTGTCTGGACAGCCCTCACCAGGCACTTCAGGTGATGTCAGTATATCATACATAATACCTATACTCGGATGGTGGTCCTACGTGAGCCATGATAATGCCTCCAAAGCTGTGCGCGATGAAAATCAGAGGTCTCTGCTGGAGCTGGCTACAGAGTGAGCCAAACTTGCTGTCAATAGACAGGTCAGATATCGTCTCTTACCTCCTTGGTGTTCCGGATTTTCTTGATCTCCTCCATCAGTTCCCGCCCGTAGTCGAGGATCGTGTCGACACCGTGACTCGACAGCTTGGAGTTGTACCCGTAGATCATTGTGCGACACTGCGGCAGATCTTTCGACAGGAAGTCACGAAGCCACATCCGACCGAGATTCCCTCTGCCCTGCCACGATCCGTACGCATGTCCATCCAGTCCGGCGATCGCCATGATACTATGTTGCATGATCAGTCAGTGTTGATCTTCTAGATATCAATAAATGCACAGTCCTTACTCCGCAACCACAGGCTCACTATCGTCCGGCGCGTAGAGCTGGGTGAATCCGAAGAAGTGGCAGTCAAAGTTAATGTCATCGTCTCCCATCTCAACCTGCCAGTCTCTGAGGGGGTCGACTCTCAGCTCATGAAGGAAGTGAGGCACTCCACCGCGAAATTTCACCAGCGCCACCCTCTCTTTGTCACTTTCATAGCATGAAGGCACGATTGTGATCTCAGCGATTTGCGATCTCTCGTCATCGGTGAAGTTGTCGTCGAGTGCCTCCTGCAGTGCTGTCCTGAGATTCCCATCGGTCTTGAGATCCCCATCAGGCAGTTCCCTCGACAGACCTGTCACCCGGAAGACGTGCGACTTTTTCTGGCTAGCCATCGTGATTGGTGCTCATGCTGTATGATAGAATGGTAAATCGGATGAATGCGAACTGTGTGCCATTTGTTGGTGGATGGCCACCTCAACCTGCCAGTGAGGCTGAATCAATCAACACGTGCGGGGTTTACGCATGTACCTATGATCATCACTTCGTAGATACTGCTGCATACCAAATGCAACTTTCTCCCAAATCATGTCTTGATAGGGAGAGCATCCAATCCACATATGGTCCTAGTCTGTTTTTCTCGAAAGGCTAAGTTATCCCCCTACCAAAGCTTTACTATAAGCTTCACTTCACTTAATAGATGGTGACATTCTCCGTACCCCTTACCCTGACATCACGTGAAGTATTTTGAAACTAAGCTTCCTTCGGTTTAGTTTAAAGCTAGCTATTTTTGACTTAGCTTCTCGTGAGAGGACGGTGTTACGTGAGACCACATCTAAAGCGAAAGAAAAAAATTCCTGTTCCTCGGGGGATCGCTTTGACCCTGAACTGCACGTGACTGGTGCCCCATTTCAAGGCAGCAGACGCACCAAAAATAACCGTTTAAATCTGATATTGTTAAGCGCTCCTGGTGAAAAATGCAAACGGTGAAGTTTACCCGCTCTATTTTCTCTCAAATCTACGTGCGAATTATAGTCAAAAAAACTGTGTTTTCGTCTTTAACATGATCGCACCTTCAATTATACATGCAACAGTGTTTACTTTTGCTCAACTGACATTATCCATATTCTCTTGTTCAACGTTCAAAAGTCGTGCTATCTTACTAAACCTAATTACTATGACTTCGTTGTACATGATGTAGAATGGCTGTTGATGTTGAGAGTCATGCATGTTTTTTTTTTCGTGGGTTTGTTTACACGACACGTATACTATGCTCAAATTACAGTATCCCAATCCTTTCTTGCTGTTCAACGTTCGAGAATGAGAATTTTGGGCTAATTATTGATACAGATTCACATTGCCGACCGATTCGCCAGGCTCAATTCGTGGCTAAGTTATTAAACTCGCAGCAATTATTTGAGTCTACCAAACACACCAACAATCATCAAGATTCCACGAGCTGGCTGATTTCGGCGTTTTCTTGATATCGTTATTGAAAAAACGGCGAAGTTCAGTATGTAGATTGAATGCTATTTTGTATCAAGATTGTGATGGAATCGTTGAGTCTCGCTGGTGAAAGTTGGTACAAATGAACCTCATCTAAAGCCAGTCAGGAATTCAAGTACCAATTGAGCATACATGGCGTGCTCTAGAATCCATTCACGTAATTCGCAGTATTGATTTCCTCATGCCATTTCATGGTCTGAATGGTTTCAATTTAACTAGGAAATGCCTCTCCGCATACTGGACTCAAAATGACCACGATGTCTCCAGCCCATCAGCGTCCTGCGCGCACATCATACGCAATTCGGTCGAGATCGACCGGGGTTCCCGCATCCACCTTGTGGCGGCGGGCCAATAACAAGCCTTCTATCGCCGATAAAGCCGCCAATCAGCAATATCTTACCCCGCAAGAGGAGCAAGCCCTGGTTGAATATGTGTTGCGGTTGGCAGATAACGGCTATCCGCTTCCAGTGAAGTTTTTACGATCGCTCGCTCTGATTATCGTACGCCAACGGTCCTCAATTTTCCAGATCACAGATCCCAGCCTTAAGGTCCGACCTCCGGGAAAGAATTGGCCGCAGGGCTTTTACCGACGACACCCGCGGTTGAAAGCGCGACGGCTACGAGCGATCGATTGGAAGAGAGATGGCCGACAGATCGAAGACAAAGTCCGACACTGGTTTACCATCATTGGCCGAGAGCTGGCCGATCCGGCCATTCTGCCGGAGAATGTGTACAATATGGACGAGACAGGAGTGCTTCTCAGCGTTCTCAACTCCCTCAAGGTGCTCGTCGGCAAGGATGATTTGAGAAAGCATCGAGGGACCACGGTGAAGCGGACGCTAGTAACGGCGATTGAATGCATCTCCGCCGATGGTCGATTCCTGCATCCTCTCATTATCTGGCCAGCGGCCACTCATCGCAGTTCGTGGACCACTCACCCCACTCCCGGATGGCATTATGCCTGCTCCAAAACAGGCTATACAAACACAGAAATCAGTCTGTACTGGGTGGAACATGTGTTCGATCCGCAGACTCGAGACCGAGCGGGCGGCCGGCCACGACTCTTAATCTGCGATGGTTTCGGCACCCATGAGTCTCTGGAGATTATGAAATTCTGCTTTACTAACCACATTATCTTATGTCGTCTCCCTTCTCATACGTCTCACAAACTGCAGCCATGCGACGTGGGTGTGTTTAGTCCTCTGAAAACGGCATACCGGGCACAGGTTGAGCAGGCATGTCGGGCTGGAGTGAGTAACATCGGCAAGCCACACTTCACCTTTCTTTATGATCGCGCCCGAAAAGAGGCATTTACACCCCGCAATATACGATCGGCCTGGTCGAGAAGCGGCCTCTTTCCATTCGATTCCTCTCGCGTTCTCCGAGAGTTTGAAGCGACCCAGCCCGAGATACAGACCGTGGTCAGTGTGGACCATCCGACCGTGTCCTCCGATCTCTGTTACCCACCAAACACCTCTGATTATTTTTCCTTACTTCGGAGCGAGGTCGAGCAAGATACCCAGAATATGGACAGTGTATGCAAAAATCGTCTGCAGACACTGAGCCGTGCGGCTGAAAAGGTCTTTGCAGAGCGCGCCTTGTTGCTGGAGGAGAACCGGATCCTGTTTGAGCAGAACAATGAAAAGACCTGTCGACAATCCAGTGGCCTGACGGTTGTAGGACATGCAAAAGTGATGAGCTACGAAGATATTGTCGAGGCGCAGAAAAAACGCGACATGATGGTAACGAAACAAGGTCCCACGCGGGAAAAGAGGTCGAAAGCCGGGGACATTTCGCTTTCGAAATCGGAGGAGAAGCGCAAAGCGGAGCAGGAGATTCAAACATGGAAAATGTGTGGTTATTGCTCAGTTTTAGATTTATAGGCTCGTTCGGCATGGGAGAATTCCCGGTGTTTCTATCATCTCATCGCGCAGATGTAGCTAACCGTTTCGTCTGGCCGTTTCCTACATCTGTTGTTTCCTATTCGCATACTTGTACCATTACCAACAAGTGATACCTCAAAATGTAGTTACGTCTGATATCGACACTTATTTGCCTAAGTTTCCACCCGAAGTTCTCGTTGGCCAGGCTTTTTGTGGTTGTGCCTTGTAGGTTAGGCTAGGCGGCGTTGTGTTCCCGTGAGGCTGAGCTCCCGCAGGCTCTCACAAGGCTAATCGTCAACCCCACTTTTTAGCGACAAATTTTGTCGACCAAAACAACCTTTATGATTAATTTCTCAGCATTCAGCATCATGCTAAGCTTTAGCGTATTCTAATCTGGTAATTTCAGAAATGCCAACTCAAGCACAACCCTCTTTATCGCCATGCCCCTTCCACAAAGACGATCAGCTCAATGGTGATCTCGATGCATCGCTCGATTATCTGCCAGGTCATCCTCGGATCAAGATGAGCGACAGTAAGAAATTGTTTGACTTCATTCGCCAGGAAGTCTGGTCAGAGGACCTCGAGTCGATATCGGGCAGACTCTGGTGGATGTCGAAGCAGGATGGCAGTAATATCTCTCTATTGCATCGACAGCGAGTGAAGGGCCGACAGATCATCGTGACCGAGGATCCTCGGCTGCATCTCGTCTAGATCGTCGATCGAATCTTTCTTAAACCCCTTCCCCAATACATAACGTCCTACCTATTCTGGGATACGATCATGAGCGATCCGTCTAAATATGGTGCGTCGGTGAATTTAAGAAAGGCCGCACTCGGGTATCTGCGAACGTATTTCTACCTGATCCAGCATGAATCAGATCTACGAATCGCACAAGATCCGGCTCTCTTGTCTGGTCCCTGAATACGTGACCTGGCGACGTTTCTGTCAGTTCACTGATCAGTTCAAGGACATCACGGATAACGAAGTGTCGGGACGCTATCATTACGGAGAGATCCGATTGTCGCGACTGAACTATTATGCGCCTGTTCTCTTGGGTAGAAGCCAGTATCATCGTGTGAATCATCAGTATCGAGCATACTGTACTTTGCTCGTATGCAAGGCCCCTTGATATCTGCATTTGCATTTTTCTCGATTCTCCTGAACTGTATGCAAGTCAACCTCGCTGCCTCCGATTCTGATGAGAGATATTCGAGTGCCCTGTTATTTGCATTTTGCTACTGTCATAGCACTTTGGTTGGATGTGTGACCGGGGTCCTATTGCTGATGTTGGTGTTTCTTTTCCTTTTCAAAGTGATCAGGGAATGGAGGTTTGCGATAGCCCATCGGCTACTGTGGGGAAAGGATCCACAGCGAAGACAAAAAGGCCATGTGTAACTAGGAATTCAAGGAGATCCCAAGACATTTTATCATATTTTAGATTGGTACTTAAATATTCTTAATAGTGACTTAAAGAGGGTAATTTTGACGTGGCTTTCTCTGATTACAAACTTGGCGAATTCCACGAGTTCTTGAGGAGACCAAACGGCATTGAATCTCCATGTGAAGCTTCACAACCCTGTCTATAACGATGTCTGAAGAATGTTGAACAACCATACTCGTGAATTTTTGACGACTGTTGGTGGATTTGCCAGACTCAAGCGTTCACTGCGTGTTTAACAGTCACAGTTGTTTCCTGCAAGTCTGTCGAGAATGTCGATGCTGTACGGATAATTTGCCCAAAAAACCGCTTTTGACCGTTGAAAACCGAGAGGAAAATTGAACGCTGTCACTCAAGCAAAAGTAGACAGTCTTAAGCAGAAGTTGATGGGGAAAAGCAAACGTGATACTTGACCGTCAACGGCCAAGCAAATACAGGTGCGTTCGCCCGGGCAAATTTCACCATTTGCCAGTTTTCACCAGGAGTGTTTGACGAGATTCGGGTGAACATAAACGGTCGTATCTGCTGGTTTGAAATGGGGCATCGGTCACGTGGATTTCAGGGTCAAAGCGATCCCCAAGGAACAGGAAATCTTTTCGATTCGCTCTGGATTTGGTCTCACGTAAACCTTCTGTCAGTATCAGTGGAGATTCAGTATTGTCAGGATGTGTATTAGTTTGCTGTTTATAGACTAGCCGAGATTAGTCATGTTCACACCCATACAAGTTTGTATAGGTACAGGCATAACAATTCAGACAACTACCCATGGACCTGATTGGACGTACATTTCTAGACCGACACCTTCTGACCACGAGGCGCTAAGTCTAAAGTGGCTAGCTCTGGGGTGAACCAAGCCTGATTTGTTTCAAATTACAACACGTGACGCCGGGGCAAGAGTTGTGGGGCGGAAATGTCAAACCATTAAGGTTATTATAATCAGCTTCGTAGGAAAATAGCCTTTAGATAGTAGCGACAGACTGATAAAGTAAGTGACGGTGAACCTTTTCTCCATGAATGATATAGGAGACAGTGCATTTTGGTATAGTTATATCCACGAAGTGATAGTACCAATGATCAACATAGGTTAATGCTCGATACCCCGCACCTGTTAGTGGATTTAGCCTCGCCAGCACGGCTGAGATGGCCATCCCCAACAAACGATGCACAGTCCGCGCTCATCTAATTTCCCATTCTATCGCCAAGCATGAGTCCAAATCACGATGGCTAGCCAAAGAAAGTCGCACGTCTTCCGGGTGACAGGTCTATCGAGGGAACTGCGTGATGGGGAACTAAAGACAGCATTGCAAGAGGCACTCAACGACAACTTCACGGACGACGAGAGATCGCAGATCAAGACTGAGATCACAATCGTGCCTTCATGCTATGAGAGTGACACACAGAGGGTGGCGCTGGTCCAGTTTCGCGGTGAGGTGCCTCGCTTCCTTCATGAGCTGAGAGTCGACCCTCTTGGAGACTGGCAGGTCGAGATGGGAGACAATGACATCAACTTTGACTGCCACTTCTTTGGATTTACCCAGCTCTACACGCCGGAGGAAAATGGGCCAGTGGTTGCCGAGTAAGGATGTCGTTATCTATATCTTAAAGATCGATACTAACTGATGTCGCGATATAGCATCATTGCCATTGCCGGACTGGACGGACATGCGTATGGATCGTGGCAGGGCAGAGGGAATCTCGGTCGGATGTGGCTCCGCGACTTCCTGTCAAAGGATCTTCCGCAGTGTCGCACCATGATCTACGGGTACAACTCCAGGCTATTGAGCCGCGGAGTTGATACGATCCTCGACTACGGACGGGAGCTGATGGAGGAGATCAAGAAGATTCGGAACACGAAGGAGGTGGGAGACGCTATCTGACTTGTCTATTGAAGCAAATTCTGGCTGATTGTTCGACTAGCTCCAGCAGAGACCTATGATATTCATTGCACACAGCTTTGGAGGCATAATCTTGGCTCACGTAGGACTACCATCCGATCTTACGTATTATATGTTATATGCTGACATCAAGCTATAGTGCCTGGTCAGGGCCATCCAGACAATGGAGGAAGACCACTCAGCGATCACGTCGCTGCATCGAGCCACGTACGGCATGATCCTCTTTGCCATCCCCCATAAAGGATTGGTGATGGACGATATCCAGCAGATGCTAGCAGGGGACAAGAGCCATCCGCGAGAGCAACTACTGCACCAGATTTCCAGCAAATCGGATGTCCTAATCCATCAACTAGCCGACTTCAAAAATCTGATCCGGGACCGTAAGGTGGTCAGCTTCTACGAGACGGAGCAGACAAGGCGGTTGGTATTGGTTCGTTTTGGTCTTTGCCTGAAACAGGCTATGACACGCACTGACGATCACAATAGGACTCGGAAAGCGGACGATGGAAACGCACGGGGGGATTTTATGACGACGGTTGGCGCAGACTCAGCTCTGCTCCAGCTCCCCGATCACGTAGAGGACAAGGTGCCGCTGCATGCAGATCACTCGATGGTGGTCAAATTCGACACGCGCAACGCGGCTGGGTATCGAACAGCGCTCGATAAACTGCGCCAGTTCTCAAAGGACGCGCTATCGGTGGTGGCGGCTCGGTTTGGTGAGTGACTTGCTCCAGTTCTTTTGCGAGCTAATAGGAACTGTTTTCAGCGCAGGTGCGTCTGAAGCCCCAACCGTGCTCCACGGTGCCTTTTAAGAAAGACCCGATGTTTGTGGGCCGTGAATCTGTGATCAGTGCGATCAAAGAAAAACATGGGGCGATCGGCCAGCGCCACGAGCGGGTGGCATTAGTGGGGCTGGCCGGCATTGGGTAAGCTATCCCCATCAGAAAGCCTGTTGAATAACAAGTGATCTCACTACCGTTAGAAAAACCCAGACAGCCATCGAGTATTCCTATCGCGTGCGAGAATCCACATCGGATACGTGGGTGTTCTGGATCCACGCCAGCAATACGGCGCGGTTTGAACAGGGCTACCGGCAGATTGCCGCAGTTACGGAGATTCCGGGACGGGACGACCCGAGGACGAACCTCCTCCAGCTCGTGTATCAGTGGCTGTGTGATGCATGCAATGGGCGCTGGCTGATAGTGCTAGATAATGCAGATGACGATAGTGTCTTTTTCGGTGGCCATACATCCAATGAACGAGGGCCACTGGTGAGCTTCCTACCCCAGGCCGCGCATGGATCAATGCTGATCACATCGCGAAATGGTCTTGCGGCACGGAATCTGGTGGGGAATGATGGTCATGTGATCATGGTTCAGCCAATGAACGAGGAAGAGTCCCTCGCCCTTTTACGGGCAAGGATCCCGGTCCCCCAATCTGGAGAGTCTGGAGATGACGAGAAGGCATTGGTCCAGGCACTAGAATATATTCCGCTAGCAATCACCCAGGCGGGGTCCTATATCGCCAACCGGTTGCCCCTAATTACTGTTTCCGCTTACCTTCGACTTTTCCATGAAAGCGAGCCGAAGCGAACCCGGCTTCTCCAGAATGAGGATTCCACGGATCTTCGACGAGATCCCAGCATTCGGTATGCGGTGGTCACAACTTGGCAGCTATCATCTGAGCAGATCCGTCAGGAGCGGCCGGCGGCGACTGAGCTCTTGGCGTTGATGAGTATGTTCGATCGGCAAGGAATCCCCGAAGATCTGGTGCGCGACTCTGATCAGGACATCTTGGACTTTCATGATGCATTGGCGCCGCTGCTCAGATACTCCCTGGTCCGACTGGAATTGAACAAACGATTGTTTGACATGCACCGGCTTGTGCAATTATCGGTTCGGGCGTGGCTGGACAGGCACCAGCAGCTCCAGCCCTGGCAGGCCAAAGCACGAGGGATTATGGCGCGGGTATTTCCAGATGGCAACTACGAAAACTGGACACAATGTCGAGCGCTCCTTGCGCATGCCAAAAGTGTGCTGACACCTATCAAGGACGTAGATGATGACGATCGATTAAATGCTGCCGCCCTGTCATCTCATTGTGGGTGGTTTCTAAATCTTCAAGGAGCATATGAAGAGGCGGAGTCGATGCATCGACGGGCATTGGAAGCACGAGAGAAGATGCTTGAACGTGAGCATCCTGACACGCTCAGCAGTGTCAACAACCTTGGCCGTGTGCTCTCCAGCCAAGGGAAATATGAAGAGGCGGAAGCGATGCATCGACGGGCGTTGGAAGCACGAGAGAGGATGCTTGGAGGCGAGCATCCTGACACGCTCAGCAGTATCAACAACCTTGGCCGTGTGATCTCCAGTCAAGGGAAATATGAAGAGGCGGAGTCGATGCATCGACGGGCATTGGAAGCACGAGAGAAGGTGCTTGAACGTGAGCATCCTGACACGCTCAGCAGTGTCAACAACCTTGGCCGTGTGCTCTCCAGCCAAGGAAAATATGAAGAGGCGGAAGCGATGCATCGACGGGCGTTGGAAGCACGAGAGAAGGTGCTTGGAGGCGAGCATCCTGGGACGCTCGCCAGGGTCGGTAACATTGGCTCTGTGCTCTCCAGGCAAGGGAAATATGAAGAGGCGGAAGCGATGCATCGACGGGCGTTGGAAGCACGAGAGAAGGTGCTTGGAGGCGAGCATCCTGACACGCTCAGCAGTGTCGGTAACCTTGGCCGTGTGCTCTCCAGGCAAGGTAAATATGAAGAGGCAGAAGCGATGCATCGACGGGCACTAGAATGACATTGAGAGGTGTCTGGACGAACGGTAACTACTCTAGATATTCTTTAGGCTTTTTGGATCAACGCTGGATACGTGATGGCGCTCCATAATCCCAGATCCGTAGCATTTAATGCAATGGAAGCATGCATTGAGCCACAGTATCTGTGATTGGTCATTCTTCTTGCAGCACCTCATATTTTGATGTGGTCTCGAAGTAGATTCCTATGTGCCAACAGGGGTGTTGGCCGGCTGTTCTGTTTAGCCTCGCTAGTATTTTTCATACATCAACTTACATGATTGTTTCCTTACCGTGTATTCGCTTTGTCGGTATTCTTCTCTTATGTACCTTTTTGCTGCCAAGAATTCCAGCAAAATTGGTAGTTTCTGGGGTACCATAATCATGATGATATAAAAGATCAATATAGGTAACGAGGTAGGCTAAATGATGCAACAGTATCTTTCCTATCCATCCAAGTCGTTTTTGTGGATGATCTTGGCGTCGTAACAGTAAAGAGCGGATTCTCCAGTAGTATGTGTCATCTTGTAATCCGCCACTCTAAAACTTTGGAATTGTTTTTAAAACAAGATATCGAACAAGAAACCAAATGATTATCGTTTCTGCTGCTCTCAGGCAACATTCAATATGTGGATTGGGAGTGACGGTGCCTTAAATGTGCAGGTACCAGGTGGGCGTTTCATCACATAGGGCATTTCATGTCACCGGGATGGGGGTTATACTGGCCCTCAACTTCATGTACTCCGATCAATAGATGATCTGCGCTAAGGACTTGGCAGTGGGGCCTGGGAGAAGAAAAGCCATCTGGGGTAGAAGCCGCTTTCGCTATCGACTGTACCACGGGTACGCCGTTGGCATTCGAACCTCTCCTTCTTCGAGATGAGAGAGTGTCTAGGGCGTTGCAGATTATGGTGGGCCGCACTCGGAAGTAAGGCCTCACGGTCGGGTTTTACCGATAGCTGAGAGGCTGCAAATAGTGCAAACAATTTCATCGTGAAACAAAACAGACGCAAAAGCACAAGGCTGCGCGCTATCAGCTGTAAGCTAAATCGCGGTACCTAATGCCCATGCCGATGCTAGGTCGAATTAGGAAAGTATGGGCGCAAGCGTGGGTGGTGCTTCTTGGCTGCCGCAGGGACCCACATCTGCACTGCTCATCACCAACACTGATTTCTATTATTGATTGGTGTATTATTTCTCTTAATAAATTAGCTGTTCAACGTTGGTTTCGTCATTTTCAGATTTCAGCTGCAGTGTTCATCACTAACACTGATTTCTATTCTTGATTGGCGTATTATTTCTCTTAGTAAATTAGCTGTTCAACGTCGGTTTCGTCATTTTCAGATCTCGAGCTGCACTGTTCATCACTAACACTGATTTCTATTCTTGATTGGCGTATTATTTCTCTTAGTAAATTAGCTGTTCAACGTTGGTCTTGCCATTTTCAGATCTCGAGCTGCAGTGTTCATCACCAACACTAATTTCAAGTCCTGATTGGTGTATTATTTCTCTTAATAAATTAGCTGTTCAACGTTGGTCTTGCCATTTTCAGATCTCGAGCTGCACTGTTCATCACCAACACTAATTTCAAGTCCTGATTGGTGTATTATTTCTCTTAATAAATTAGCTGTTCAACGTTGGTCTTGCCATTTTCAGATTTCAGCTGCAGTGTTCATCACTAACACTGATTTCTATTCTTGATTGGCGTATTATTTCTCTTAGTAAATTAGCTGTTCAACGTTGGTCTTGCAATTTTTCAGATCTCGAGCTGCAGTGTTCATCACCAACACTAATTTCAAGTCCTGATTGGTGTATTATTTCTCTTAGTAAATTAGCTGTTCAACGTTGGTCTTGCCATTTTCAGATCTCGAGCTGCAGTGTTCATCACCAACACTGATTTCTATTCTTGATTGGCGTATTATTTCTCTTAGTAAATTAGCTGTTCAACGTCGGTTTCGTCATTTTCAGATTTCAGCTGCAGTGTTAATCACCAACATTGACTTCAGTTCTTGATTAGCGTACTAGTGAATCAGTCGTTCAACGTTGGTTTCGTCTCTTTCAAATTTTAGCTGCAGTGTGTATCACCAACATTGATCTCCACTCCTGATTAGCGCGTTATTTCTCTTTGTGAATTAGCCGTTCATCGTTGATTTCGCCATTTTCGAGCCCAAGCAAGTCATGGTTCAAATTCGGGTTCTATTTTCTCAATTAAAACGCCATCTTTGGTAGTTCTAATACTCAATATTAAAACTAACTAAGACGAGATGGGAATTGAAAATTACAAAAATAAAATTGCAAATCCAGAGTCCCATGAAAGTTTCAAGCTCTCACTTATGTTTTCCACTAGGAAAGTTCGCCCAGAGAACAAGAGTGCTTATTACCATATTAAAAGACAAGTGACGTAGTACTTACAAGAAATACGGAATCGAATTGAATAGTTATGAATTTAGTTCAGTGCAGTACAGTATTAGCAAGCGAAAGTCTGTACACTATACAAAAGAGAGTCGGACCGCCTATTTAACGTTATTATAAAGTTATATGCAGATAGAGTCCTTTTAAACTCTGGCACTTAATAGCCACTGATTGAAGTTCCACAATGGAATAACGACTAAGCCTAGACTGTTTATTGAATTTCTGCACCTTCAGATGAGTCTCGGTGAAAGGCTCATTGTACACCCGCACCCGAGGCCTCATGACGCTAATTGGCCTGTTTCCCTGCACTGTAGTCTGCTCTAATCGGCAGTGATATCAAGCGAAAGGCCCATATTCAGTACATTATGCGCTTAGAAGTAGTCGGATTGATCACATTTTCAGAGGTTTCACTTTACTGTAACAAGCTCCCCGGCACTACAATATGTTTATTTCCAGGTGAAGATCCATCTTTTCCGCTAGAGAAACTAACAGCGATTCACATTCTTGGGCCAAGCTGCAGCTTCCATCCAGCAATATCGATACCTTTGTCAGTAGCCGTTGGTTTTCGATAAGCTGGATAAAAGTCACAATTGGAACGCAGCAGCCAATATTCCATCTAAAAAAGAGACACTTGTTAGAGAAAACTACAGTGAATATATGTCATGTATCGCACAACATACCTAAAATGCTTGATCGAGTGTAGAGGTAACATTCTGAGAACAGGGCAGAGTTGCGCCGATAGAGGTTCTAGAAAGTCGGCATGGAGTCCAAGGTCCATTTCGAGATTATCTTGCGGGTAGTACGGCATTGAAAAGTGATAGCCACACCGATTTTGAACAACATAGGAGATGGAAATCTGTATTTCCAGCTCGCGAACATGTTTGAGTATGTGCCTTGGAAGCGGAATAGAGGGAATGATCAGTCGGTTCAAATTCCACTCACTCTCTGGCCGAAGGAAAATCCGCTTGAAAACTAGCGGAATAGTGGCAAGTCGAATCCGGTTGCAGGTAATGCTGAGAGCTTGACGGTGGGATGAATCCATCTATCATGGAGTGGAAATTAGAAAAGGAGTTACTAACAGTAAGCTTTAGGAGCCCTACAAAATGGAGTACCCGGTGTAGAATCTCAAAAGGTATGGCCTCCATAAAAAACCTGTTTGGATTTTCGTTCCACAACGGATAAAATATACTGCACTGTATCGAGATGCCAGAGCCATATTTTTATCCCTGATTTTGTTCAACGGACTCTTGAGTAATTGATTAAACTTTCCCAGCAAGGATAAGTTTGTCGTACGCTCATAACTAATCATTATACTACCGTCCAAGCCTAATTGGCATAAATGAGTTCTAGTACGGGACCCATTTTGACGAGCCGTAGTGTGACTAGGCTTTGTTCTCGACTACCATGCCGAGACATTCCCTGCATCAACAGTCATGGACTGATATATTCTATTAACTTATTTACACTCACTCCTGAGTCGGCTGGCCAGTCGTCGACCGAGAATAGACCACCGTTACGACCAGCTGACCACAGCCAATCAACTTACAGGGACATCACTTCGTTCTATCCCATCATACCTTCTCCGAGCGATCAAGGAAGAAGGACATCTCCAGTCTCAACGCGACTGGGCATACCATTTGAGACAAGTGGCAGAAACTATACTAGCGGGACTAGTGGCAAAACAACAGACAGATGGGACTCATCACATCGGGTGACGTACATTACAACACAGGACATAGAATTTCCAACAACTACATCCGACACCGAACCCACGGTTCGAGTTTCGACAGGATCCGAGTCACATTCATTGAGCCCTCGAGTTGCGGCTCTTATATTCGGTACAATTGCAGGAGCAATTGTCTATGTCATTGTAGTTTCAACGATAGTACGACTTTTCCGGGTGAATTCACGCCCACTGTCTGTTACATATAATCCAAACGTCTCATACTTTTCTTCTGATTCGGATTGATTATTGTATAGTACAGTAATATTCGAAATCAGATTTACCACTAAACTCTTAGACTTTAATTCCCGAGGCCTCGCTTGAAACACGCTAGTCTAATTTTAGCCTTTTCCGGAGGAGCCCTTGTCAGACTGAATTGTATTACCTGGTAAACAAAAATGGGTCTTTGTTATAATACCGTAATTTACCTTTAAAATATGATCGAATTTTTCAATGCCAAGAGACCCTTATATTTAAATCCCTTAGTTTTGTTCTCAAGATGCGCGATTTGCCCATTTCAATCTTGAGGGCTCTTTTGAAAACAAAGCAACCTTAGCACAATTCATCGTAATTAATTCCGCCAGCATCTTTGTATCTCCGTATGGCGCGAACGGTGGGTCAGTGCACAATCAACCACCTTTGACCATGACCAGTACCACTTCCGCCACCGCTTCCTCCACTTGGCTGCGTGCAAACGTTCAGGATGTCAATCAAAAACTGTCCAGGTTAGCTTCACCTCATCGACGTCATGTTTAAGTCTCACATTTTCGGCATTGCAGCATAGGGTTTGACCCTTGCACGAGCTGCCCACTAAAGAACCGGTCAGCGTTCACTAAGGATAGTGGCGGGAAAATATGAGGATATTGCTTACAGTTAACACATCCCACTCCGATGTCAACGGTTTTCCCTAATACATTGACTGGAACCAGGATCTGACAGCATTTTGGCGTCTGGTTGCCACTGGAACACGTAATGGAGCTATCTCGTTGGGCGAGCGAGGACGCGAGGGCAGCGACTGTAGTTCCAAGAATAATAAGTTCCAGCCTCATATTAATAGATGGATGGTGGTAAATAGTGCTGAGTTGATCGAGCAGTATTATTCAGAGATCCAGACTGGGCCTTCAAATTAACCCAGAATATAAGAATGCATTATGTCTGGTGAACAGGAATGATATTTTATGCGATAATCAACCATCATATAGGTTTACCACAAATCAGGCAAAATGCTACTCCCTCACTTTATACTTGCTACTATGGCTAGCAGCGTTATTGCGTATTCACTAACCGAGAGACAAACTTCCATTACATGCTCCAGTGGTAACCAGACTCCAAAATCCTGTCAGATTCTGGTCCCTGTCAACATTCTAGGTAAAACTATTGACATCGGAGTTGGGTGTGAAAGCTGTAAGCTACCTCCTCGCGTTTCTTTTTTGCTTCGGGATACGCTAATCAGTCTATAGTGGGCAGCTCGTGCAAGGGCCAAACTTTATGCTGCAATACCGAAAACGTGGGTCTCAAAGAATACGTCTATAACTTTAAGCTAACCCGATCAGTTTCTCATTGAAATTCTTAACGTTTGCAGTACGCCGAGTGGAGGAAGTAGTGGTGGTGGCACTAGTGGTGGGCATGGCGGTACTGCAGGATAAGCAGATTATTCTAGGCCAGCCAAAAATTGGGTCCATGTTCTGCAAATATCTATCTTCGAGCCTGCGTGTCGAAAATGACCTCTCGCACTCTCTTTCTTTTCACCGACCGTGTCAATACACGAAGTCATAAAACTACATCCTTTGTGACTTGAATTACCCTCTATTTCAATTCTATTCATTGCTCCTGAGTTTCCTGACTTTTACTCCGGCCTGGTTATATGAGGAGTCATCTTAACCAACTTTAATATAAAAAGCCCTTCTTCAACCCCGAGTTGACTAGCTACCCAACTTTTGAACATATCATTGGAGCCCAGATTACAGTCCAATATTTAGATCTCTCATATTCTCAAAAACTCCTAGAGGGCTTCGAAACAGAGTGAGAAATGGGTAAAAATCTACATATACAATTTCGTGGGTCAACAATATGTTTTTTGGTATTTGTTGATAAATCTAACTTCGTTATTCTAGCGTGGAGGCGTGAAGCCGGCAAAAAGGGTCGTGTGCGAAGGCCCAAACGATACCCTCTCTCTGATAAATTCCAATCGAGTATTGATAAGGAAATCTTCCACCTCGATTGGTCCCTGAAGCCAGGATGGAGTTGCGAAAAGAAATGGGGCGTTTTCCATTCGACCTTACTTTTTAGCAAAGGAGACGAAGAGTGGACTCGAGAATCCTTGGCCAGAAAGCGGGATGATGAGCTTCGGCAAAGGCAAATGCAAAGTAGCAAGGATACTTTTCGCGCATTCACAAAACCTTACCCTAGTGAGGATGATGAGCTTCGGCAAAGGCAAATGCAAAGTAGTAAGGATACTTTTAGCGCATTCACAAAACCTTACCCTGGTGAGGATGATGAGCTTCGGCAAAGGCGAATGCAAAGTAGCAATGATACTTTTCGCGCATTCACAAAACCTTACCCTAGTGAGGATGATGAGCTTCGGCGAAGGCAAATGCAAAGTAGTAAGGATACTTTTAGCGCATTCACAAAACCTTACCCTGGTGAGGATGATGAGCTTCGGCAAAGGCGAATGCAAAGTAGCAAGGATACTTTTAGCGCATTCACAAAACCTTGATTTGGGTACCCTGGTAAGAATGATAAGCTTTACCAAGTCGGGAAGAGACATAATGAGGGTTTGAGTAGCTCATTTGGAAGATCAAATTTCAGTGAGTGAATTCGAATGCACTCTTGTGGAGGATCATTATGTACAGTGATGTGTTTGTGATGTATCTAGCTTCTACCAAGGCCCTCGGTAGCAAATGATTTACCGCTCTGGGCTCAGTTAAAGGATAAGCATACCAGAGAAAGTATTGTAGAGATCCTGTTACTATAACCAGGGAGATATATTATGTCCTTCTGTTATCTTGACGCTTAGTGACTGAAAAACACGGACTTCCTTTAATATACCAGGCAATGGCCAAAATATATTTGAATAATAGTTTGCGACCTTCGCTTAGTTTCTATTCCTGACAATAGCCTGTTAGATTTAATTCCGTGATATTACAAGTATGGCGAACCAAAGCTCAGGTTTTATCTAAAATAGAGCCGCTAAGCTATATATCCTTAGAAAATTGTGACTACTATCAAAGTATGGTCGTTCGTACTGTAAAGTACTGTTCAATTTTACTTATATCGAATAATGTCTCTAAACGCATACCGTATGGGCGTTAGTGTAACTCTTGATATTCAGAAAGGTGTCGTTCAGCTTCATGTACTATACTACTTGATATGGAGAGGTACGAAGAATGTTACAATACAGCACTGCAAATTACAGTAGGACATTTGAAACCAACATGGGTACTGACTAATTAATACTGTAAATTTCCCAACGTCAGCCCATATAGTGTACTAACTATATATTACACATGATAGACGAGAGATTATTTCACTTGTGGGGCTTTTGGACGTGAGGCGAATACCCCGTTGACCTTATTGAATAATTCCTTAGACCATGTCGTCAAACTCTCTATATAGTCCATATTTTGAGACAGATTCTCTTTGATTTCTCTATGTTTCATGGTGTTAGCTAGTTCTTCTTTACTGGGCATTCCATTTCAGCTTTACTTAATGTCATTCTGGTGCCTAAGATTGTTTCTAGTTAATAACGGCCTTCAAGATGGTATTTAATTCATCAGCTAACCTTTCTAGAGTACTTCTCAAGTCACTTTAAATAGTTAGTTGAAAATATCTATAGACGAGTCTTCACGTGGACTGTAGCGTCATTCTACTGACCGGATATCTTTCTGGGCCCTAGAGGATGGTTAGTGGCAGCACAATAATGCATAATATTATAATTTATCGCAGGGAGTGGGAGAGCAGACTGTTGGACACTTTCATATAGCTTGCTGTATTCTGGCTTAGAATAATTCTTATTCTGACTCGGTTACAGTATGACAAAATATCACACCTACTTGATATCTGGTCTTCGGGGGGGGTGATTATGATAGTCAACCTTTCAGCCTCGTTCTAGACAGGATTTAAAGCATCATTAATTACCTATAACTTGAACATTCCCTCGTATCGCTTCTGTTGCTTAGCGAAACTTTCAATATGTAGTACAGTATAGACTGACCCGTCATATACATTATCTGTAGCTGACTCAAGAGCCTGAACCCAGGCCATAGGTTCTTTCTCAACCCCCGCCGCTGTCACCTCTGCCAGGTATTGTGACCAGTTGTTTGGTTCCATCATGGGTAGGAACGAAAATAAAATAAAATTGACGAGTATAGTGCTGTATACAGTAATAGACTGATGGGAAAGTCAGACTGACTGTAGTGTACAGTACAACAACAGTAGCAGTCTCACACTAAAGCAAATGCAGCAACGACGAATTTATCATTTGAAAATATCCGCCAGACGTTCCATATTCCACTCTTGCTCATTTCTATAAAGGCCCATGCTCTGTGCTGTAACTTGAGGCGGAGCTCGAACAAAGGAAGCTCTGTTCTGTAGGCCGTTGAACCCTCTTTCGGTCCCGGCAGGATGCGGCTGTTGGGACTGTGCCATGTTTGAAACTGGGGGCTGCTGCATTGTGGAGGCAAAACCAGCGGGACGCAAATGAAAAGGCTGGTTGTTCATAGAAGAAGGTCTGTTCAATGGCTGGGGCTGTAGAATAGCGGTCTGGTCACCTCTTGAAAGTGACGAAGGGGAACCGGCAGAGCCGCTTTGAGGATGACACAACTCGATTTCGTCGGGGTTTATACCGAGATTGCGAATAGCTTTGTTCAAATCTTCGTCTAGCTCCAGTATAGACATTGCCTGGGAATGTATTTGCAGTAGCTGGAGGCAAATGACATGGAATTCGTGAAATAACTTATTGCATGTGGCATGACCTTTCATCAGGTGGTCCTTTACAGATTTTAGTGAAGTGACAGTATGGCGATACTGCTCTGTAGCAGTTGGAATACGTACCAGAGTTGACTTGTCCCCAACAATAGAGGTTAGTCTGTTCAACAGCCTCATTGCACTTTTTTCTTGCTCCTCTGTAGGGGACTTTCTCATCATATCGTCTGTAGTAGGTGACATGTAGGAAAGAACGGTTGCAGTCTGGGAACACGAATGAACGGGCTTTATGATGGGCTATGCCGCTCGATTAATGGTCAACTGGGTAAAGTGACGGAGCATGGATCCCAGTGGTAACCAGGGAAGGTGGCACAGGGTCTAGAAGCATCTAGGACTACGCTCGTGAGGGGAAACTCAAAGAGATTGACCAGATAGGAACAATGTGCGCTTTCGACAAGGAATTTTGTCTTGGCCGAAAATAAAAAGAATTATTTTACTAGGGCTTGATTATGAGAGAAAGCTGGTAATAGGCCATGATTTGGAATTATTTATTGCTTCTCCTCTCTCCCTGTACGGTACCAGGAAACATGTGACCTATTCAGGAAATCACTGACATATTTAGGACCTATGAAGGTGGTCACCGTTGGCCCTAAAGCTCAACTTTTGGAGCCGAATGGAGTAGATCAGAGCGACATCGCAAAAGTACTGTATATCAGAGTTCATCGTCTGAGAGAATAGTCATGTGCTGCTCTTTGGTTGGAGACTTTCTAGGGTTTCAAGAGCTATCGACTCCGTTCTCAACCCCTCATCAACCGCTTTTTCTAGAGCATGTGACAAGTTGCGCATAGCATGCAGGGTAATCGGTGTACACAATGGCTCGCATTGAAGTAGGATAAGTTCGTCGTTGATGTCGAGCACCCGTCGCCGTAGCTCCTGTAGAAGGAAATGGCAGGTGCGGTAGAATTGGTTAGCTGCTCGTTTTCTGCCAATTTCGCGAACAATAGTGATTGTATCCATTGTTTCAGATGGCGAGAGCCTATGTGCAGTACAAGTTGCTCTGCGATGGGAACTTTTTATGATTCTGGAGCCATATTTACCGAACGTGGACAGTAGAGTATGATCCTGGGTTTTCAAATTCCAAATTTTACGGTCAACAAGTCCAACATCCTCCCTGTCTTTTGCGTGCCTTGCTCGAATACTATTGTGCTAGCGATGTAGAGGTATTTTAAATGAGCCTGGAGGAAGTCCACTTGATTGAGCCAATGACGAGTTTCCCTGAGAAAGTGGGCATCCCGCTAGCAGGCGGGGAAGGGGCCGGCGGCTATCCGTTGATCATGGCTTCGGACGCATAAAAGGCTATGTGCCCGAAGACCGCTACAGTACGGTACACAGTAGCCTATAATATGACTGGCGCCCTAGAAGGACATAAGACAGGTTCTAACAGTACTGTACTCCAGGAAAAGGGAAGCAGACAGCTAAGCACATATCGTACTGTACTACTGCAGTTGATGGTGCTGGACCATAGGAACATAATAATTTCATGTATAAGCAATGCCACTAGTAATCTGGGGCTCGCCCCAAATATGATGTGCGCGGGCAATAACCTTACGACGGCTTTACTGATAGATCAACCGAGGACGTATTGGCGTTACTTAGACATTTTCCTTGAGAGTAATGCCGATCATTCTCCAATAACGGCAGGCCCGAGCCTGTCGCGAACCCTTGTCGGCCGGACGCAGCGTTTCACTGTGCCGTTGGCTAGGCTTGTTTGTTTAATTGAACAATCACACCCGTTTACCACCAGGAACAAGGTCTATGCGTTTTAGCTTTGCTTCGTTTAACGATGCTGTTGAACTATCGTTCTTAGCCCTCTGTATGGGCCAATGCTGTCATTCAGCATGTCTCCGTTTTAGACTGATGCGCGCAACGCGCGTGTCTTCCAGTAAGGCCTTGGGGGCGGGATGTGATGGAAAGCAGAGGGGAGAAGGTTGGAAATGGCATTTTGATCTCAGCGATATAAACATCATTATGAAAACTAAGACTAAATTCCTTACTAACATATGCTCAGGTCGTGGATGCGCTACGTGGGTGTAACGCGCTCGCCAAGGTAGGTAATTGCATATATTCAAAGAGTCGACGTATGGCACTAGTGGGGGCAGTACAATATTGAGAGAAAATGAGGTGTTATGGTTAAAAAAGGCCAAAATACAGCAATGTTAACTACAGCACCACTATTTGGTCGATAAAGGCTATTGCACCCCGAGTTTTAAACAATTTCTCAAGTTTTCGCATTGCTGAAATGTGTAGACTGTTCAATCCAGGCATAATCACGCATGATTTGTGAGACCCATCACGTTTCCCAATAACCGAAGGTCGGACTGAATGCGAGTATTTCGTTCATGCTCATATGGATGGTGAAAGAAGTGAGCTAGAGCGAGATCTTCAGTTAGCCTGAATAGCCGTGCATGCTGGTGGCTAATCCCTATTCGCAAATAAAGAAGAACTATCATAGCCCTTAAAGATCCCCATAAGTCGAATTTATCAAGGGCCACGCATCGACATGCAATATAGTCGTACTGAGATGATAGGCTTTTTAATGTGGTGTCCAGATCACTTTCCTGCTTGGCTGATAGGATGGAGCCGAATGAGAGGACCGCAAATAATAACGCCATCCACCCAGGGCTCAATGAGTCTAATTCCCCCATGTTTTGCTCAAATTCTGCTTCAAACTCATGGGAATACAAAATATGTGGCTCCTATTAGACAATACGTCAGCATCAGACCATTGCTCCACGCGTTGTCTTGAGAATGAGTACAGTACCACGTGGCGAAAGAATTCTCTTTTCACTATCTCTATGACAGCAGGTGAGGGCAATGTATGTCGAAGTCCACCCAGCGTGGTAGCTGAAAGGAAATCATAAGACAAGATTTGATCGTCAAAAGAGGTCACATAATGTTTATCTTCGGCGTAGCTTGGCTCCTCCGGCAGTCCCAATTCATCCATGAAATTCGAATTGCCAGCGTTCCCGACGTTCATGGATTGGTAAGATGAAGAGACATCTTCCAAATACCTGGATCTTCTTATGATATTTTTTGCTGGGATACACTCTTCGGGTCGGCCGCGTCGTATACAGCTATCGCATGGGCTGTCTTTATTACAGGCTCTATGCAATATTCGGCATGGGTTGCAGCGGCTCGCATTCGAACTATTAAAAACAAACTCCATATTGCACAAGGAAAAGGTGTTGTACAGTGCACTCTGCGGTGAAGATGCACCGGCTAAGATAGATTACCGTGATATACGCCGACCCCTCGAATACTTTGAACAGATTCAACTAAACCGAATTCTCCATTCGATGAACAACCGGCTTTTTGTATTGCAAAAGGCAACGTTCCCGGTCGGTGGGCTCCCCAATTTGAGCCTTCAACGCTACCACCTGTTAATTTACTAGTTCCTTGAAAGATCCAGTTTGTAAGCCGCCAAGATGACCGGGGAAGAGTAAAAACGTTTAACAAATGTACAGAAGTGTACATGATTCACGTGGTCGAATTAGTGCCTAGGTAGTCCTTCCCGGCGGCAGTTTTCCAAAATTTAGTCTAGAGAGGCGAAATTGATGGTTACACCCGAAAACTTTAGATTCCAACAGCGGCTGCAAACTCGACGTTATTGGTGAGCTTGCGTCTGCTCCTGCCAACAACCCGCCAACGAAGATGCTGATGTGATCCGACTCACCCGGAATGGAATATTTTGGTTTATTTATGCTATGATCTGAAAGTCCGCATCTAAAAGGCCATGCTTTGGAGTAGCAGCTCCTTATCTCTCTACTGGGCTGGTTGATTTCCCAGTGGCTCTCATATCCCGCTCGTGTCCAGGTCACTGGCGTGACTTGGTTTTTTTTGTGTCTCTCTGTGCAGCAAGATTTCCAGGGCAAAGCAGGCTCGTGGCGAAAAATCGAGTCAAAGCAATCCCTGCTGCATTCGGCACCTTTCCATGATCAAGGGGCTGGGAGAGATCCAAACCTTGGCAAGTCTCGTTCGAATTACTCCTTTGGGTGTATTTGACAGCGCTTGAGTTAGCGCGATCAGTCGCCAAAGCCAGACAAAAGTACTAAGCCGGCATGGGCCGTTCTGTTGGTCATATTTTAGGTGCGCAGGACATAGGTAGCGTCATCCGGATGGGCTTTTCTGGCGATCAAGGCCGGTGTACTAAGTAAGCTTCTTACGCCATACAATTACACTATTTCGGGAGCTCCTCGGCCCGGTGCGTAATCGCCGATGCGGCCATATGGCCTGCGGCCTGCGCATTGCAGGAAGATCACGTGACAAGATGGAGTGAATGAAGTATTTGGAATAAAAAACTTTAATTGTTATGATTATCACGTTCTGTTTCTGAAAAAGTCAAGATCCCGCGATTATCCGCGCCTGGGCTGAGCTGGTTATCTTGTAAAAAACCTGCTGAGCTAGACTTTAATTTCGATAATAAGACCCGGCTAAATCATGGGATCGCCCCGGTACATACCATACGAGGCGAGAACACCATTGATCTGCGATGGCTCGCATCGGCACGAAGGGAAGAAACAGAGCTAAATTTTGCGTGGATCCAGGCCGATTGACTCTGACGGTCATTCCCAGTCCAGCTGTGCCTGGCGAGGGGACTTGGTCAGGCGATAGCGTCGCTTTTCACAGGAGAGTCTGTTGTGATATGAGGCTGGTGCAGATCAGGAATCAAGCCGAACCATCGGAATTAACTCCGTGGTGTCTATACAGAAGACCAAGTTGATTGGAAATCAACTTGGCTACACGTTGTATATATAGCCTCATCTTTCCTCCTAGAGTAAAAACACAATTTAATACCTCTGAACTACATCAGGTTATGAGCCCGGCAGCAACTCTCGGGTGCCGTCTCTACTCATCTGAGATTCATCTTGACTATCTTAACTATATATCTACCCCGCTTTCACAACCATAACCATGTCTGCTCTGGTTCACGACTCGCCCGACCGAGCCGTCACGGCCATCGAGCCCCTGACAGGAAGCGACAACTTCGCAACCTGGAAACGCCTCATGACCTCCTACCTCAAGGCAAGGCAGGTCTGGGATGTCGTGTCGGGCGACCTTGAGCGCCCTGACTGCTCTTTCAAGTACGCCAAGCCCATTACGGCGGACATCCACCCCCTGGTGGAATCGCACCTCGTGGGGGCGGTGAGGCAACGCGCCATCGAAGCGCGCCTCGAAGTGGAGGTCCAGGCATTCGAGCGCCACCGTGAATGGTCGCGCCGCGAGGCCGAAGCCTACCACACTATCTTCCGGTATCTGTCCCCCCCATATCAGTGTCCATGTCGCGGGGCTGGAGACATCCCGGGACCTCTGGAATGATCTCGAAGAACGGTACCGGCGGATGGAACTCGCCACGTTCTGCGAGCTGTTCGCTCAGCTGCGCGAGACCACCGGCGAGCGCTGCGGCAGTGCACGTGAATTCGTCGATCGTGTACGGATGCTAGTCCATCGATTGAATGCGATCGCCCCTGGTTCCATCGGTGACAAAGCGCACATTGCAATCCTACTGACGCAGATCGGACCGGAATACATCCTGATTGTGGATGCGATCCAAAATGACAAGGATCCTGTCAACCCGGCCAATATCGGCAACCGTCTAGCGAATGCTGAGCAGACAGTGCAGCGAAAGGACGCTGCGACATTCCCGCAGCGAGTCTCCAGCGGAACAAGCAACCCTTCCATCAATACGGTGCAGAAGAACACCAAGAAATGCAACTACTGCAAGAAGCGCGGTCATGTAGTTGCGGAATGCTGGAAGAAACAGCGTGAACAACAACCGCCCAGGGACCATGCCCTGAAGACCGAACGGAGTGTTTCCGGCTCACCAAGAAACAACATGCAAAATATACCATCAAGCCAGATGGAAGATCGGCAGGGCCCGCCGACTTTCAAGAGACCGCGGATCAATATCGTGAGGGCGAGGGTGACGACCCTTTATACCCACGCACCGCAACCCCGGT